CTTTATAGCCTTAGTATTAAAGTCGATCTAGTAGTATTTATTAAAGAAGTTCGGTAGTAATATAGCTCTACTTAACTACTCTAGAAGTCGTATAATCTCGTAAAGACAAGGCCTACTGTTTACCTTACGCGTATAGCTAGTATACTAGTATCTCGTATACGAAGTAGAGTACTAGAAGCCGCTATACTATACCTCGTTACTCTTATTATCGACGGCTGTCTTAAGAAGAGCCTTAGCTTACTAGATAAGCTCGTATACCTTAAGTAGCTATCGCTAAGTAATCGTACGTATAATAGAAGCCTAGAACGGCCCTAATAGTCGTTTGTCGTACTTATACGTCTTACGGCCTAAATCCTCTTTATACTTATTATAGCTAGCTCTCTACTAATTTAGTAAGGCCTCGAAGAGGCTATAGATATTAGAGCGACTACTACTATTAAGCTACTAAGAGCCGTAAGTAATAATAAGGAGTAGGTATATAAGTTACTTACCTAGCTTTTAATTCGTACGTACGTAGCCTTAATATATAAGGTATATAGCTTACCTATATATATAACTATATCGGCCTAAGCGTTAACGAACCGCTCCTTATACCTCTACTAATTATTACGTAGATAGCTCTTAAATTATAGGTAGACGCTATCTAAATCTAGGGCGTTTTACTCGAAGGTATTAGGTATTAGTAATTAAACCGTTTACTACTAATACTTTATAAACTCGAGCGTTACTTAGCTATCTTACTATATACTATCGCTATCCTTTACCTACGTAAAGCTACTACGTTCCTTACGAACACGCGCTAGTACGTCTTCTTTTATATACTACTAGTAGATAAGTAAATAGATCTCGGGTTCCGGAAATATAGTATCTACTATATTAATAATAGCCTATTCTCGGTTAGTATAGACGATTACTAGTATATTATAGCTATACTACTTAAGGTACTTTCGAATACTATAGAAGGCGCGTTCGTAGTACTCGTACTTATTACCGTATATAATAGTAACGCCGAGCTAGATTATATCGTTTAAAGGCTCTATAGCGATAATTATAAGTAGCTCGCGGTTATAGACGTTAGTTTTAAAGGTAGTGTCTATAATTAGGTTAGTAGGTATACGCTTAAACTACTATATTAATTTCGGATAGATTACGAGTATAAAATCTAGCTATCTAGTAACCTTATTATAATTAGCGTCCGTCTATACATTATTTTAAGCGAGTAGCTTAATTGTATACTCTATACTATTTAAAAGCCGCCGTTTGTCTATATAGTAGTTAAATCGTATATTATTAATATCTTTAGATATATATTTAATACCTTTACTATAGAAAAACTCTATAATCCGTAAAGTACGTATACTAATAGCCTATAATCGCTTAAGATCCTCGAGAAACTACTATATACGAGAGCGCTATCGACTACCTACGAGATTAATAACTACGTATAGCCTATAGTTATAAAAGTACTAGTCTTAAGAATAGCGAATCTACTATTTACCTAAAGGGTTACTCGGTATAACTACTATAGCGTAGAGTATATACCTATAGCCGGTTTTACGTATACCTTTATAGACTACGCTATTATAAATCTACTACTTGTCCGGTTTACTCTTATAGTCGTACCGTAGCTCGAATCGATACGCCTACTTATCGTAATTATATTTCGACTTCTTTTAAACTAAATCTATACTATACTTTAATAACTATTTATATACGAAATCGAGAAGAGCTTATTATAATATAAACGTACGTTCTAGTAGTAGTAGAGCTAGTCTATTCGATTACTAATCGTTAAGGTGTTCGTATATATAGACGTTAAGCCGTAAGAAGCGGTATCGTTTGATTATTACGTTATATAAGCTAGTTCTAGTATTATAAGGTACTCTTTTAGAGTTAGCGGATTTAGCTAGAGTTATACGACGGCCGTAACGCTCCGGTTACTCCGGAAGAAGGTACTATAGGTAGTCTAAAATAGTAATAGTTAGCCCTTTAGTTTTAGTACTTTGTTTCGTATTATTACTATTAATATTACGCGTTAAGTCGATTTCTATATATATAGTTAAGGTAGTATTATCTAGAGCGCTATTCTTAGCTACTATTAGCTCGGAATCGTTTAAATTCTCGAGGAATTTATCCTTATAGAGTACCTAAGGCTATATAGAAAGTAGAGGCTCGAATTCTATAGTAGTATTAATATATTAAGGTATACTAGGTAGTATTAGGCTCGTAAAGCTAGAAAATACGAAGGAGTAATATTAAGTAGGAGTACCCGCTAACAAAATCTACGTAGGCGTACTACGTTAAACGCTATTATAAAGACCGGACGAAAGTATTTACTAATAGTACGCGGTAGATAGTAATATTAACGTTATAGGGTAGTATCTATAGTATATTCCTACTATACTACGTAGTACCGAGCGATTCCTAAGCGCTCCTTAATACTGCCGTTAGGAAGTGCACGTTTATATACAAAACAGGTAGGGGTGAGTATTATCTACGCTTAGTAACTGGGGTCCGGCCGGGTTGCTGGGGTCCGCGGAAGCACTGGGGCTTTAGTAGGCTGCAGTAGCGCCGCTGCGGCGATGTAGCCCCGTGCGGCCGGTGCGAGTTGCGATTCGCTCCATTTTCACGTGCTTGTGGTTTGGAGCTGTCCTTCTGGGCGTCCGATCGTCCTTCTGGTTGTTGTTGTTGTTGTCGGAGTCGGAGAATTGCGGGTCGTACGCGCGCAAAGCTGCTCAGGTCAGTCGCCAAGTCAAGGCTTAGGTTGTTCCCTGCTGACGTTCGGAGTCGGGAGCTCCCCCACTACATGCCACCAGCCAAATCCGCAGGAAGATTCTATCGCTGCCGTTGCATGTGACTGCGCCGACCGGGCACAGGGTCTTGAACTCCAGAGCTCTGCCGATTTGCACCTACCACAGCAACCATCTCCCCCTCTCCATCCACGACGAGACTCGCGCTCCGTGCGCGACCAGCGACGACGCCGTCGACCATGCGCTGCAATTAGATCCGCCGACTTCACGCGAACATCACCGACATGTCGACTGCCATCTCGAGTCCAGCACACCCACGCACACATCCTCCGGCTACGAGCACCACCACCTCATAGCCAGCCAGCCAGCTCCAGCAGCTCCAATTCGGCCTCGTGCCTACGCGAGCTAAGGGGCCTGGTCCCGCTCCCTGGTCTCCCCCTCGCCCACCATGTATGTCGACTCAAAGAGGATAAGTTGAGGGGAGAGCAGCAGCAGCAGTGATGGAGGTGCTGCGCATTGCAAGAGTACGGAAACTTACAAGTGTTGGCTTGCAGGAAGTTCGGAAAGACCATTCAGAAGCGACAGCTGGATATCCCAGAATATGCCGCGAGCTTCGTGGACTATAAAGCACTGAAGAAGGTAAGTCTAGGTGGTACCGGTACCGAGAGCCTCAAGTGGAGCCCCCAACAGAAGGCTGATGAAGTAACGTAGCTCATCAAACGACTGAGCGCCACGCCTATCCTCTCCGCCTCCACCACCGGACCCGACGGCGAGCCACTTCAAGACTCGCAGGCCTCGCTCCAGGCAAACAAGGCGACATTTTTCTTTCGTCTTGAGCGCGAACTGGAGAAAGTCAACACCTTCTACCTTCAAAAGGAAGCCGAGGTACGGCGGTCGATCGCAAGATTGATGAGCAATACACTAACAAGCAGCAGCTCAAACTGCGCCTCCGTACTCTGCAAGAGAAGAAGAAGGCTCTCCAATCCAAAGCCGGCCCAGCATCTAAACTCTCCTCGAGCTACGTCACCCTCGATGAAGGCTTCCGGCTCTTTAGCAGTGACCTGGACAAGCTACAGCAGTTTGTGCAGGTCAACCAGACGGCATTCACCAAGATCCTGAAGAAGGTCCTGAGCATTCTTGATTCCATTGCGTCGCTCATCAGCTAACTTCTGGCAGTGGGACAAAGCCTCCAAGGTACACACAACTCCATATTGTCTAACTGGCGAATGGCCGATATGCTGACGTTGGCTAGTCTGGCACAAAGCAGCTCTGGATCGAACGCGCTGTCGAAGTGCAACCGTGCTTCAACCAGGAAGTCATCAGCGACCTGTCCGATCGGGCGACTACCGGTCTCCTCGAGCTTCAAGCATGGGCCGAAGGAGAGAAGATCTCATATACTCCCGCGGTCGAGTTGGAGAACAATGTACGGCCCACAGACCAGGACGAGGAAGTTGAGAACCAGGTAATACAGGCCATCAATGCCGGAAACGCAGGTCTTGTCCGTGAGTGGTCGACCAGGATCGCAACCAGCGGCGAAGCCAAAGAGCGCATTAGCAGAGTGTTCTTGAACACCGTCACAGGCGCTGCTAGTAGTGCGCAGGACGTGCTGTACCAGACCAACCTCGTCGATTTTAATTACGCGGATTCGATCAATGAGCGCAACTGTATCCACGAGGCTGCAGTCTGTGGAAGGGTCGAAGTCTTACGGGCGGCTCTGTCTCATGGCGCCAACATTCGCGCGCCAGATGTCTATGGACGGTTGCCCTTGCATTACGCCTGCATGCACGGCCGTGTCGACATGATTAGGATGCTCGTCGAGGCCGCGCCGGACACTGTGGATGCCAAGGACCTCGATAACTTCACTCCTCTCATTCACGGCATTGTTCACTGCCAAGCCGGGAGCGTGCAAGAGATGCTGCAATTTGGGGCGGTCGTCAATCCGGCGGGACCCTCTGATCACATCCCACTTGATCTGGCGTGCCAATACGGATCTGTCCTAATTGTTGAGCAAATTCTCCGGTTCAAGCCGCAGATCCTTCCAGACGCCGAGGGTCTGTTTCCACAGCATCTCGTTGCTCGCTTCGGCAGAGACAGCCAGATTCTCAAGATGCTGAAAGACTACGGCGTTGATATGGACCAGCCGGACAAGCTATACCAGTGGACACCCATCTTTCACGCTGCCTCGGAAGGTCATCTACAGTGCTTGCAGCAGTTGCTGGAATTCAAAGTCGACCCATCAGTTGTGGATGAGAAGGGCTTGTCTGCCATGTACTATGCTGCATGGGAGGGCAAGCTCGACTGCATGCAGTTACTGGTACAAGCGACGGATGGCGCCGCCCGAGCAGCAGTTGGGGCAGGCAATCGCGTGGACGTACAGGTCCAGCCTCCTCAACTTAGCGCGAGCACGCCGGCACTGACGAATCACCACGACGCCGAGATCCCGGAGATCACTCTCCCACCTCCTATCATTCCGCTTCGTCGTTACGGCCACAGCTTCTTGGATAACTCCAAGACCTTCATCATCCTTTCTTTCCCGGAGGATGGAGGAGACGCTATCGAGTTCTACTATGATAGCAAGTATCCGGCTGCTCGACTCGCCATCTCGTCGAAATCGTCAGATTTGATTCCACGCAATCTGCCACTCCCAATCCAAGACGATCAAATGACCATTAGCTTCCAGATCGAGAATCTTGCGGCCTTCAGCATCGACTTCGACATCTATCCCACATTCGGAAGCAAGGTCATTGCTCGGACGGCCGCATCGAGTCGTGTCTTTGCCGGCAAGGCTAGCAGCTCCGGCAAATGGCATTTGGAGCTCTTCGACCCTCGTTTGCGCGCGATTGGCAGGATTGGCTTCCGATACCAGGTCATTACCCCATTCCAGGGCGTTCCGCTGGAGGTTACCCATTTTGCTACGTACTGGAAGGCGACGAGCCAGGCAGACAAGAATCACCCAAGCAACCTGATCACCGGTAGCAGCCTGTCGGGTGACTTCTTGCGCCTCTTCGTGCAGGTTACGCGAGATGGCGTGCCGGTTCTGTTCAGCGACTGGTGGTTGCCCAGTAGCAAGAATGACCTAGTCAGCAGAATGACATGGAAAGAGTTTGAAGCAGCAGGCTTGGCGGCCGGCCGTGGCAAAGGCGTTATTCAAGGACTGGTCGGATCCGGCATTGACAGAGATGATCTAGCTTCCGCACAACGCCAGATCGCGCGCTCATACGCCTCCCTTGAGGATACGTTGGCACTACTCCCACCAGATCTCCACGTCGAGATCCACGTTTGCTACCCGACTCGGGCTGAAGAGGAGGCACTTTATCTCGCACCAACACAGAACATCAACGTAGTTGCTGATGGCATCTTGACCGCCGTCTTCAACCATGCACGACACCTCCGCGAGACCCAGGCTGCACCGCTGCGTAATTTCGTCTTCACGAGCTACAACCCAGACGTCTGCACGGCGTTGAACTGGAAGCAACCGAACTGTGAGTCAATCGTACTACAAAGGTGGTGAGTGCTAATTCGTGATAGATCCGGTATTCCTATGCAATGAACTTGGCGTGGCGCCAACGAACGACAGTCAGGGACTTGCCAACGCCAATATGGTCACTAATTGCGGCCGTATGGATATGTCCCTCAAGGAGTCGGTGCGCATCGCTACGAACAACAACTTCATGGGCTTGGTCTGCACTTCTCGTCTGCTCGACCTTGTTCCAGCATTGGTCAACTCCGTCAAAGAGGCTGGTCTGGTCCTTATCGCCGACTACAGCCGCGACGTCAACCGCACGCGTGCTCCAAGTGTTCTCAGCCTTCCTCCAGGCGTCGACGGACTCTTGATGAACAACGCCGTGCTGCGGTTCAGAGATGCGATCGATCAGTGATTGTTCTCGGAGGCAGATACTGTTACTATGACTATTACTGCTACTTTGAGGCATCATTTTCAGGGAGCGAGGCGTTTTGGATCCCGAAAATCATGGGGCTGGGCGGAAAAAGGTCTGCATGCAGGTGGCTATCTTCAGCTTTTACCTATTCACGATGCGACCTAATGATACTAGAATGAGAGTATTTCCGGAACGATGAGCTCGGCTTGAGGTCCGAGTAACTGCATGTTCCCTCACTTGTATCATATCTCCTTTTCTCCCAAGATCCGAGACTGTGGGTCCAAGCTTTCCGCTACTCGCTTGCACCTTCCTTCGTGAGCAGCAAGCTTGTATCATCTGCATGTGATCGCGTCCACGCGACGTTCGATCTTCTAGACTGCGGCTTGTTTCCCAAAGAACGTCTTCTCAGCCCTCCACTCCAACCTGCTCGAGAACAATAGCGATTTTTCCCATGATGGCCTCGCCCTCTACGACTTCCTCCCGCCTCCGCAAAACCTTCCGCTATCCCGATTCCGACGACGATGACGAAGATCTCGACGAAGAACACCAGGAACGACTGATTGAAGAGCTGAGAGCGGAAGATCGGCGGAGGAATGAATTCTACAGAAAAGCATTCACGGCTATACCATTCCTCGCGACGCTGTTCCTCCTGTGGTACTTGGTGACGGGCAGGACCGCGAGGGAGCGGACACTTGCGGTGGTGGGGATGAGTAGTCTCTGGGCTACCGGGTGGGTGATCTGGCGGACACCGGTTGTTGATGAGAAGCGCGAAAGGAGGAATAGTGTGGTCGTCGTGGAGAGTCCGTTGGAGAAGTACCTCCCTGTCATGAATGGGGTTCTGAGTGGTGTGCTGGGTTTGGCGGGGGTTGTGAGTTGGAGGCAAGGGAGGGTGGAAGAGGCGATGATGGGAATTCTTCCTGCGGCTATTTTGGGGCTGGGAGTCTTTGTGCGGTGGCAGTTGAGGAGTGTGGATCTTGGGGATCTGGAAGGGAGGAAGTATGGGTTGAAGGGGGCTTGAGAGGGTTTTCGCGGATATGGATGTGGTTGGTTGTGAAGAGGAGACACCGACAATGCTGGCCACGATTTGGAACAATGTGACTGCACAATCCGTCTTGCGCGGTGTCACGGCTTTTCTCATTCGCGCACCGGTGCATTTGCTGGCTTTCCGGCTCACAGGATTGAGCGAAGACTAAAAACTCCAACCTTGCCTACCCTAGATTCTGCTACCGCAGGGGCTCACTTGCACGATGAAGTCCGCTCGGTCTGGTTACTCGCTGCGCATGGCCCCCGACGTATACGATCTACCATGCATGCTTGAGCAGAGCACCAAGCGTCGGCTTGGTCTCGAAAAACTACCTACCGCAAGACTCGTTGCTCTTTGCGCATCCATAGAGCACACTTTGCTTCTATTTTGCACTGCATGCGATCGAAGCAAGGTGGGATATATTCCTACAACAATCGAAGAAACGAGTAATAACACGTGCGATGCCTTCGCGCACTGCACAGACACCAACAGGCGCGCTCCCTATCCCCCTGGCTCAAGGGAACACAGATGCAAAACTAGATCTTGGACTCAGCTTCGACAACGCCCAATTTCAGGGGTGAGTGCTAATTTCTGCAACCGCGGAATGGGCAGATCGTAACGAAAGGGAGAGTGCAATCGAAGGGCATGAAGATGGGCATCGTTCTTGTCCTGGAGAAGCAGACGACAAGCACAACGACATCCTCATCAACACAACAAGACTTCATACAACAGCAATCGATGGACCTCGACTTTTGCCAGTCTCGAAGACATCCATACAACGACAATACTGCCATGCAATTCGCGGCTATCGCCGCCCTTGCCGCCTTTACTGGTCTGGCTTTCGCTGAAGTCAAGAGCTACACCGGCCTCCTCGCCGCGGAGGACAGCCCTGGTTCGCATGACTGTGTGGAATCACTTCGTGCGCACCGTAAAAACCCCCAGCCCACTACGTCTCTCGCTAATCATTAGTCGCTCAAATGACTTTTCTCTCCCCATAGCTGGATAGAATGGTGGCGGCTGAACCTGCGGCGACGACGACTTCCAGATCGGAGGCAGTAGCTGGAAATCTGCTCCCCATTGTGTTGGAGGCTGCTTTCCTGGCTTGCTGGGAGCAGCTGATCTTGGTGCTGATTGGTACAAATGTGACCGGACGGCGGGCGTGAGTGCGCACTGACGGGTTGGTTGCAGCCCGTTTGGTGCGTACATGTGCGGTGATAGTGATGGCGGCTCATGTAGCACGTAGAGTTGAGATTGATCGTGCTAGAAATCTTGGGACCGTACTATGTGCAAGCTTTTGGAATCCCACATGAAGTGACTTCTTTTCATACTCTTCTCCCACTCGATGATTGGATGCATTCTCTTGCTGAAATAGTCTTCGCGGCGCACATATGTTGCCTTCCTGCAGTGGTGTACATGGATCTCGTTTTCCCCACAGATCGATCGACATTCTTTAGCGCAAAACTCAATCTGGCTCGGTCCACGCTAAACCTTGCTTTGTGCTCGATGACGACCTTGACGCGGATCATCGCAGTAATGGTGAGGTATGGACGCGTCTGGTAGTTCAGATGACAGGTAGGAAATTTCACTATACATTCTGTCCTCCTTTGTTCATTTTGCAGCTGGCCGCGATGACAACCGCTTCGTCTTTGTGGCTTTGAGATGACTACCACTGACGGAAGACCATTGCTGAATTCCAACGGATCACAGACGAGGTTCAATATGGCGAAGAACATGGAAGGACAGAAGAGGAAGAAGGTGCTTGTAGTTGGCGCTGGTGCTGCTGGTGAGTACATACAACACACGAGAAGATCGAAGAGGGAAGTGACTGACGAGATGATATAGGCATGTCCTGCGCCCATCACCTCTCCAACCACCCGGACAAATTCGATGTAACGATTGTCGACGCTGTCGATTACTGCGGAGGCCAAGCCTATTCGATTCCTCTGGACAAGCAAAAGACGGGGGCATCATGGCTGAACCAGGGAGTCCAAGGAGGCTCGTACATCTTCCACCACACGATGACCATGTTTGCACGCAACGGCTTCTGGGCGGATCCTGTGAAACTTCAAGTGTCTTTCGGAAAAGGCGAACAGTTCTGGACAAATGTATACCCAACCAAGCTCCTCGAGAAGCATTCCGGAGAGGTGGTGAGGTTCTTTCGCATGCTGAAGATTGTCCGCATGTTTGAGCTCTTCTTCGCGCTCTTGCCCATCAAGTACCTGGTCAAGCTCTTCCGATTCTCGGCGGAGTTTGCCAACGTCGTTACGCTGCCCATGATTGCCTTGTTCTTGGGAACAGGGAACTACACGCCAGAGGTACCCTCCATGATTCTGGAAAGGCTTTGCACGAGTCCGACGTATGGGATGTGGTATCCTCCGGACAAGAATAGCGTGGCATCCAATATGCCGCCGATGATCGTGTTCCCCAACTTGAGCGATTTCTATGACACGTGGAGGAAGAATCTGATCAAGAGAGGGGTCAATGTGAGGCTTTCGACCGAAGTCACGAGAGTTGTGAGGAGAGATAAGAATGGGGTTACTGTGAAGATTATTGGGCGTACACCCGCTGAGGATGGCCACAATCCCAATTCCGCATGGGTGCCGGACGATGTCGAAGGCTCTAAGGCTGACCCTGATGCCGTTGAGACTACCGAGGAGTATGACGAGATTGTCCTCTGCGTCCTCACCGACACCGCGAAGCGTTTGCTCAAAGAGACCATCACACGCGTTGAATCCCGCGTCCTTGGTTCCGCCAAATTCGCAAACGACATCACCGTGACCCACCAAGACATCGACTACATGAAACGCCACTACGAAAACTTCTACAGCAAAGACCTCGCCGTCTCCTCCATTAACGGTCAAGACATGCAATCACGCAACGAGTGGGCCAAGGACAACTTCAAAGCAATGTACCTGATCCGAATGTATCCTCAGGACTTGACGAAGCTGGAAATGTGTTTCGATTGCACGAATTATCAGGCACAGTTCCCTCCTGAAGTACCGTTTGAGAAGCATGTTTTCCAGACGATATTCTTGAACAAGGATAGGGATGGACATTTATGGACGATCGATGAGATTGATGAGAAGAAGATTATTAGGAAGGACTGGTGGCATCAGCTCTGCCATTCCTTCACGCACTACCTCTTTGTGATACCCTGGCTCTGGCTCCTCCAAGGAAAACGACATACACGCTACGCATCTTCCTGGACACTCGTCAACGCACACGAAGTAGCCTGTATATCTGGTATCACCGCTGCGGTGGACTTAGGGGCCGAGTATCCGGCTGATTTGGAGAGGGATAAGTTCGCCTTCTTAGCTTTCAGGTTGTACTATTTCTTGATTTATGGGAAGTGGTATGGTCGACGAGCGACGAAGAAATCCAAAGAGGGCGAGGGAGCGAATTGGGCTACGGGTAATGAGTATGGGAGCACGTATAATGGGCCTGGCGTGCAGACTGGCACGAGTCGGCTGATTTGGAGGAAGGAGGTTGAGGCGGGACGGAGCGTGGAGGGGTTCTAGTCGTAGGTACTGATGTTTGACAGGAAAAGACAATCTATTTAGATCCTCGATCAACGCTTGGGAGATCTTGGTCAATGGCTTGGAAGATCTGATCCATGTGAGATGCAAAATCTCGAGCATCTTTGACTGTTGCGTGTTTTGTTGACGCTGGTGGGTATTAAACCAGTCGGGTCTGCATGGTGAGTCTTGTGCATTACACAGGCACCGACTATCTAACCCTTCCCATGGCTCGCACACCGCCTCCCGAAGAGAAGAGGCAGCGAGAGGCCGAGAAGCAGAAAACTCTAGAGAAAAAGAACAGGACGGGAAATGCGACGCGGAACATGTCCTTGGCCATGCGTGATAGCACAGCCACGACCAAATCTGAAGGCTCTGTATCCAAGGTCCAAAAGCTCAAGAACATGCTGAGTCGTAGGAGGCACGCAAATGCAAGCCGCCGCGGACGCGAGAGTCTCGAGGATTCCATCTTCAACGGGCCCGATGCAGGCGAAGAGTCCTCGCATGACATTGCAGGGCCAAGTGCAGAGGGTCTCCAAAGTAAAAGGGGCGGTGGATTTCTGGGAATGGTTAGGAGGAAGATCAAGACTGGGAAGGACGCGAGGCAGAGGAAGAAGGCGGAAAGGACGTGTGCGAGGAAGCACCACAAGGAGATGAAGAGGCTTCGGGAGCTTGAGGAGGGCAGAGTTGCGACAAAGGGGCGAGGAGAGGGCTAGGGTCCTTCCTGATTGCGTGTAGCTTGCAACAGAAGACGATGGATCTCCTCATGTCCCCGCATGGATGCCCATTCTATGCTCGTATTGCCATTCTCGTCGGTGAAATGGGGATTCGCCCCATGGTCTAAAAGTATCTCCACAGTCTCAACTTGTCCTCTGTAGGCAGCGACTTGCAGGGCAGTCGATGAGTATCTTCCGGATTTGGCGTCCAGGTACCACTTGGCCTCAGGATTCGTCTTATCAACAAGACCTCGACTAAACATTTCGTCGACAACTTGAGCCAGCCCGTATGAGGAAGCATAGTAGAGTGGCTGGGCTCTCTTGATGATCTCAATTGGTGTGTGTGGCAAGATTGTCCGTATCCAAAAGGCGAAATGGCCTCCGCTTTCCATCTTCTGTGATGCAAACAGGTCCAGGATGAGCTGTAACTCTGACTGAGTGAGACGGTAGGCTATTGCAAACTGACGCGCGTGAATTGCCCACATATTTCCCGCGTAGTGGAGTAAGGGGTACTCGCGAAAGAAGCTTCGTATGTCGTGACGACTGCAGCCTGATCCAATCTGGAAAGCATCCATTTGGAGGTAAGACAGACACTTCTGTAGCAATGCTCTTTCATCTCTGTCTTCGTCCATGGCGAAGTATGTCGCGGATGTCGATCTGATAGTATCGCTCTCTAGGAAAGTCACGACCGAGCTGTGTGCCAAAGACACGATTCCAGTCACGGCGTCCAGTCTCACCAAGCCTTGGCACATATCCAGAAGATCCATTGGTCTTGGAAGTCTTGAGCGTTTGCCAAATTGCTTCAAGCCGAAGCTGTATGCCACTGCCTCTGCAAGTTCGTCGATGCGTAGAGGTCTCAGCGAGTAGCTTAGCCACACCAAAGCCTCTCGGACTAGTCTCTGCCAGAACTTCGGCAGCTGAAGCAATCGTTGCAGCCGAAAGGTGTATTCATCATCAAGGTTGCTTGGGAGGTCATCGAGTGCCTCAATCACCTGGTCTGCAATGGGGATGCTGGAGAGGTATTCCATTTGATACTTGGCCCACATGAACATGCCGTTTGACTTAGGCACGATGATTTCGACGATCTTGTCCTCGTCTTCTGGCTCCAAGGCTGGATGTTCGCGAACTTTCTGCCTCACGTACACTTCGACATCCTGAGCGATTTGGGCTGGAATCATGTCAATACGCTTACATGTGCAACCTCTTGCAGTTAGTAGGCCTTCCGAAGTTGACGAGATCAGTAGCCTGACGTTTCGAGACCGGTTCACAATGCTTGCGATATTGGCAGCCAGCTCGCCTGCCTCATTGCTTTCGTTCAGCGCATCAAGCACTAGGAGTACCGAGGGGGAGGCGTAGGCCAGGTCCGTGATCAAATCCTGAAGGTGCGCAATGAGCACAGGTGCGGCCTTCGAAGCCTCTTCCTGAAAGCCGTCAAGAGCTTTTGGAAGCGGCGGAGATAATTGGACAGCCCAGGATCCGAGCACATTGCGGACCTCCTGAGTTTCGACCTTGTTGTAGACACAATAAAAGTACGCCGTCATGTCTGCGCCGACCTTGTGCTTCTGATGCTCGACAACCCTCGACAAGAGAGTACTCTTGCCCGATCCAGAGCTTCCGCAAAGCAGCATCACTCGACTCGTTGGATCGGAATCTTCCATCCAGGTCTTGAAAGCTCCATCCAGGAACCACGCTCCTGGATCTGAGACTCTCCATGCATGACAGACTTCTCTGTGCCTCTCATCAGGGGACGCGGGCGCCAAAAATTTGATGATGCTTCGTCGAGCTTCAAATTGTTCTTTCGTCTCGCGCTTCACGGTTTCGCCGAGTATCATGTCTTCGATATTTTCTACTTTTTGCAGCGTTGCTTGACTCGTGGCCTGGATCTCGATCAGATCTTGGGGCACCGATTGCAGCTCACCGATGAGCGCCAGCATGAGACTCTGATTTGCTCGGCTCAGTCTTTCCGTGTCTTGAGCGACATCTTTCTCCGTGAACGGCCACTTGAGGTACCGGAGTTTCCGCTTGAAACTAGACTCACCCTTGGACAATTGCTGTAACAATTGCGTCACGATACTTGAAGCATTGTCCAGAGAGCTGTCAAGCGCAGACGTTGGAGCGTCGTTTGTTGAAGGTCTGCGAGACTCGATATCTTCTAAAATGCCTTTCAACGTGCTGATCTCGGTGCATAGCCTGCTAATGTTCTTTGGGGCGTCCTCGACATTCTGGATGTACGCATAGAGCTTCGTGGACAGGTCCACTACTGAGGCTATCGTGCCCACGACGTCCATAACAGCCTACTGTGAAGCGTACGGAGACAAGTCTGAGTAGGATCGTCAATGACAAGGTATTTGATTGCTAGCATGTATGGGTCGAAAAGAAATCATCATGTTCAGCCGCAAGCTATCCGCCCCGGTCTCGACCCGGGTGCTTACATGGCGCTAATCATGCAGTGTAGCAGCATGATGCCTGGGGGAGAAAGTGGAGGAGCACGCTCGTCGTTCTACGAGCCTGAGTACAGAGTGAAGTGCAAGTCCGTATGGGATAAGCACCTGGAGATGTAATCATTCGTTGCTCGCAGGAGGCATAAAGCGGGTAACACGTGCCCCACGCGCTTTGCTCGTAGACGCCAAATCAGTCATGCTCATCCAACAGATTGCCGTCCAGATCTCCGTCGTCGTACTTGTCTCGGTTTCCGCTGTACACATGAATCCACCATAGATATGCACCTGTGAAGAATGCGCCACCGACAATGTTGCCCAGGGTGACCGGAAGCAAACATTTCCAGATGAAACCCACGATGCTCAGAGGTGCACCAAGCTGCATTCCAGTAGTAGCTAGATACATATACTCAACGATATGAGGAAATCTCGAGCTTGCAGATATCATGAACGGAAAGTGCAAGCACAGTGCCTTGGAGATGCCGTCTTGATTTTGTGTTCCGAGATACATGGCAATGGTTGTCAACCAGCCGCAACCGATCGCTCGCAGGAAGATGACGTGCCATGGCAGGTCGACGATGTCTTCAGTGATCTGCTGAACAATGGCAGAGTGCCAAGGCTGCTTCTCCAATGCATCGGTGGCGTTGGTGAACAAGGCGCTGAAGAGAAGTGCTCCGAGTAGATTGCCAGTCCAAGCCGCAATGGCGCCTCTCACGTATTGTAGCGGCTTGCCCTTCCGCTCAAGGAGGCACATGGTGTACCACATGGGATAGCCGGTGAAGAGCTCCGCTCCTACGAGATAGACCAGCACGAGGCCAAGAGGGAAGGTGGCGCCCTGAAATAGACGTTGGATTCCAGGATTATTCTGCTCTTGGATCCCGGCGAAGCCTGCTCCGAGCGTGACGGAGAGAAGACCTCCTGCTGAGATACACATGGCTCCATAGATGTTTTGGATAAAGGTCACATGTAGCGGCTCCGCAAGGTGATGGATGCCGTTTCGGAGGACCGCGTCGGAGGCCTCCGGTGGAAGGAGAGCGCCAGACTGAGGTGCCATTTTGATGTTATTTTGGTGATCTCCTCACGAAGATTCGCGTTGTATTGAGGGTAAGTGAAGGTGTCCAGCCATCTTCAATGGCCAAGGTGGTGTAAGCGCAGGATGACGTTGTTTGCCGTCCATCTTGCAAGGTTGACTTCATTCGGGTTTGTAGTGTTGTTGTCATCGAGAACATCTTTTATTCTTGACGTTGGCGCACGATGAGTCCTGATAAATCAGCACGAGCTGTGGATTGATTGTTGTAGGTCTTTTTGTGCTCTCGCCTAATTCAAAAAGGCGCGAAAGATAAGCCTAGAGATAGGCCATAACTATGGATAACGCTGTGTAACATTATATAAGGTTAAGTCGCCTTAGGGTCCGCTCCTAGTAGGCCGTTTGCATGTAACAGACGTTTTGAGCCATGTGTTCTTCGATCTCATGTTCAGCTATACACCCAAATGGAAGCGATTTGGCTTTTATATTCTATCTCCTTTACAACGCCTCCTGCCACTGCAACCAGGTCTGCATACTTCCTCATCGTGAAAAATTCATTGGCAGCACTGCTTAGGCAGCCTTGGAAACTGTCGGACTCGGCTACAACAACTTCTCCAGCTCGTTTTTGACCACACCCTTATACTTTTCGACCTATTCACCTGCTCTTGATCCAGAATGCGTCGCGTCCGCCAATATTCCACCGGCCCCTCCACACCCCTCCGAGACAAAGCCCCCCATGCTCAGTACATTCTGCAGCCCTTCTGCTTTCCGTGCTCGGAAGGAAGGATACAGGATTCCTGCCAATGAGCTTGGCCATAGCAGACCTTCATCTCCCCGCTCAAGCATTATCTTTTCCGCCGACTTTGCGTTTCGAAGACTCCATAGCGCACGGGCAAGACGGCGTCCCCAGTCTCTGTCGTCGTGCCAGAGGGAGACATTGTCTTGCCGATGGAGACGAGAAATCTGTTTGCCGATGAACTGTAGATCCGTGACGAAGCGATTGGCGCCATAAAGGATTGCTGTAGCTTCTTGGTGGCTTTTCCTGCAGGTTGTGAGGACACATTTTGCGACGTGACGGCTTGAGGTGATATGAGAAGATCAGATGGGCTTGAGAAAGCCGGTTGTAAGTAATGAGACAGCGAGAGCGCGGACATGTGTGTTACACGATGCTATAAATTCACCTACACGCTAGAGAAGACTCCAGAGCATGCCTATCACTGCTCATAGCCGCTCTGTCAAAAGACAAAATTGGCCGCTGGTCTACAGACCCTGTCGCACAGCACTCTTGAATGGAAAGACCTTGATCTGCACAATCACCTCGTCAGCAAAAGCCCCATTCGGCAACGACTACAAAACTCCATTCCCTTATACAACAACAGAGCACATACCTTCTCCACATCCCAAACCCCCTCCTTGTAATAGACATCGCTCTTCACGGCTTTCCACACCTCCTCTTCCGAATCCGCCTCGTACATCACCACGCTCCCGTTGATCTTCGGTGCCAGTCCCTCTTTCAACGGCTCATCCAGGCTCGCTCCGCCCAGCACGACCAATCCGCTGTCGACTTGTGGCTTGATCGCTTCGAGATGTTGACTGATACGATATGAATCAATTTTTTGCAGTCCTCTCTCTCTCTCTGTCTCTTTTTGGTGGTGGGGGGATGTTGTCTCTTACGGCCGAACTTTCATCCTCATTTCCAATGCGCCGGGCTTGTCCGGGAGGATGACCATCCATTCTTGCTTGCCCATGATGATCCTGCTATTCGTGAAGCTTCGCTTGTGATTGCCTAATGTGGTGGAGAGTGCGATGGGACGTTTCAAGGCGGTTCGCACGAGGGACATTGGAGCACTGTGCAATCCTGGCCGATTGGTAATGTTCGTTCAGACGGGATCGGAGCAAGTGGAGTTCAAGCGGGGCTCCGAAAGCGGAGGCGTCAAATATTCATGGGACGTTCATGGGGTTTGAGTAAGAGATTGACATTTCTCCTACCTGTGTCAGGTTCAATCTAGTACTTAGTAAAAACGAAGAGAAGGTCTTTCGATCTGAATCGGAGCGCTTGAAGAATACTTGAAGCCAGGTGTGGAACAATACGATAGGCGCACGGACTTAGCGATCACATGGTTCCAAGAGAAGCGCGGCTACAGGCACTCCATCAAGTCATCTATTCTTCCAGTCATTAGCGCTGCCGCGCTGTTTAGCTTGATCATTTCTAACTCCTCACATAGAACGAGCTTCAAGTTTCCAGTCGATAAGGAGATTCTGCCGCCGCACTGCCTATTCGTAACAGATCCCGCCACGTGCGACCCTAATCCCGCTGGTCAGGTCTCTCATGAATGCACGCCGTATCACTTATATCGGCTGCACAGAAATGGTCTTACAAATCTACAACTTCGCCTTCGCCGGCAACATAGCCTCCGCCACCATTCTTCTTTGAATCTTCCCGGTCGCAGTCCTGCAAGAGCGTCAGCATTCATCGTGACCCACAAGACAGAGATATAACTTACTTCGGCATGACCTTGGTGAAGAAGACCCTCTTCGGTACCTTGAAATTTGCGACTTTCTCCCTCATGAAAGCCTTCACACCCTCTTCATCTACACCGTTGCCTCCCTCTTTCAGCACAATTGCCACGCCGACCTCCTGCCCAAGCATTTCATCTGGCATCGCGAAAGACACAGCTTCCGCAACGGCAGGATGCTGCGCCAGGACGTTGTCAAGCTCAATCGGACTGATCTTCTCTCCTCCCTTGTTGATGAGCTCCTTGATGCGACCTGTAATGATGACATATCCGTCCTCGTCTTTCTTGCCCTGATCGCCTGTCCTGAAGAATCCATCCTTGGTGAAAGATTCTTTGTTCGCCTTATCATTGTTGATATATCCTTTCGTAACGTTTGGTCCACGAATGGAAATTTCTGCTTCGCTTCCTTGTGGCACTTCCTTGCCGTTCTGGTCGAGAATCTTGACTTCAACACCTTGTCCGATTCCGACAGAGCCGGGCTTTCTCTTCGCAGGCGGGAATGGGTTGGAAGTCATTTGATGAGCGGCTTCGGTCATGGCGTATGCTTCCAGTACTGGAGCGTTGAACGCTGCCTCGAGGTCGTGGAATGTCTTTGGAGACAAGGGAGAACTGCAGGAGCGAATGAAGCGGATCTTGGGCATCGGTTTGGGCCAAAGGTTCGGGCTCTTGAGCAGAATCTGGTGAATTGTAGGGACCGCGGTGTACCAGTTTGCTTTGTGCTGGACGAAATGTTTCCAGAATGTCGATGCGCTGAAGTTTCCAGGCACGATCACGGAGCCCTCAGATGAGAGAGGAGCGAGGAAGCCAGCGAGGAGACCGTGAACGTGGAAGAGCGGCATCACGAGCATGGTTCGATCGGCGGAGGAAAGGCTGTATGTATTCTTGACATTCTGCATCGTCCTTGTCAGGTTCCTGTGCGAGAGTGGAACAGCCTTCGGTCGACCTGTCGTGCCCGAGGTGTGCAGCACGAGGGCAGTATCATCTGGCTGTGCTTTTTCGACAGGTTGATTCCCCTTTCCCGCCAGCTTGCCATTATCCTTCACATCAAGTACCACCTCATTCGTCCTCGGATCTTGATAACACTCTGCCACTGCAGCGTTGTACTTTTTCGCAGCTTTCACAGCCGGTCCATTTGCCTGACCCTGCGGCACCAATACCAATGATGACGACAAATCGTCAATGTAGAATTCGAACTCGCTCTGTTTGTAGGCTGGGTTCAACGGCGCTGCGATGCCTCGTTGCCATGCTGCTGCAAGAAAGGCGACGATGAAGGGATAGCTGTTCGGGAGAGCGATCGAGACGGCGGCGCCAGCGGATATGCCGAGCTTCGCAAGCTTCTGCTGGAAGGAATAGACATCGGCGTAGAGCTGCTTGTACGAGATGTCGAGTGTTGGCGGTCCGGGAACGACTATGGCTGTCGCGTGAGAGGTCGAGGAGAAGGCATTGGAGAGGGTGCTCATGGTGGGCGAGTGCTCCAAGATCCAGCAATTGGGGAGGACAGGAGAGAGGGATGTGAGAGAGAAGTTTTCCACCTACTTTTTGTCTCGATGGATCTGGTTGACTATGTATCTCCGTGGCGATAGGTGCGGCGCCAGTATCGGCGAAGGGTGACGTTGGACTGACAAGGATCTTCCCTCATCCTTCGGCGGTGGCCTGAGCTTACAAATCCGCAAAATGGTTTTGCCGACTGCCGAAGCGGCACTCGCTATGAGTCGCGACTCACTCTACTACCACAATAACAACTTACGACAGCGACAATAAGGCTCCACGAGTGTCGCGCACCGCTATTGTCGACGTGAACGGTCAATATAAAGTCAGGCGCAGCTTTTGGCTTTATATTGAACCCGTTAATAGCGGTGCGCGGCTTTATATTAATTAAAAGCTATTATCGCGCTTATACTATTATAAGTACGAGTCTACAATATCGAATAATAAGGCAGCTACTAACAATAAGTAGGCTATTTTATAAGAAGGCATTCTTATCTAGCGAACCTAGACCTCTTTTCCTACCTAGATCGCACTCGCAGACTCGTAAATCGACAATTTATAGCATTAATCGACTAGGAGACTCTCACATTTATCTATAGACGACTCTACGACCGATACTGGCCTGATTATTAACCTACTCCTTCGCCTCCGCCTCAGTCTGCGCCCGAGAGCGCCCCAGTAGCAACTATGTCGGCCCCGTAACTACTGCGATTACGGTGTGTGAGAGTGTGGTGGTGCGGTAGCAAAACCGGCAAAACCATTTTGCGGATTTGTAAGCTCAGGCCACCGCCCTTCTCTCCGGCCACAGACATCAACATTGACCCCACCATCGGGACCACTTGACAGCCAGCTATTAACGTTACGTGGATTGAGAAACGTGTGCGAGCACGATGGACCGATTCAAATTCAAAACAGTACGAGATAGCCGAGGATCGGGCAGAATCGCGGCCGTTTGCCATTCCGCAGTGCCAAGTCCTCACACTCGACTCCTAGAATCTCAATACCCAGGCGAGCTATAAGACATAGAAACCTTGACTTCAGTCGCATCATATGGCGAGATCAAACGGCTACTCCTACTTTCTCCGCGCTGCCAGAATGCTGGACAATCGCCGCACAACAGCTCGTAATCTTATGGATGATCTCACCACAGCGCCTAGTTGATTGTAACGACGGACATCATGGCAGACAGCATGGATTTGCCTCGTAATAATATGAAAGAAAGCAACAAACCTGACTGGATGCGATATCTTGACATTTCGAGCCAGCATTCGGCACTTCCTGCGCCACACTACGGCAACCGGGTAATCGAGAGGACGGTATGGAGCCGGCAATCGGCGCTGCATATGCACATGAGAGCCGCTCTTGGCTTCAATATAGTAAACTGCAAGCCAAGAGATGAGGCGACATGCTGCATAAAGCTTCCTTCAGGGGATTATATGGTTGCTTAGAAGCTTCGATATGGAAAAGAATCTATGGAAAAGAATCTTTCCGCGAGAAAACGTGCTCCAGATACACAGCAACCTCGGCGTGTGGTTTACTCTCAGTCCAGTGCTACTGACCTCTCCATGAGATCTTCCGGAATATAAAACTAGGCAGAGTCTTCCACACCGCCTCTGAATCTGACGGCCAGGCCCTCAACCTCGGGCAAGCTATTTCAAGCCGGCGGACAACGCAATGTTGGCTTCTCCAGAGCACAAGTTGGTAAAGTCTAGGTCATAGAGTCCTCTGCACCTTCAGTCGCTGGTAAGGGGACTCAGCCTGAAATTCGATAGTCCTGGCGACGGAAGGGAACATGTGAGGGAATGTGGGCCCGTCTTTGCTGAACAAGAGGACGGCAGGAACTGGCAACCAGAAAGACAAAGTTGATCACGCAATGTTGCAATGTTCTGTATGCAATGATCGCGATGGAGGTAATTCGTTGCATACAACAAAGCTGCGGTCGGCTAGGCAGCCGGCCTAACACTCTCGCGTGAAGCACGAGCAGGTCCAAGCTTTTTAAGGTTTCCAGGCACGCTGCGTGCATGTGAAATTGTGGTTGACGACTTCACCTTCCGAAGCGGGTTCGATTCTTCTGCACTTCTTCGACGGGGCCTTTCGTCTCCGCATTCTCAACACCAACGCCGCGACGCAACTATTCGCACCGCTCTCTACCACACAAAACACCTCTACCGAGAAAGCAACTGACAGCGCAACCTTCAATCAACGCCACCACCACGCTCGCTCCACAGACCGTCAGCACCATGGCCATCGTTAAGAGCCTTCCGGGCTTCGAGGTCGCCATCGTCGTCGATGGCAAGCCGCTTGCTGAGCACATGGACAAGGACGCGCCCGATGAGGAACGCAAGGCTATTCGCTACATTGAGGCGGTCTCTGACAAGGTTTTTGAGGTCCACATAGCGGCGAAGAAGGGCATTGAGATCAAGGGCGATGCTGTTACCGCTGAAATCTACATGGACGGCCAGTATGCGGATGGGCCTATGATTGAGAAAGGCGCAAACTGCTTCTCCGACGATATAGCAATCAGTCGGGGGTGGGATATCTCAGCCACTGAGGTTCGGAAGTACTGCTTCGCAGCAATCGACACTGGTCAGTTACTTTAGTTACTTTGATTGAATGAAGGAGTAGACTTACTTTTCGCAGCCGATGACAAGCGTGCATTCCATGGGGAGGCCGAAAAACTCAAAGACCTCGGCAGTATCAGAGTAGAGCTCGAATATGTCGAAATAATATCTGAAACCTCCACATGGGAGGAGGATCCAAAAGAGATCGGAATAATTTCAGAGAAGGCTCTGGCGGTGCAAGGCAGATCGATATCACATGCTGTTGGGTACGTTGGTGAGATTATGATCTGTTGATATTAGATTACTGACAGCTTGCCTCAGGATGCAGCCAGCCGTGAAGGTGCAACCATTTGTTCGCTGGGACACTCGAACCATCGATCCCTCGGGTAAAGATAACGGTGTAATCACCTTCCGCTACGCATCGAAAGGTAAGCTTGGCATCCACAAATGTAGCAATCAGCCAACTGACTGTCACAGCTTCCCTGCAATACTCCGGCATCATTCCACGCACTCCAAGCCCACCGCCACTCGAGGATAAGGAGGAACTCACTCCCGAGGAAGTAAAGCAGCTTCAAGCAGAGCTGAAAGCTCGGAAGGTACGCATTCATTACAGGATATCTTGTTGGAAGCTGACGCTAATAGATGTACAGCGCAAGGAGAGCAGACTCGCCGAGATTAAGAAGGAACACATCGCGAAGAGACGCAAGGTCGCGGAGCCAAAAGCGGGCGACACCCAGTACGTCCTGGACGACAACGGTAGCGTCAGTGAGCAGTCCACCGATCATCTGGGAAGCAAGAAGCGGGCTCCGGTTGAGATCTCGAGCGGCGAGGAGAGTGATGATGAAGTGTGAGCTCGGGGCTGTTCGAGAACAACTGACACGAAGACATGCGAGGGAGAGCTGCGATCACGGAACGGGCCATCTGGGCCCGAGCACAAAGCCCTTTCATCGTGGTCTAAGAACGGTATGTCGTCTTTTCGAGAATCTGAGCACACATTATGGGTCTTTTGAGAGAGTGCGCTAACCCCACATCTTCTGACCAATCACAGTGTAGGCTAGTTTTCATGTGAAGATGCCTAGCAAAATAAGTTTTTGTACTTGACCACGGTCGCCGTCTGAATCCAGCCATTGAGTGGGAGAGTATGGATACGCTTCTAAGAATCAGTTTCATCGAGTCTCAGGCGAAGTGATTGACCGACAATATTAGCATCTCCATGACAGGTAGTTCTCAAAGGCAAATGAAGAGGAGTACTTGACTTTGTAACAGCTTTACACTTTACACTCTCGGGGTGACAGGCATCTCCACCTTGAGTTTGACGTATGACGTCGCTAATCACATGCGCAGGCTGTAGCACAACTATTCCCATCAGACTCTTGCGGACTAGAAGGTGCAATGCACACCATACTCACTACACGTAGTAATCGCGCAGCGCGGCAGAGGCTTCCTTCTTCTACTACCCCACAACATATCTAACCGAATGTAGATAGTGGATGTGGAAGAAGGAAGTCACGAAGCGCGCATGAGAAGGAAGTAGCAGCGCAAGACGCAGCGGAGGGACCGTGCACACCGATTGGGCTCCGACCTTCGCTTTTCTACGACTCCAACTTGCTCCTTCTCCTTACCATGTCGTCCACCACTCCACTTCAACTACAACCCTAACTTGAGAGAGCGTCTCCAACATCGCAGTACAGCCGCAATCCCATCACAGCACTGCGGTCTGAACATCGCTGGCAATGGCAGTTGTCGACGAGTTGCCGGGTGTTGAGGTCACAATCACCGTCGACGGCCAGGCACTGGAGGAATATCTCGATGGTGATGAACGCAACGAGCCCAATGCGGTGACCAAGTTCGTCGAAGCGACGACCGGAAAGAATTTCGAGATTGTGTACCTTGTCCGCAAAGGCACCGAATTCAGAGGAGACTGCATGGCATTCGCCATTTCTGTGGACGGTTCCAGGATGGGACGTCCACTAGTGAGAAAGGAGAGTTGTCTCGATAAAGATGCGAGCGAAAATCTAAAGGGTGCGATAGTCCCAGGTTGCAAGCTCAAGAAGTTCGAATTCGTGGCTTTAGAGACAGGTATGTTAGCCACGACGTAGCGAGGTAGCCCCTCAGAATAACACGATCACCAGTCCAAGATGGCCATTCAAGCTTCGAAGAGATCGCGAAGCTTCAGGGATTAGGCTGCATCAAAGTTGAAGTATTCCACAGAATCATCACAGGGGAGAGCTCAAAACATAACCCACGGGTGGGAACTTTCCAGCCCGTTGATTTCGTCCCTGAGAGAGCAGTAAAAGGCAAAGCGCTCACTCAGCAGGTCAAGTACGTGTCTTGTTCCCGAACTCGCATCCTCGCTAAAGCAAATGACTAGATTGGGAGATACGGTTCCTTGCGCGCCAAGTATTATGTACTCCAGCCGACCTGTTGATGCTTCCGGAAAGCCGGCCGCTACATTCATGTTCAATTACCGCACCAACAGTAAGTAGCGTAGATCGATCGTGCGGATCCGGTACTGACATGCTCGTAGATGCCCTCAAATCGTTGCTCATCATCCCACGTACCCCATCTCCTGAGCCACCAACGCCGCTTCACCTCCGCGATCCTACGACTCTGACACCGGCGGAGATTGTCCTCTTACAGCAGGGCTTCGCTGCAGCTGCTAGTGAGAAGGTGAGTACGAGACATTACATGATGTGAGACATCTCGACTGACCATAGGTAGGAGGCTAAAGCGGAGAAGATGTCGAAGGTCAAGCGCGAGCACCCCGATGACAGCGACGCTCCCCGTAAGAAGGCTGCTCGACCACAGGCTGGCAACACTCTACTCGAACTCGATGAGGAGGGCGGTTTTCGAGAGTCGTCCATAGCTACGCTCGGTGGGCAGGAGAGAGAGATCATTGAGATTGACTAGCTATCCCAATCATGAGGGTATGTTTCGAGAGTCGTCCACGCTAACAATCGGCTTGAAGGAGAAGGAGATTTTTGCGATTGACTAGCTATCCCGATGAGGAGGGTTCTTTTCGAGAGTCGTCCACAGCGGCGCATGGCCTGGAGAAGAAGGAGATGATCGAGATTGACTTGCCAGCTCCGACAATCCGGCTCGACTACACGTGCCGGCACTCTTCATATGGAGCTTAATATCCAAATGGCAACATGTGCTACGTCCAGGAGCATGAGAATAGAAGCTTCTTCAACCCAACTTCTTACCGCATTTGTTTTGTTCTTTCTTTTCTGACAACATCAATGATACACAGCTCCGACAGCTACCGACACGCCCAAATTTCTTTCTTTCAACGACATCACCGCGCTGTTCAGGATGGTCCTCTTTGAGATTCGCGATGTCACAGAAGTTCGTATCGACGTCGACGGCGAGCCGCTTCCAGAATACACAGATCAGGAATTTCCAGATCAACCCAACGCGCAGGACGTACAGATTATGCAGGAATAGAAGGCGGAGGTCAAGAGAGAGAACGTCAATCAGGAGGGCAGCCGTCCTCACAAGAGAGTCGCACGCTCTCACAGAGAACTACCCACTTTCCTCGTTGAGGACCATGCTGGAGACCTCCGAGAGGTGGCCTCGGAACCCTCGTCTATCGCGAACGTAGTGGAGGCAAGGGGAAACATCGAGCTGGATTAGGCTTCGCCTGATTTGACGCCATCTTCAGCGAATACGTATTACATATGTTGCAGCCCTCGTGCGCGGTGAAGGTCCAGGGGCGGGTCCAGCTTGGAGCGCCATAGCAACAGTCGATCGCCTTCTCGTTGCGGGTGCTTGATTGTTCCGATGTTCGAGCTGCCGAAGGGCATTCTTGTCTTCTCGAAAATCATGGGAAACACTTAAGGCATTGGCGAGTCGGCTTGCGCGAGATCAGAGGTAGTAGTCGTGGAGATGACACTCCCATGTGCCAGAGCGCCGTAGCAGAGGTCGACGTTGAGGAGAATACATTTATTTCCAGGTGCCTACCTTTCTTTCACGTTCTCCATCGTCACTTCCTGTGCTTTACTTTAGAAACTAGCGCCGGCGCTAGCCGAACGGAAAGTCGCATATGACAAGACTCCACCTTTAGCTTTGACTGCCTTCTCTTCACCTTTCCAATCAGCAGCATCCTCTCGCAGACAACAGTCCACACCCAGCACGCTCCTCAGCCATCGCGCCGACATGGCAATCACCAGTGCGATCCCGACCATCTCGGTAACTGTCAACCGAAAGGACGAGCCGCTTCAGGAACACGAAAACAGTCAGGTCACGACTGACGACGAAAAGGTCGTGCGCTTCGTGGAAGCCGTCACTGGCGAGAACTTCTCAGTGCACGTCAATGTCGGCGCCGGCACAGGATTCATCGGCGACTCCCTCGCTGTCCACGTGAGCGTCGATGGAACACCAGTCGACAGTGCGGTCACGATGCTCAACGGTGAAACACATACCGGCAGTATCATCACAAGCCGAGGGGTCTACTTGAGTGATGGGAAGGTGCGGAAGTACCGATTCGCGGAGCTTGACATAAGAGGAGAGGGCATACCATCGGCAGAGGAGATGCAGAAATTGAAGCAGCTGGGCGAGATCCGGGTGGAGGTGCACCATCAAATACGTGGAAACTCTTCAATGCACAGCGGAGTGAGAGGTGCGCATGGAGTCGGCACGGTGTCGGAGAGAGCCCTCAAGGGTCAAAGTCTCTCCCACAGTGTTGAGTGAGCAGTATTTTCTGTCACAATTCTGGGCTGGTGCTGACAATCTGCAGTTTTGAGGAAGCCGAGCAATTTGAGGGATTCGATGCGAGATACTATGATGGAGACTACATCGATCCAGACCTGGCACCAGCTTCAGTCTATATCTTCCGCTACCGCTCGCGAGAGAAGCTTATCCAGATGGGTATCATTGAGGGCGAGGCTCCTGAGCCAGAAGCTGAACAGTCCTTCGAGGAAAGACCACAGCCGTCCGCGACGCCAGACAAGGAGGGGCAAGGAGTGGGCCGGTCATCGCAGGTGAGTCGTTGCGTGCAAAAGTGTGCATCAAGATTGGGCACAGCTAGCACACTAAAATCGCAGACCTACGACGGCAGATCCGTGAAGACTGAGTATGACGAAGGGCAGATTCGCGCGCAGAGAAAGCGAGCCAGAGAAGAACTCGTCATGATCGAGCTTGACAACAGCGGCGAGGTTTTCCGGACTACCGTGACGAAAAGACCCAAAACGAAACCAACGGCTGAATTTGAGATCGATTGAGTTGGCTTCAGTGTCTCGCAGCCGGTGCTGGCTACTTCAACGGTGTGTCGACGAGGGGCTTGCGGGTGTGGATTGGCTCCACGAATGAAAGCATATACTTCAGATATGCGCACGACATGATATGAGATAGCATGTCATGAAGTCACAGATCTTTGGTATGTTTGAAAATCAGGTAGCGAGACCAAGATTTCCAACGCGTATCGTTTTCTCTCGTAGCAATCTCGTGCGTACTAGGGTTGCGAATCGCCCAATCCAAACATCCGTATTGAGTTCCTCCAGGCAGTCTCGGCAACTTCCTCCACACTGAGCCCCTTGACATTTGCAATTGCATATGCCACGCGAAAAATCGCACACGGCTCATTTCTTCCTTTTACCATGCATTCTGCATTCCACTTCTCCTTCTTGACTGCCTTTGGTAATTCCGGGGCATCTTTCAAGTATTTTGAGCTTGCGTGACTGGGTCGCATCTCACACCATGGTCCGTCTGTCTCAATCTGTAACCTCTCCAGCGGCACTTCCTTTACCACTGCCATATTCTCTTCCGCTTTCATGCTGCACCCGTTTATGCCGATGTCGAATCCCATGTCTATGATGCCCTTCATCTCTTCCAGTGTTCCAGTGAAGGAGTGCACGACGCCTCGCTTTGGTAATCGGTCCAGTCGTTTGCGAAGGATGGCTTCGAAATCTGCCGCAGCGGCTCGGGAGTGTAGGAATAGCGGCATCCCCAGGTCGCAAGCGACGTCCAGTTGTCGTTCGAACCATTTCATCTGTGTTTCCTTATCACAATGTTCCAATCTATCGTAATCCAATCCGATTTCTCCAAAAGCTGTCGCGGTGCCCGCATCTCTCGTCTCGATGGCCAGATTCTTCAGATCTTCCAACAACGCTTCGCCTCCTTCCTCTAGACTCTTCGCAGAACAAGGGTGTACTCCAATCGTCGCGTAGCAGAGGCCAGGATACTCCTCCGCAAGCTTCACGGCGTTTTTCGACTCGGTGTAGTCGGATCCCGTGATCATCATTTTGCGTACACCATATTTCTGGGCGCGGGAGATGACGTGGATGAGGTCGTCTTCGTGGTTTCGTTTTCCGTGCCCGATTCCGCGGAAGATGGGATCGGAGAGGTTGATGCCGATCTATACCTGGATGTTTGGTTAGCAAGTTGGAGAGGACTGGGGATGGGATTGGAGAGGGACTGACATCTGCGTATCGGAGAGAGCGTTTGGTGTCGCCGTTTGTTTCGGCTGAGGCAGTTGTGGAGGCCATCCTGAGTGGTTTCAGACAGGTCTGATATTGATAGAAGCCCCTTGGACGCAGTAGGGGTGTTGTAGCTCTCAGTCTGAGAGCGAGACGGGCGTGCATGTGATGGAACTAAAGATTACCGGAAGAGGTGAGGTTCAAGTCAACCAGGGGAACCGGCGGTTAAACGTTGAGCCTCCATGAATATTTGATGGCAAGTGTAAATCAATACAAGCATTCGTTAAGCATGGTTGAGCGACAGAGGATCACAAGAGAATCGGGAGCAGAAAAATAGGATTGACACGTCACGTTCAAAGACTTCATTCAGAAACGACTTCCACTATCTCCAGGATTCGTTTCACCCCACACCATGCTGTCGGAAAGGGCACTGGCTCTCCGACAAAAGCAATCCCCAGAGAGAGACCGACACAATCCTGCCAACAGCCATCTCGTTATCGCACTATTTTGAGTGCATCTCTGATCCTTCCTCTGAACATCTTCTTGCGCTCCACCGCGATCTCCTCCTCCGTCAGGCTGTTGTTGGCCATGGAAGCTTTGCATATTAATTCTGTGCCTTCCTTCTTCCTAGCATTCTCGCTTCTAACTAGAGAACAATGCACTCAAGTCATCGTTGATTGCTCTCCCACAGACTACCTCCGCTCGTCTGTAGCAGCGTCTGTTCTTCTGAGAAGAGAACTCAACAACAGCAGGGACAAGGGTTATGACGACGTCCATGTGGGAGTCGCCAGAGCCTTTTCGAAGAGCAATTTCACTCGCATCGTCAGGAAGAGACCTTCGATTGAACCAGATGAATCTCGCTTGATTCGGTGGTCCGTCCATCCTAGCCTTGAGCGCATATGCGGCCTTGGCGATATCGGCAAATAACCGTTGCAGCTTCGTGCGCCATTGAGAGTGCAGGAAGTTCTGCGGAAGTGCATTCAGGTGCTCCATCAGAACGAGTGCCATCTTGTCGGCAGCTACATGAGCCGAGGGAAGCATCGTCTCGTTGATGAAGTTTTCGTCTCTGTATTGGGCGAGAACCGCTTGCCTGCACATGGTATCGAATGAAGCAGCCCCGTCTTTGCTGTTGAGATCGATAATTGGAGCCAGATACTTCCTAATAGGCGAGTCGTCGTCATAGAGATCCCGAGCCGATCGCCAGGGAGTGTCCGTTAGGAAGATTAAGCTCCCAAGCATGTTCCAAATCAGCGCTCTCAACAAGTCGTCAGCTCGCGCGTCGTTGCAGTGCATCGCAAACATCCCAGCGCCTGAAAGCCAATCCTCTCCAAGAGCTGATTTGTATACGTCAACAAGATTTCCTGATGGTTTAAAGTTGAGGATCGGCGGAGCAGTGCCTTCTGTGCTTGCGAAGAGTGAAGAGACCGCCTTTCTGATCTTCTCGTCGAGGATATGTACTGCATCAGCGATGTCTTTGGCGTCCATGATAGGGGTTTCAGACGGCCGATTAACTTCTATTGCGGGTATGGGGACGTTCGATGAAGTGTTTTCTACCGTGACGTCCGAAGCGGTGATCGGACCTGCGAGGCCTTCCTCATTGGCAGATGCAAGCGACTGCAGTGCATCTGTGGTTTCGTTGTTTGTGCGATCGCGTTTTCGCAAATCGTCCATTGTCTTACGAAGAGCCTCCCCGCGAGATTCAAATTCACCTTGACCAGGTATCTCGCCCATGCGGCCTTCAGGTGCAGAAGGCGCTCTCTGCCAGGACTCAGTTAGATGGCGCCCTGCTTTTGGCGCGCTAGGTTTCGTGTTCTTAGCTGCCGCCAGACTATCAACGTTTTCTGTACCGTCTTCATAGGAACCCGCGTTTCTTTTGTACTTATGCGATTGAGCTTGTGCGGAAACATTGGTCTTCGATGTATAAGGGCCGTTGGCCTTGGGACGAGTGCGCCGCCGAACGTCAGAAGGGTCTTGATGCTGCTCGTATTCTGAGTGTTGCCGGGTTTCCTCTTCGGCAATAACTCGGTCCTGGTTGACCGCGCCTGGTCTGGTTTTCATTGCAGATTTGCGACTCTTTCCTGCCGGCTTGAATGGGACATTGTCGACCTTAGACACTCGGGTATCATATGGACCACTGACTTCTGGACTCGCATCACCATAGGGCGCACGGGTGAGAGAGGGTCCTGAACGCGGCACTCTGGAGTCGTCTTCGTCTTCTTCCCAATTGAGAGGATCTTCATCGTCTGGACCAAGATTTACATCTTCTACCGCTTCCTCATCTTCGTCTCGATCGTCCACGTAGCCTTTTTCACGATCGAACGCAGTATCTTTGGTTCGCTCCAGCTTTTGAGACCTTTGTGGCTTCGCGCTTGTGAGTTCATGGCCCTCACTCTCACTTTCAGACAGGGCTGTCGGCATAACGGGCCATTTTTTTGGTTTCTTTGGCAAGGGTCTGCCGTCACCACTTTCCAACAGATTTCCGCCGAACGCTTCACTATGCTTTCGCTTCTCTTTTTCCTTTCCATTTTGGCTAGTAGAAGGCTTGAGGCGAGACCCAGCAGAATCATTCCAGGATCGCTGAGATGAGTTGTGAGGTGGATGCAAGCCAATGCCAGTCCCATTGCGGATGTGACTTCGATTTCTGGGAAGGTCCTGGCCCTTGAAAGGTAAATTTCGAGAAGCAAGACCGGCGCCGATGTTTTCATTATCAACATGCATCTCGTCCCCGACATCGTGAGTGTTGACTCCAGACCCCTGTTCCTGATTGTATCGCGTAGGCTGTCTAGAGGCTCGCGTCTGATATTGTTCGTCAGAACTCGATGTCTGTAGAGACACGCGCTGTTGCGTCTTCGCAACAGTCTTTGGCTTGGTTGGAGAGCGACCATACTTGGCCCTTGTCGGATTCTTGTAGTCCTGAGCCAGAGACTTGAGAAACTTGCGCGGCTTCTTCTTGGGTCGCTCTGCTTCGTCGTCATATCCAGCCATCCCCTCGTCTTCATCCTCCCTCTCTTCCCTCGCACGCTTGCCGTGCAATGCTTGGCGTCCGTCTTGCGACTCAACATCGTGCGGATATGACACAGAAGCATCTGCTAGAGCATCTCTTCTCAGTCCTTCTCCGTCTTCGTCTCCTCGGTCTTCGTCCTCTCCGCCTTCTTCTCCTTGGTCTTCGTCCTCTCCGCCTTCTTCTCCTTGTTCTTCAGGTTGTTCCATGCCTTCATTGTCCTCATGACTGTGGCCATGTGTGCCATCGGTTTGAATGTCCTGAGATGCGGCGGGAGGAGCCTGCTGGGCGTTGGAGTTCGAGGCACTGTTATTCGGGACTGGCGGTGGATTTGCAGCAGCCGTCGGATGGACAATAGGTGGAGTATAGTCTATCTTGACAAGGTATGCATTTGAGAAGATCCGACTTCCAACTAGGAGCACAGTGTCCAAAATGCTACCAGACAAGTCTTGATATAGCTGGCTGCGATTGTTCTTCGCTGCCGCCGCTTTCAGGGACTGCAGGATGGATTTGCCATCGTGTACTGCACCTTCACCGTAGCCTTTGCCCTTCCAAGGAAACTGGCCACGCGCGGCAATGTCGTTCATAGCTGCGCTCATGAGTCTCAGCCGGCTGTGAGCGTCTAGGTGCTGGGTGAGATTCGTGTCGATGTGCTGTAAAGCCGCCCTGATGACAGCATGATTGTTCTGCGCTGCCATGATTGTACCCACAGAGCTGATACGCGTCGGTCGTGAGCAGTTTGGTGTCCAAGTGAGTGATGTAGGCGAGGGTTGCAAGAGCAGTGTCTCAAAGCGGTGGCCAAGACAATGCGCAGAAGCTCACCGACTGATCTCCCCGACAACGTCTCTTCGAGTTGCGTCGATTTCGAGCTGCGAAGTTTCTACGCGGCGCCTTGACCTTCTATGTGGTTTCGCGAGATCACTGACGTGACGCGTTCTTTCATTCACTTTTCCATTGCCCACACGTGACACGGGCCTTCTCGAAAGACATCTCTTCCCCCGAGTCTGGGCCTATCACGTCAATCAGAGGCGCAGAACAAATGCTTTCCCCACCCAAAGACTTGTGAATTTCTTTGTGAGTTCCACAAGTCGAAATCGCCGTACTCCATCCATGTCCTAGTGGTTTTCGACTCCGGCTCGAGCTGTCCCGCGCTTCGGCGAATTGGGTCCCCATTTCAACTAAGGCCGTCTACAGCCCTTCGACCAAGTGCCCCGTGGTTTCAGCCAGGCTCCTCAACGGCCTTTTGCGCCACGGCTCTAGTCTTCATGCCGGCTTCCAGGGCTCTTCGTAGGACAGCAAACTTATTCACGCCTAGATGCCCAAAGGACCCCGTCGTATAGGTGCTTAAGGGCGTGTACTCAAGTGAGCATCTCCCCCCGGATCCCAGCTCCAGCGAGGTTCGAATCGACCGGTTTAAGTGGGACGAGCAATCTCTGGCGCCTTACAAGCGACTTAAGCATCGCGAGCTCTACCCCGAGCGCAAAGATTATCCGCCACATCCTGCGAAGTCCACCGAAGGCACATTCGAAGGCCTCCCAGCCGAGATCAGAACCGAAATCTAGAAGATCCTGCTTTGTCATGGCTACATCGAGCTGTCTGCACAGACGAACGTTAGCAAGAACTCAAACATCTGCGCCGGGAGATATGATTTGAAGCGGTTCCGGAAGGACGTGCTACCAGCTCTGCGTGTTCTGCGCGTGAACTCCCAGTCACGGAGCGAGGCAGCTCCCATCTTCCATGGCAGCAACGAATCCCGCTTTACCAGTGCCGAAGGCTGGCACGCCGCAGCTACTTGGATTCGGCAGATTGGCTGTTACAATGCGTGATGTCTCCGCAAGATCACAGTGCTTGTCCCATGGTATGGTTCGTTGCAGGATGGTATAGAGGATGACGTTTCAAATGGCCAGATGGTCCGGTTGCGCCTGGTCCTCTCAGATGCTTTCGTGCCTGATTCGCCGAGTTCAGATCGAGCCACTGTTACTTGGAGCCAAGGAAAAGGAGACGTGCCTAATTAGTATGCCGCAGGCTTCGTGCTCGACCCTCGAAGAGTCCATGGCCTCAAGATGCAGCTCATCCGCCTTCACGGTGGATGGTCAGAGCAGGCAGAGGGCGGTCCACTGTACGTGGTCATGCTGGGAGCAGAAGGTCTCCTGCATTTAGTGATTGGGCGTCGCCAGGCGAGGGAGAAGGGTTTCAAGCTTCTAGATATGCCCTACGATAGCAGAGGCTGCTACGCTGTGCCTCTAGAGGAAGGCGACGGAATGTTGGATCTTGACGTCAAGACGATTCCAGACGTCCTGTCTCTTTACGTTTAGAAAGTCTATAGTGGCCAATGCAGCCTCGACGAGGGCTTTACTGGGACTCCAGAGGTATTCTTTCAGTATGTTGACGCGTGTAACAGGTAAAACAGGTAATCGTGATAGACCATGTATGGGTTCTAAATGCCACCGCAAGCTTATTTGTTCGTGAGATGGATTGGCAATGGTAACGAAGCACTTTTAAATGGGATCGAGGAAAGTGATAAGACGAGACGAGAAGGACGTGGACATGGAGTCTCAGATTTCGTACGCGTCGTGGCCCGTGCACCCGCGTGAGGTGCGCTAGCTTCTTGCGGCTGACAGACTTCACCGCAACATCCTTTCCACCAACACCACCTTCCACTCGTTCACTCTCTGCATATGACGCTCATCTGCTCTGTTTCGTCACTGGCAGACACGCAACGATACCTCCTGAGCTCTAGAATTCGCAATACTGACGCCAAAGACCACGTAATCGCCACTAGAAGACATCAAGAGCATGAGACGATGGGAGTAATGGCAGCCGACATCAGTTCCCGTCTTACTTATTCCAGTCGAGTAATACCGAACGCACCAGAATGTCCCACGGCACCGGAGCGCGGTAGTTCCTCCTGAGCGACGTCGGGTGGCCGCCAAGGCTCTCACAAGCCCTATCGCTCTCCATCGGGCCCTGCAAGTGTGCGCGACTTGAGATTAGGTCGCCCTGCACGGAAGGATCTTCTCTAGCGTCATTCCAGGTCACCGGGACAAGCTACCACTTGGCTGCTTGATAGTGCGGGAGCGCTATATTGTCCCTCCACTTTTCCACTGCAGCATGCGGCCAAATCGTGCGGCGAAGCCGCTTCGTGGAGACTTTGCTGGAAGGAGGCGAACTACAAGTGCTTTCAGCAGAATGCGATCGAAGGGGCCCTCTGGATTGCATCTCGTATTATTACGAATGGCGATGCTACTACTCATCCAATTCGAGAAGAGAGGCAAAAGAGTGGTCCGCGATCCGATAACATGATGCTTTCTCAATGATATACAACGTGAGAGGAATCAACTCATGAGTGGAGAGTGCTTGGAAGACTGGAATGACTCCTTAACGCCCCGCAAAGCATCACTTCTTAGCTGCGTCCAAGCCGCGATCTATCGATGCCAGAATATCACTGAGGAGCTCCGGCGTGGTCTTTTCGCACTTTCTTTCCTCCCGCTTGGAATTATGGCTGTTCAGCCGTTCATCATTTCTCGACTGATGCGGCCACTATCGCTATGCGCCGGCAGGGTCCGCATGGGATGCACGGCCATGAAGTCATATATCACCACTCAACGAACAGCGAGGCATATCAGCTGAGAACAACTCCGGGTCTCCAGTGACAGTCGCCTTTCCTTTGATCACTACGGCTTCGAGAACAGGGAGAGGTGGCTGGGGTGATTTCGACTGTGGGAGTCTGCGCAGTCTAGCCCTCAATGCGAGCTTGCACTGCATAGGTGTCCTGCACCTATCCTTGTAAGACCCAGCACTGATGCACGCTTGTAACAAGCTGCATCAGTCAAAATGTGAAAGCGCGCTCCAGCCACCAATCACAACCGCAGAGCACCGATAATCTGGGCAGAATTGTAAGATCGATATTGACTTGCGTGACCAGGCGGACGCGGAGGCGGCCTTGCTTGATGACAGCGGGACGGGAACATATGCAAGTCTAATCCGGGCTCGTCGGTCCGCCCAAATGACGAGACATTGGGCGCAGCGGATCCCGAACTGTGGTTGTTTTCAGGCTAAATTGTTGAAGCGGCAAAAGTGGCCTGCTTCGAAAGAGCAACGGGAATGCCCGCACCCGGGAAGCGCCAGCTCTGAGCCGGAGAAACCTGGATAGGACGCAAAACTGGATCTTTAGGTTTACATCTCGACGATCGTACACAATGGTTGATTTCGTACGGAAAAGCTCGGCGCATACCTCTCGGAGGAACTGACGCTAGACTCTCTGTTGTTGCGAACAGTATGGCCTACATTTCGCGGGACGTTTGGACGCTAGGATGGACTTCAAGTGAGGGGCAAAATGTTGTTTCCCAAGACAGGAGGGAGCAAAAGCAAGAGGTCAGGCCGCCTACGCTCTGCGGTAGCCAGGAAAGCCACCTCCTCGTCAAGGTGCGGACACAACATCACGCTTGATGACGCATGCTGCACAGCGATCTGCAAGCTGTGGCTGTCTTCACCTCATTTGCCGACCCCTCGAGCCGGCGATTACCCTTTCGACTGGGGCACACGGTGCATCACAGTGCTTGTGGCGCACGAGCAGATCAAGCTAGGCATGGAGTGCACGTGGAGACCTTGTCGATGAGATCTTGTGGTGTGTGTGTTGTGCCATCTTCGAGTTGCGGCACAGCAAATCGGCTCGTTTGTTTGCTATGAAGCAAAAGGACTGAAGTGGGCAAGCTTACTTGCCCCTTCGTCGCACATCTGCATTTCGTCTGCGGACGAACAATGTCACGTTGACAGCCTCTGCTTCGCTACCTATATCAGCAGCTGTTGTGCAGCCAGCGATGCTGGGGGTGAATGAGGTTGCGGGAGGCTCCGCGGGGCAGCGCGGACACGGAGAGGGCGCCGAACTTACTGCATGACATCTGGTTGGTGAGACGGGGAGATGGGGCACTGCTGCAGACAGACGCCGTACTGCTCTCAACTGCTGTAGATAGACGCTGCACTGCTGCGCTGCTGCACTGCTGCAGACGTTAGCACTGTGCCAGCGTCGTCTTGGATCCGGGACGTCCCTCGGCGCGAGACGGTATTCATCAGGCCTGCAGTGGTCTGGAGTGGCTCCACACAGACCAGAACTTGGAAGATATCTGCTCTGGATAGCGGGAATGGCTTGCATATCCGTCCTTCCACCCCCCTGACGCGGCAGCGGATCCACAACGGCTGCGCGACTGACGAGCCTGGCTACTGGTTGATGCCCGGGCGTGGCCACCACATGCAATCTTGAAGAGTCACACGAGCTGGCACAAGGCCGTCCTCCGCTACCCACACATCACCCCAGAAATATCATGGAAGTCTCCAGTCTGTTGTTACGCAACGACCCTGCTTTACTGCGCAGGCACTGATTTTCGTCTTGGCCACGCCACCACTTGATCCAGCCTTATGGCAAACGTCCTCGACCGTCCTCGCAATGGATTAATCTGCGCTCAGGGAGCGAACCAAGCAGACGGTCTGGGAACGCAGGTACGGACCCAAGATCTCGCTTCCGGCGATGAATGAGAAGAGAAAGCTCCGTCGATGCAGGTGTCCTGAGCAACATCACCTGCATGCAACACTACTATCCTTTTCCTCGAGCCACCGGCTTACACCAACGCCGCCAAAGTTATCTTCGTTGCACGCATAGCACAGTCCATCTTGGCTGATTGCGGTCCGCGCATGCCGCCAACTTACTTCTCCAGTTTCTCTCCCCCCGTACGTCAGTCCGAACGTTCTGTGCATGGGGAAAGTGTTCCCCAGTCGCCCATTTCGAGCTCTTTGCAGTTGAAGACCCAATCTGGCCGCGCCGCTGCAGGAGATCCCTCAACACGCATCGATCCGGCCAGCCATGTCGCCATTCACTCACTTCAAGGAGAACTCTCCTGCTGTAAGGTACGGTTCTATTGCCCCGAAGACGTTGACGGACGAACGGTCGCTGTACTAGGTACTCGCACATATAGATATTCCATTGTTTGCCATCTCCTGGGACCTTCCTTGAAACAATCCTCCGCGATCTACCATTGCACAACCACGCAGGTTCTCATTGACCCTTTTGCTCCCGATACTTGTCTCTTCCTTCAACCCTGGCTCAGCCATACTGGTAAATCCATCCCGCGGCTCTTCAAGCGTACCTACCATCACCGGCCTCCTTTCGGCGACCGAGCTTCCCAACGACAATGAAGCGGACGTATCAGCAAATGCTCGGTCACCATGCACCATACGTGATGAGCATGGACGGCAGTGTACAATACCACAACTTCAATCAAGGACACCCGTATTGCTCGCCTCCAGCGCCTCCGCATCAACCTCTATTGTTCAGCAGCCCATTCCCATCACAGAATGAATACGTCTCGGAAGGTTACATACCAGTCACCGAGTCCATGTCGTACTTCATGGCCAACCGTTCCCTCTCCGAACCATTTATCCACGAGCCCACGGAGTCATTTGGCTCATCGACCAGCGGTGAATCTTCTTGCAGCGTTTCAATTGCCCCAGCGACACCACCTCCTCCACCACCGATGAAGTTTCCCGCGGTACCTATAACACCAAGCCATGTTGTTTCGAGACAGAAAGCGAAGCGCACTGCCACTGTGAGTCGACAGCAGATACCGTGTCATCTCAATAGATCTCCCATGACTGACAAGGGCGTCTCATCAGGCTTGCGAAGAATGCAGAAAGCGAAAACAGAAATGCGATGGCGAGACACCTTGCCAATCTTGCAAGGAACAGAAGCTTGACTGCAAGTATCGCGAAGTGACCCCTTCAAAGTAAGTCACGACCGCCTTGTCAAGACTCGACAAATCACGAGGACGCAGCAACTGACTGAACATGAACGACAGGAAGGATAGCTCAGTGGAAAGACTCGTCGCCCTCGTCGCAAGCTGCAGCAAGTCAATGGAGGCACTGAATACGCGGTTGGACGTCATGAGCTCCTCTCTCGAAATCATCGAGAGGCGCTTGAGCCATTGCTGGCAGTGTGGTTCTGATGTAGAATTGCAGACGGGCTACTGTGATTCATGTCGGCGCAAATCACCAAAATATATGTGAGGGAGAAAAATGTGGAGTCGGTATCACGAGGATGTTGTACTTGTTGCAAATCACAACATCATAGGCAAAAGGGGGGTAACATCATCAATGGTTCTTTCTATCCGTACATAATCGCCTTCTGGTCTCAGCGAAAGGCTTAGGTATTCTATGATATCCATGTTATTGCGAATTCTCACACACCATTCCCGCATTCATTATTCTGAGATGATGCCAGTGTCCGGGCAAGTGTCCGCCTTTCGCACTGCTTGGCAATGTAACCCATTTCTGCGATGCAAGCAATTTAACAGAAATGATCGACACAAGAACCCATCACACAACATATGAATCCTTGTCAGCAGCTCCGTAAGGTCGGAAATTGCAATCAAAAGAGGCCGAACCCCATAAAAATTTGGACGACATGCACCTCCATCTATTAAACTTTCTCCTCGCGCACTCGAGGCTGCACATCCACAATCCACCCTCTTCGCATGCATAGGTTAATCTATCTCGCATTGCAGTTCTCCATGGATTTTCTTCATGCATGTGCTGGTGAGATGGCTTGGGAGTGATCGCGATTGGCAAAGGGTTGGGTTAGACCGGGCTCGCTCTGGTAAGGAGGCAGGGGACGGGGATGGGAGGATACTGGTAGCTGGGAAAGGGAGAAAACACGGAAAGGGATCCAGATGCTTTTAACAGTGTACGACAGGGTGGTTGGAATGTGCAGCGAAGACTTGCGGTCAGGTGCAAGTGGACGAGATTTCTAGTAGTCAGGAGGCGGATTTGACTGAATGGATGACAAAGTAGAAGGGAATGTCCCGTGGGTGCAGCAAAACTTGTCTCCAAAGAACACAGAGGTGAGTCATCAGACCACGGACGATGCCCTCTCCGTTCGTTGTCATTTCTCAATCCCCAATCGTCTTTGCTCCGTTCTTCATGCACTCTCGAGTGTTGCCGAGAATCTCTCGTAATTGTTCTTGGTGCTCGACCTTGAAGTCGCTTTGGTTCTCAATCCCTCTCGCTTGCGATGGGTACTTGATTTCTTCCAGCCCTATCACTCTCCATCTTAACCCTCAAGCTAACGTATGTCCAAAATCGCCAGCATCGCTCGAGTCTCGGATATCATTGGCTTGACAACACGCCAGGGCCGGTTCCTCAGCCGCAACGCTTGAACCACCAAAGCACTATCAGCATGGCGACCAACGCGGTCCACGGCCGTGAGTGCTTGTATAGTGATGCCGTCTGTATAGACGCGCCGAGCCCACTCGATGATATTGGCTCAGTTGGGGTTGGACGGGATACTCCCTTGAAGGAATTTACTCGCCACCTTATCAGTCACTTCAAAGTCCACATGAAGCTTTCTGGTGTGTGTGAAGGACGTGAGCAGAGGATCCATGCTCCAACTCGGGATCGTGACTCCTAAGGGGTTCCCGCAGTAGAAGATCTTCAAGGCTTCGCGGCGAATCTGCTTGCAGGTAGACGGGAAGTCGTCCCATGAAAATCCGGAGACGGTGACTGGGATGGCGGTGTTCTCGAGTAGCGCAAGTCGCTATAAGCGATTTCTCAGCTCTGGAAGAGAGATCGAGAAGGCGGCAGCCGTCGTCCGTGGGACTTGAGGGTTCCGGCTGCACGTCACTGGAGGCAGACATGAAGCGTGGTTTGTTTCGAAGTTGGTGTTCTGGATTCTACCTTGTGAGTCGTTGTGGAAGGTATAAAAGGCTGCTCCTGCCTTAGGTGGAACCTGTGTTTAAGGTTACGCTGAAGCAAATACATGACTGTGCCGTCTCACGCACACGTTTACAGTGGTGGATGGACCAGCTGGTGCCGACTGGGAGTGAATCGATAGAATTAGTTGCCGTCAGGATCGATGAAGGTGAAGTCTTCACCCAGTCTGTCAGGGGTAGAAGAAGGCTCTTTGTGCATTCATGTCAGTGTACGAAGGACTATCCAACCACCATTCTTTCCATGTTCATGAGACAAAGCACAGGTGTTGATGCCTCAGGCACTAAACCCTCGAAGGTACATAGTCATGGAATCGGCGACGTTCTCCAAGCATTCGCCTTATGCCGGGGTAGCTCAATCGGTAGAGCGTGTGGCTCTTACACATGAGTAAAGATTACCTCAAGGTCGCGGGTTCGAGCCCCGCCTTCGGCTCTTCCTATATCAAAAGGCAGAATGTTGGCTCGTTATTTTTTTGGCAATTCTTCTTCCTGTCAAATCAACTTGAATTTTGGCTTCTTTTAACGTCTCATAGGGCAAGTCCGCAGATCCGAAATGTCAAGAGATAGAACGGTGGCTCGTTCTTTGCAGAATTTTTTTTTTCCTGTCTTGCCAAGAATTGGGTCCTAGTGGCCGGAGCATTTCCGGGTTGAGAACATCTCAAAGTGCGTTTTGCAATTTGCAATAGCACTTCATTTCCTTTTTGTTTGCTGCTTGAACGTCTTGTCACCATGATGCACGGGTGCGTGCATATGTCCTGCCGGCTGAGGCCGTGACTCATGAGATGGCGGTGCCGCGCTCCAGGACGTATTACCACGGCCAAAGGGGAATGCTCAGCTACCCAGAAAGTATCTTCCCTTGCCTGGATATTATCACACCAAACTGTTTCTATCCGGAAAATTTGCATTCCGAGAAGCTGGCTGAACAGGGTCGGGCAACTCAGCGTCCCTCTTTTCGCCCCTCAACGAGTTGGACAACGGTGGCTTCGTTTCGAGCACGGAGCTTCCAGACATAAGACCTGTTTTAAGGACAGAAGAACTGTGTCCAATATAGGAGACCTGTTTTCAATTGGTGTGCCGCCGTAGAGGACACTATAAACCTCTGCGCATTGATGATGTGGTGGTACAATGGAGGGGAGGGAGGTGAGGTCGAAGACGGCTCCATCGGATAAACAATCATCCGACAAGAAGCTCCAATTGACGTCGCAGCTCCAGCATCACCGTACTACATGTACCGCATCACCTCTCACCTCCTTCGACACGACATCTCGTGACATGACCTCGTCGCAATGGCACAATACCGTCGTGCCCGCACGGCTCGCCTATCTCGCCATCTACAATCCCTCTCTCGGCCTGACAGATGAGACGTTCCCCGATCAGCTTGTCTTCTACTACTCGCGTGCCGCCCATGAAGCCCGTACGGCAGCCAAGAAGAATGCGCGCGATGACGCGGCTGGCGGCGATGCCATACGAGCCGGAGAGAACGAGAAACTGAGGAATATAGGATTGGCGCAAGGAATGGTAGACTTCGCGCGGTAGGTGGATAGTCGCGTGGTGTTTATGGGATGCGCAGAAGTGACTGAGAGCCTAGACAGAAGCTTTTCCAAGGGACAGCCTGTTGATTCGATAGACACGGAAAAGAGCAGGATTGTGTTGCATGAGCTGGAGGAGGGCTGGTGGATACTTGCGGTATGACAACTTCTTGTTTCGATGGCTTTGCGGAAGCTCACCAGGACTAGTCCATTGACCTCACGCGTCTGCCTGGCGCAGCAATAGCCTCCCCTGATCCAGCAAAGACAGGCGGCGAAAAGGGCGAGCCGAAACAGTCGATCGAATACTCATCCCGAGAAGTTAGTCCACCGACGTTGCTCCTCCAGCAATTGGTGCAGGCACACCACATCTTCACTCTACACCATGGCCCTTCTTTGACTGAGCAATTTGTAAGACTCCCGCGTGACAAATTCTGTAACGCTCTGGACAGGTACTGGTCTCGATTTGCCCGCGCATGGTACGTTTTGCTACATGGCAATCCAGCTACCGATGTCTTCGGCGGTCTCAAGCTCTCCAGCGGAGGCGAGCTTGGAATGGGCGTGGGCGAGGAAGAGTGGGGTAGTGGCGAGAGAGATGTGCTCGAAGACCTCACTCGAAGGACAGATGGTCTAGTCGATCTGGTCGTTTCCCGGTTTGGCGAGCCAGCACCTACTGATGATGAGAGCGTCATGACTGAAAGCGAGGCTTTGCCATGGCTGGGGTCCGGCAGTCATCCGCTTGCATCGGATGGCGTAATATTCGGCGGAATCAACGCCATCACAAGACCTTCTCTGCGAAACGTATCTCTCTGGATGAGGAACATTTACACCTATGGCGAGTATGCTTACGGCGTGCGCGACAACCCGCATCGTGAGCGACGGAAACGCAGACGGCGCAATCCAATTCCAGAGCCGGATCCTGAACCTGAACCTGCCCAAAATGGAAGCCCAGAGCGGTCAAAAGGTACAAGAGAGGTCAGTGCCGGTGATTACAAAAGGCGGGTCGAAAAAAAGGGCGAACAGCAAGGCAGACAGACCGTTCAGGGTCTGGAAACCCAGTCTGCGGGCAAGAGTGCCTCCGATGCTCCAGATGAAATGCGAGGTCCTGGAATACCTCCACCAATTGTGACCGCAGTGCAACAGTCTCTGGATGACGCAACAAAGAAAGCAGAGAAAGCAGATCAGGAGGGCAGTCAAAGTCGACAGACGTCCGAAGAAGATTTAGGCACCACATTAGGCATTCCAGACCAATATATGAAGTATCTGACTTTCGGCTTGAGTACCCTTGCGAAGCCAAGCGCACCGAAACGACCGGAGAATCTGCAGAGAAAATCCGAAGCTAGTTCTATGACCATCAGAGGGCAACAGACAGACGCGATCTCGAGGCTCAAGGTGCAGGAAGAAGTAGCTGACACTGACGACGATGGACCCGCACTTGCACAGATGGACCCCGTGCCCGACGGGCAGACTTTGCATGACAAGATTGCCAAACAAAAGCGACAAGAAGAGAAGGGCCAGTTTGTGGTTGGCTTGAAAGGCGATCTTGACAGCATTCCCGATGATCCTGATGCCAGTGTTGAAGTTGTTGACGAAGGGTCTTGGGGGTTGCGCAATATCTTCAGAACGCTGCAGATCGAGGTCATTCCGTCGCCAACAAAAGAAGAGGATAGAACAGACTTGCAGAAGAAGCTTGACGAAGCTGGCTTGCAATCTGGTACAAACGACCCTCTCAACTTCAAGAGACTGCGCGTACTGGTTTACGTGCATCGCCCGTTCATGTACTGCTTCCTATTCGAGAACCGCACTCCATCGCTCTCTCTGGCTCGATTCTACAAGGATCTTCATAGCAATCTGGCGCCAATTCAAAAGCCGCTCCTGGCTTCCACCAGTGTGGAAAGAATTGCGCAGCGTATTGCAGATGCCCAAGAACCGGCGACTACCACCACTACTCCGGACGATGCAAGTGTACTGACCGGCAATAAATCAAAGAAGCCAGCTGAGCCGAAGCCTATCTACGACTTGATCTTCGATCCCGCACTGCTTACTGTGCACACCAGCATACCCAACATTCCCGAGCCCGGCACACCAGCTGCTGAAGGATTCGTCGCGAATAAGAAAGACCCTCGCATTCCCCATGCTCCAGATTGGACCAGGATCGAAGCGCTGAATGTTCACAGCCAGATTCTGAACACACTTGTAAGCACGCAGCGAAATCTGCATGAGTACGAAAGGACCAGCAAGACAAGTCGAGGGTGGTGGGTGGTATGGATGAAGCTATCGCCGTCAATATCCCGCGAGACTGCGACGAAGCAAGATGCCGAGGCGCAACAGGACACTGCGAAGCAACCCGGGATGGAAGAAGACGCAGATCAAATCGGCCAGGGCGATTCCGTCTCCACTGTACCATTGGAAGCGCAGGAGTCCGACAGTACTCTACAGGCTTCGAAGTCGAGAGAGTGGTTCGAGTCGACCGCGACAACCAAGAAAGAGGAGCTCTCGATGAATCGCATAGCCGTCCTGGTGCGAAAGGCAACGGATGCTGCGAATCCAGCCAAGGCCAGCACGACCAGTAGAGCTGTGAGCAGCATGTGGCAGTCTCTGTCCCTCAGATCTACTTCGACCTCCGATGACCGCACGGGCGGCGCTGATGCAGGTTGGGGGCCTGCTGCGCTTGCCGGCGGTATCGGATTCGATCCGAGGAAGTATGTGGAAGGACTCTTGCAGCTGAGTAGATGAGCGGCGGCACGTCCTTGGCTCACCTGTACCACCAATACGCAGCGACCGGAGCAGCGCACGTTAACGCCGCACCAAAATATTTGTACAGCCGACTGCTATCACGGAGCTTTTGGGTTATGGTAGCATATTCGTGATCCTGCGATACTGGTGAGATAGTGCCTAGTCGCTCTTCCAGCACAGCATTGCACCTGCTCTGGGAAAGCACCAACAGGCTCTTGTTCTGCGACACCTGAATCGCAAATGGCTCGCAATCGTCCTTGTCCCTGGACCAAGCGATCGGGGCTTTCGGTTTGCCGTCAAGCTACGAAAATCAGCTTACTCTATCACGAAATCATGCTCATGATGCACGAGTACTTACACAAGCAAGAGCTAAATTCATGCATGGCTTCTCTTGCATCATCTTCCACTCCAGTCTCAACTTTTGCGGATCGTGGTCGTACGGCGAAAAGACTGACTCAAGCACGCCGATCGCCTTTTCCATCCAGGTGCGCACATTTTGAGCCCATGGGACTATGACAATGTCGTTCGTGCCCTGTATTTGCTCCAGCATATATTCCGCGGCTTTCCAATAGTCTCCGGCTATGGCAGTTGCTGACGATCCCTCTACCTGTCTGAGTCCAGCGAGAAGTACTGTGAAAGCAGTTCTTTTCCACGCTGGAAGCAACTCGCGGTCGTCACTCGATTCTGTGGTCCAAAACATCTCCTCAGTGACTCCTTTGTTTCTTTCGTCACGGGGGTCAACCTTCCAAAAGTCCGACGTTTTCAACCCGTGCAAAATCTCCAACAATGTCCCAATCAACTTTCTCCGCGCATCGCTTAGCCAATTCTCGTCGCATGCGTCGCAATCACAAGCAAACCCATACTGTTTCCTTAGCATTACCGCCCTCTGCATCGACGTTGAGATTTCGTAGAGGAAAGGATTGTAGCATGTTGTTATCTCTTCTCCCATTTTGATGGCTTGCTGCGCAATAACCTGAGACATCGAGCCAAGGCAGCATTCGTCCCTCGATAAAAAGGCGTTTGGGATGCAGGAATGGTTGATGCGACTGATCTGCGGATGCAGCCAGCTCCTGGAGGAGTTGCCAAAGGCGTTGGATTTGAAAATCCGCAGGAGCTTGGAGCTTCCTGCGACGGCACCTTCGTGGAGAGACAGTATGAGGTCTCTTGTGTTGTTTGTCTCGGTCTCGGGAAGGGCAGCAAAAGCACGGTCAATGATCTCTTCCGTCACGGAGATTCCTGGTAAGGGGATTTCCATGTATGCTTCTTCTTCCAGGATGAGCGTGCCTGGTGCGATGTCCCGAGTCGCGATGAGAGAGAAGCCTTTCCCGGCGAGTTCGACAAGGGAGTAGATCTCGGAGGATTCATCGTCTTCGTCGATGGGAGTGAGCGGAGATGCCATGTTGGAAGCCTAAGGCTTGTACAAAGTCTTTTCCACTGTAGGATTTATATTATTATTCCGAAAATCCTGGCGAAGAGCAGGGCGATGGTAAGTCGAGTAGTGCGAGATCAGCGGTGGCAGCCGTCGAGATCGTAATCAGATGGTCGAAGATGCTGTAGGCGATGCTGATACCGGAGAAGTTGTAACGTTGGCGCGCAAGGGGCCATCAAGGCAGGCAAGCAAGCACGCACGAAAATCTCTATTATCACAAAGACATGCGGTACTATGAAGCAACGAAGAACCAGGCTCTCGGGATGCCCAACATAATAAGCTTAAGCTGATTACGGAAGGAACATGGGGTTACACTAAGCATGTGAAAACAGCTAGCGTTGTGCGGGGAAAAAAGAGGAGAAAACAACAAATGTAATAATACAACTGGGCGGCACGCTTCGTACTCTTGTATTTTCGTCGATTTCCGCAACGTTTGGGAAGGTCTGGGCAACGTTCGGGGGTTTGGCTTTTGTCGCTTGTGCGAAACGTCGGAAGTTGGGGGAAATCAGGGATCTAGTGCTGTGTTTGTGGCGTACGATGACGAATGCGCGCGTTCTACGGAGTTAGGTGCCTTTGAAGACGGAAAATAGTGTCCGTGAATTTCGAAAGTCTCTCGCCTTTCATTGCATTTGCTATTCTACGTGTTCTCTTCCTCCCTCGATCTTCCATGCCGCTGAATCGTTAGCCACAGGTCTTCAGCCAATGCTTTGGGGTACAAACTCATAAGTTCCTCATTGACGACCAAATGCCCCAGGCTGTCGACGTAATTTCTTGTCGCCGCCAATACCCGCGGCTCTTCTCATCCCTCTTTGTCACAGAGCGGTAGCCCGAGCATGCACTCATAGTCGTTGTTAGTAATTCAGGTGCTTTATGCGGACTGCAACAGCTCGGTTATCGTCTTGTTGCCACGATCGAAAATGGCCTTAATGTCACTCCAATCGTCTGATCCCAACTCAATACCACCTTCCTCGCCAACCCTATCTGCGGCTCTGCCCAGCAGCTCTCGCATTTCTTCGTCCACCTGGCCGATGACTTTGTCAGGATCCAAGTTTCCATCAGAAAAATCAGCTGTCTCAATCATCTCCATCCGATGGCCCTTGCCTTGTACCTCCAAGTCGATCTTCCAAGTTACCAATCTATGGTTGAAGAGGCCTCGTCCAGCTGCCCATTCCACATGGAATTCGACATGCCGCAGAAGGGGTAACAAGGATGGAAGAGTGGCGATGAAAGAAGCAGCAGAGCGGTTGATTTTGGCTTGGTTTGAATAACCTGGCGCCTGCAGCCACAGTTCCAGTCCATAATCTTGATAGAACAGAGGCAACGCCTCGGACCGTAGAAGGCGAGATGCGTGTGCCACAGGAGGCGGAGGGAGAGGGTTGTTTTCTGCTGAGGCGTGGAAGTAGTCGAAAGAGTAGGAGTAGACTACATTCCGCAGCTCAGCGGGAAGACGAGTGAACGATGTGACATTGGCATTCTCATCCGCTTTTTCGAGTGCGTTGATGAGTTCCCTCTTCTTGAAATGGCAGATGTGAGGGCTTTTGGCCAGCACGTGGGTAACCGGAACGGCGTTCTTTTTCCCATTACGGATCGTGTTGGAAATTGCCAGATTGCGCCGAGCGCAGAAACTCAGAAGCTCCTCGTACGCACATTTCTCATAGTCAAGCATCTCCTTGTCCATGCGGCTGACGAGGTACAGTAGGCGGCTCCTAGTGGAGCCCTGTTGGAAACCGCGACCAGAGTCACGCAGCTCCTTTTCCAGCTCGTTTGCGTCGTCGAACTTCTCCCGAAAGCGGACAAAGAACATGCATTGCTCTCTCAAGCTGACAGATTTCCAGTATTCTGCTCGGCTCTTCGAGCGGCGGGCGTATTTGACGATGTGCGACATCTCGTATGGGCGAGACGAAGATTCAGAAGGGGGTTCAGGTCAGTTTAGTTGTCGGCATTCGATTTTGTTTGCTGTCAACGGCATTCGATCTGTTTGCTGTCAACAAGTGAAGAGAACGCGACTTCAGTAACGTGCCGTGATGATGTAACCCATTTACATGAAAGCGTAACGGCTTGCTCCAGCGTTTGCATCAACATTTGTTTGCGCATGTTCCACGCCCTCATACCATTGACAGAATTACATTTCCCAAACAAAGCCCGATAGACCTGATGCCGAGTGTTTCCGGGCCTAGAAACTTTTGCCTCGTCGAAATAGAGATAAGCGGATATTTTCTTTACTTCACCGGATGTTCTCGAAGCATATAGACCGGAAATATCCGCCCGAACCCTCGTGAAGAGAATTCCTATGCCATACCCGGACGCTGAACGGACGAGGCTCGATACCTTTGGGCCGAAATCTCAAGCTGCCGAAGTCTATCCATAACTCGGATGTTTGGTAGAAAGCGGGCAAGGCCTCAGAGCGTATGAGACGCGATGCTTAAGCAACCGGAGGTGAAGATGGTGGCATCGTGCGAGAAGAGTGGACAGAATATTCGAAGGAGAAAGAGCAGATAGGCATTCGAGGCCAGGATGGTAGGTCGGTAAAACATTGGAAGGTACGCTGCTCGTGTGCTTGTTCTAGGGCACGTGCAAGATGTCGCCGCTTGATCTGCGGGGCGTTTGATTATTTTGTCAGGTCCTTGATGATGAGTATGGCCGTTCTCTTGCCCTTATGCATTTCCTCGCCTTGTATGGATGCACAGACTGCCACTTGACGTTGTGCGAAGAATCTTAGCAATTCCTCGTTGGAGTGCATTCGTCATAGCGTCGAGTCGGTGCGCGTAACGATTCCAGAGATACCTACGCTTCTGGATGTAGGTTAGAACACAGTCGTGATGATGTTGTCGAGTGAGTCCCACGACGTAAGTTGCCAAACAAGCGAGGAAGCGGCGGCTCAGACTTAAGCTGACATAGGCAATTCACTTGCAAGCCTGTGGCTGTCGTGGACAATCACATGCAAATCGAGCGCCGGTCTCCCTGCACGTCAAGGTACCGAGCTTGGATCTCCAGCCCGTGGTGGAGAGATAAGGACAGATCGGAGACTAGGAGAGTAGGAACACATCGCTCTCGATCGAGACACCGCAGTCCGCGCTGGCCCAACGAAGGATATCCAAGCTCTTGGAGAGCTCGCCATCCCGCGCCGCGACGCCAGCCGGTCGCCCTACTGCCATCCGCGACAGTAGTACCCTTGAAGCCTCTACCTAGGGAACTAACCTCTACAGTAAACTAAACACTAGCATGCGTGCTGGGGCCGCACCGTGCCTTTCGAGTGCATGACGTACCGATTCTGGACCCAATCCACAAATGTCATACCAGACATGTACGGTATATCCTGGAGCCACGTGCTCACAGATGGTTCGAATGTGAGATGTCTGTGTAGAGAGCACCTAGAGGTACAAGCTCTGCGCTGCGACAATGTCACGTCTTACCTTACTCAGTGCCGTCTCGAACTTCTGTTCCAGCTCCTCGCTACCCATGACCTTCGAGGCCTGCGCCATTTGTCTCAGTAATTCTTCGAGACGGCGGAATAGTCTGATCAGACTGCCTTCGTATACGTCCGTCATTTTGCTGGATCAGGTCAGCATTTATAGTCGAAACTTTGGAATCAATACCTACCAGATCTGTGCAAAGCTTGCGCCGTTGCACCATGAGAAGACGACCTCCATCAGCTGAGGCTTGAAGGTCTGAAGATATTCCTCTTCATTGATAACGACCTTGCTTTCGGTGCTGATCTTGGCCACTTGACGAGCCTGCGCTTGAATTTCCCGAAAAGGCTTTGCCAATTCTTCGCGGATGGTCTCTGGATCTTCGCTCTTTTCTTCGAAGATGAAGCAGCTGAGTGCAGCTGCACACTGCTCTGGAGACAGCTCGTTGAAAAAGCGATTAAACAAGAGCTCAGAGAGAACGAGTTCATCGCCGGTGGAGATCTCACAAGCAACGCGGGCCTTCAGCTGAACAACATCGGCGTCATTAACAAATCCGATACGTCGCAGGACACGCTTGCGATTCTTTAGCTCATCCAGCTGTAGTACAGACAGAGCATCGGCGATCTTTTTCTTGACTGCCTTTATCTGCTGAGTGATCTCCATCTTGGCTGCATACTGCTCGTATAGCCCTGGCAGCTGCTCTGACTTGTGCAGTGGAGAGGAGAGCAGCTTGTGTTCAAGCACTTCGATCTTGCGAAGCAGCTTTTTGAAGCCGTCGTCGTTGATTCCCATGTTCTCAATCGGGTCGAGAATCGCGATGCCGTCGGGGAATCGACGGGCAATCTCTTCCAAAGCTTTGCGGACGGTGTTCTTCTGATCCTGTGTGCGCAGATCGTTTGGCAGGAAGACGCGCAGGTGGCCAACGCTGTCAATTGTGCCATTCATAACAGGCACAACTTCCATCTTACCCTTCTCACCAGGAGCCGGTGGTCGAATACCCGGGGGAAGGTCTTCCGTCAGCTTCGAGCCAGGAGGCGGCGGCACGACCTCTGCTGCGACGTTCATAAGAACATCGACAACGACGGACTGTGATGGCGGTAAGTCCTCCTCTTTCTGGCCTTTCTGGAGACGGCACTTCATGAAATTCACCACTGCTCCCCAGCCAAAGTCGTAGTCCTTGTACTTGATCTTGACAAGACGGCCGGCCTGCAGGAACTTCAGCAAATACTGAGGATGTGTGATGACCGCCTTCATTTCGTTGGCATAATTGGTCAAAGTCTGCCGAAGGTCGTAATACTCCTTGATCTCCGCCTCGTTGTCAATAATCATGTCGGCACGCTTCTGCTCGAGTTCGACGAGCTCCTTTTCCAGTCCGGACACGGAAGCTGCGTTTTGAAATTGAAAGAAACATCTCTCGAGCATGAACTCCGGACTGATAGCCTCAACGCGCATCAAGTTCAAGATCATGTTGTAGCCAAGATAGAAGGCGCTGTTAAGCTTGTCTTGCTCGCCTCTGACGATCTCCTTCGCGATAGTCGGTTCCATTTGCTCATCAATCATCATGATGACGATACCGCGCTCATCGAGCCCTCTACGTCCGGCACGTCCAGACATTTGAATGAACTCACTGGGCGTCACCCATCTTAAAGAGACACCGTCGAATTTCCGCACGGATGTGAACACGACGGTCTTCGCCGGCATGTTGAGACCGATGGAGAAGGTCTCAGTAGCGAAGAGAACTTTGATGAGACCCTCTTGGAAGAGAATCTCAATGGTCTCTTTCAAAATGGGGAGAAGACCGGAATGATGAATGCCAATACCACGGCGCAGAAGTGGCAGGATGTGTTGGATCTGGGGGAGCTCCTTGTCTTCATCAGACAGCGACTCTATCGCCGACGAGAACACTTTAGAAACCATCGCCTTTTCCGATTCGTCGTTGAATGCCAACTGGCTCATCTGCAGAGCGTAGTTCTCGCATTCGCGCTTTGAGAATGAGAACACGATGACAGGATTGTAGTTCTTCATCATAATCATCTTCACGATCTTGTAGATGTCCGTAGGACCGTCCTTGCGTCCTCCCTTGTTGGTCTTCTTGTCCTTGCCCTTCCCCTTCCGCTTGGCCAAAGGGTCTGATCCATCATCGCCAGCTTTCTCAGCGATAGATGACATGGCCTTATTGAAGTTCTCTTCTCGGAAAACACCTTTCTCGTCCACAATCAGATGGATGCCATCTGCACCGGATGGAAAGAAGTAGTGTTGGAGTGGCGTAGGTCGGAAGTCGGTGTATACAACGTGACAAGGTTGGTTGTGTGTCTTCGTGATCCACTCCGCGAACTGCATGGCGTTGGGTATTGTGGCAGACAGAAAGACGTATCGCACCTTGTCCGGAAGTAAAATGATCGTCTCTTCCCAAACAACTCCTCTTGACTTGTCCCGCATGTAATGTACCTCATCGAAGACAACCCAAGCCACCTCGCGCATGATCTCGCTACCACGGTAGAGCATAGACCGCAAAATCTCCGTGGTCATCACCAAACAGGTCGCGGTTGGATTGATCGTGACATCTCCAGTCATGAGACCAACATCTCCAAACTCGGCATTGAACTCGCGATACTTCTGATTGCTGAGGGCCTTGATTGGACTTGTGTAGATGATTCGCTGGTTGTTCTTCAAGCACTGCGCGATCGCGTACTCAGCTACCACCGTCTTGCCAGCACTTGTGTGCGCCGATACGAGAACACTCTCATTTCGCTCAATGGATGCAATGGAAACCTCTTGGAAGGGATCGAGGGTGAAGGGCCAGGTGCGTGCAGGCTCTTCGGGGCGCTGGTGATTCGAGATAGGGACATATTCGTAGTCGGGCGGCAGTGAGACCTGATGGCGGACCTGATGTTGCAACACGACCGCTGTATCATCCTTCGAGGCCTGTAGACCAGCCGCCGCTGCGACTTCTCGAGACTGCTCAGTTTCAAATGTATCTGTGATAATCGGCTCGGGCTCGTCGTCTTTTCGCTGGCGCTTCTGGCTACGCACTGATGCATCGCGGTCGGTTTCTGCGTCCACTGCGACATCGCGCGCATCGGTCATGATCGTGTCTCCATTTTGGGAACTCTTAATATCGCCATTGAGGGACCTCTTCTTGTTGCCTTTCTTGGTGGGTTTGGCTGCCTTCTCGTCGAAGACATCGAACAGCTCGTCGTCCATCTTTTTCGATGATGCGCGGTCGCGCGGTCTATCGAGGTTCACGGGGGTTGAGCTGTCTTTTCGAAATTTTGTTGTTGCCTGTATTCGAAAGAAAGATCAGACAGGCAGGTCGTGACGGCGCCAAGGCTGGCTCGTGCTCATCACGTGACCGCGACCTCGCAAATTTCGTCCCTTTAATTTCGTTCTCCTCCTTCTTCTACTGCAACGTCCACATACTCATCATCATTGCCGTATACACAAACGGACGGCGGAAATGCGCGCCGATGCGCATCAATCAGCTATGTCCGCTCGTCAAAGCGTTGCCCTGCCACCATCCTCTTTGTCTGCCTCATCTGCGAGTAACACTAGTTTGGCGAATGGTCTGAAGCCTGAGAAGTACTATATAAGGAGTCGCTGAAGCTATTACATGCAAAGCTACCCTTCTCTACGCCGCTCGTAGCTTGGCTCATTCCTCCCGTCGCATTTTGAACAGCTGAGTAGGAGCACCAGAATCATCTACCTACTAGGTAAGGTAGAACAGATTTCGTGTACTCCGATATCGATCTCTTTGCCTCCGATCTTCGTTTGTTCAGCGCCCACATGCATTACTTTCGTTACAAGCTTGATCGAAAACCGTGGTCACTACAGCATCATGTCCGTCAGCCGCGTTGTTGCTCTGGTTCTGGCTGTCATCGCACTTTGCATCACCGTGGCTGCGGTAACGCAACACTGGACATTGAAGAGCTTTCAGCGATACCAGCGTAGTAAGACACAAATTTACGCTCTTCCGCCTCCAGTCCAGTCGAGAGATTTGAGGTCTTCCTTTTATGATGAATGTTCGCGCGGGCGAACGCCTTTCTTGCCTCCGGTTGCGCAGTCAGAGAGATCCGGTTCTGCTCCCTTTTCCGCCTTTCTCCGGCCCTACGGCCGCCAGAGATCCAAACACCGTATCTTTGGCTCATGTGGACACTCGCCTTCCAGCGACCATCCGATCGAAGACATTCCACTCTATGATTGCGGAGCAATTTCCATCCGTCTCGCCCTCCATCTGTGACACTTCTGACTCGCCTGTCCTTCGAGCCATGGTTCAGCGCTCGCGGTCCACTTCTACGACCTGGATGATAGAGACACTCGAAGCATTCGAGCCACAAAGGTCGCCAAAATTCTTTCAGCCACAACCTTTGGGACCTGTTCAACATTCTTCTGAACTACTGAGGACGCCCGTACGTTCAAAGACCCCAAGCTCGATCCATTCCTCACTACGCTCGCCGACTGACTCGACCTTCAACACAGTGGGAACTCCGGTGGTCCGCACAGTTGTTGCTTATAATCTGGCTTACAGAAGTGAGTTGCCGAGAGCTGGTATGTTCAGGTTGGATGCTGAAAAATTGCCAGAAGTTGAGGTACCAGCTCAGGTTCCAACAGCATATTTGCCCTACAGACCTCCGCCGTCCCTTAGTCAAGCAATCTTGAACGGCACATGTCTTCCCGTCGAGGTCTCCTTGCGCCTCTACGGAACCTCAATACGACTCTCACAACACATGAAATCCATTCTCGTTGACAGACCTCGGTCATCACACCATCAGCAATGACTACCTGCACGTCTTAGGCAGCGGCTTGGGTCCGATTATCGAATTAGATCTCGAACCAAGGCTCCGGAAGAAACATTTTAAAAAGGCCACTCCGTGTTATTAAAGCCTCCTAAGCTATTCTCCTGCTTTCAATCGTCCAGCAGGGACATGGAAAGGACGGAGAAAGTGAACAGCTCATCACTTTCAAATTCCATCCCAGGCTACGAGCACTCAAAACGTCCTCCACCAGAAGTCTCGCGTAGACATCCACGCACTTTGGCGGAGATCTATTCCAAACAGCGCACGCTGTCCCGTATTTCGAGGCAAAATCATACATCTTCTGTCGTATCTTCCATCAGATCCTCCAGTGCGAGGCGGAAAGGCGTGCGGCGAGTGCCGTGTGGTGATGTGGAATCCACAAGCTCCCACGCGTGGGGCCGCTGCTGCTGATCCTCCTTCTTCTTCTCCTCCTCCTTCGAGTCCGTGTTTGGGATAGGATCCTGTGGCCAGAGACGGAGCATGAGAACGGCGCAGAGGGCGCCCATGCCGGCAACGAATGCTTTCAAGCAGTAGTCCTGGAGGGTTGCGTTCCAATATTCCGATATCATTCTCTGTTATTGCTCTAGAGACGCGTGCGTGAGGAAGATCCAAGCAGTCTAAGCACGAGAGGACTACTTTCTTATGTACTCAGTCACGTTTGCGGCGTGTAAAAGAGACGCATATTTCAGAAGTCTTCATCCGAACGGAAACCATTGTCAAAGCAAAAAAAAACTAGCTTTCATGGCACAGGTGAGACAAGAAAGCATGCTAGACGTTCCAGAACAGCAGACAAAGGAACTCTCCTACGGGAAATCTCAGCTGAATGTGTTTGACATCACGGGATTTCTGGCTCTCCGTGAATGATAGCGGAGATGAGGAGGATCAATAACAACCTCAGAATGGATTGACGAAAGATCTCCAGAACCTCGTAGTCATTTTCGAACGGGAGGAAGCCGTCTCAGAGGTGGTGAAAGATTGATCAGAATTTTGCAGAGAGGATGTGCTCAGCGAGATTCCTTGTACTCGAGAGTCCCTTTCGGCCTTGCACGTTTTCGCCGCGTGATACATGGTTCTCGGAGGCGACTTGATCGAAGCTTCGAGGAGCCGTCCGTGCCGTCACAAGAGCTGTATCGCAACAAAAGTCGCCGTTTCGGTGTATCTTGTATACCAACGCATGTCCGCTGGCCCGATCCGTGGAGAGATCGAGATAGTGGCCCATAATCGCAGTGAAGCCTTCCGGCTGAATTGCGCGGATTCGAAAGGAGAGAAGTCAGTATCATGGAAGGTGTCAGTCGGCTGCAGTATAGTAGCAGGAACTGGAGTAGAAATGGTAGAAAACGCTCATGCCAAGGAGAAGTTTGTTTTGCAGGCAGGAGCACCATTGCGGCGGAGAGGTGAGGTTGATTGTCGGACGCAATTGCCTGTTCAAGCTCCTTCCGCCGGCAGCCAAATTTTGTTCCGACGGACGATCGCATATCTTCTGCATCTCGGTGTGATTACAAGAAGGAGCAAAGTAGCTGTGCAAATACTGACGGCAGGATCGAAAAGGTCGCACAAGGCTCATCGTCACCGTCGTACCAAGGCTTGCACACCCCCGGCAAAGAGATTACCCGGCCCTCATATCACACCGAAATACAATCGAAGACTTGAAAGTCTCGAGAGACGATATTCAGACATTAGAAATGCCACCCAAACGCCTCTCCCTCGGCCTCGTAGGTCTCGGCCGCATTGGCCGCCAACACGCCCTCAACACCCTCCATAAAATCTCCCAAACCCACCTCCTCTGCGCCTGCAGCCCCATGGATCAAGACCACATCTGGGCCCAAGAGCATCTCGTCCCCTACGGCGTAACCCTCTACCGCACCTTCACCGAGATGCTCGCTCACCCAGGCCTCGAAGCACTCCTCATAGCCAGCACGACAACCGCGCACTACGAACAAGTCATGGCGGGAATCGAAGCGGGCTTGCACATAGCGGTCGAGAAACCACTCGCGATGAATTCCCAGCAAAGCCGTGAGATTCTCGCCCTCGCAAAGTCCAAGGCGGGTTTAAAGATCATGACGCTATTTTCCAGACGTTTCGATGCTTCCTATACGTCCGCCCGACACGCCATCCAAGCCGGCAAGATCGGCACGCCCGTAGTCCTGCGTTTCGACAACAGGGATAAATTCGACCGCAGCGACTTCTATCTCCGCTACATCATGCAGAACCCGGGCATCTTCATCGATACGGGCGTCCACGATATCGATCTCACCTTTTCCTTCCTCGGCGATGACAACGCGAGACCGAAATCCGCCACCGCGGTAGGGAATCTCTCCCTCCACCGCGAACTCGCCCAGATCAGCGACTTCGACAATGCAATCGGAACCGTAGCATGGCACAACGGGGCCATCTCGCACTACTACATCTCGCGCACTTCGCGTCCGGGTTTCGATAATCCGACCGAGATCATCGGAACGCAGGGGACGCTGAAGATCAATCTGCATCCGAGGAGGGATTTGATCGAGATTGGGGATGAGAGGGGCATTGGGAATGAAGTGATGCCGGATTTCTACGAGAGGTATCGGGAGGCTTTTGTGAGTGAGATGGAAGTATTTGCGGGTTGCGTGTTGGGAGGGACGGCATTGCCGTATGGGTTGGAAGTTGCTGTGAGGGGGATGGAGATTGCGGAGGGGTTGCAGGAGGCACTGAGGACGGGGAGGAAGGTGGAGTGGGATGAGGAGGGGAGGAGGATGGACGTTGGGGGAAAGAGTAGTAAGCTTTGAAGCACCTCACATCGACGAGAAAGTAGGACCACGACGTGACAATGAATAGCAGTGAACGTGGAGGTGTACAGAGCGATGTAAAAGTGCATGGCATTATAGCGCACGCTTAGCCCTAAGCGAAGCCAAGACCAGCATGACTCATCCACCCCACGCGCCCACATTGGAAGCTATATAAACCAAGTTTCGCCCCATGACTATATCTCGCAAGGATAAAACGGTGTTGTGGTCTAGTGGTATGATTCCTGCTTAGGGTGAACCTGAGCTCAGATTGCAGGAGGTCCCCGGTTCAATCCCGGGCAACACCCTTCTTTCATCCGGCGACGAAATCTATCGGTGTTGTGGTCTAGTGGTATGATTCCTGCTTAGGGTAAACCTGAGCTCAATTTGCAGGAGGTCCCCGGTTCAATCCCGGGCAACACCCTTTTTGCCGTTCTTTTTGGGGGGGGGGGGGGGGGGTGAGGAATGTCGCGCGGATTTTGAGGTGGAACGAGTGTCGTTCGAAGTGCTCAGCGCGGGGGACTCTCTAGAAGTCGTTCGTAACGCTGGGGGAATCAAGCTTTGAGTCTTCGAATCTTCGGCGATAAGAGCTTTGAAAGGTCATCGTTCGTAGTGCTGTCGAAATGAAGTACTGATGGTCGCGAAAACAATGGACATCAAGGCCCGCGAAAAGTTGCCTTTTCTTACGATGCTTGCTTGCCCAAGTCCAGACTTCCAACATCCGACCGAAAAAATATCTCCTAGCGAGCCTGAGTACCGAGACATGGTCTTTGGTGCTCTCATCGACGATGGAAAGGTTGACGAAGTGCGAGACATCCGACGAATCGAGACTACGGCAGAAGAGCGAGACAGAAAGCTCAGTGCAGAAGAACGAAGGTATCTCACAGGAGGAGGAGCCTTTCCTCTCCTCCCGTTCTCATGCAGAAAGACTTTTGTGTTGTGCTCGGCCGCAGTGCGTCGCAGGGCAGGCCGCGAGTCGTTATCTGTGTCTGAACTCAACAACGTGGGTGGATCGAAGCCGGAGATTACGTGTTCAAGGATGTCGGGTGCAACGGCGACTAGGATGAGCAAGGGTAGAAGCGAATCGATTCGACCGTATGCGTGTCGGGGGGTCGCGTGTGTCAGAGCGAGCACAGAGCAGTATATCATTACTACGGATATTGTGGTCTTATTGTCAGGCGGTATCGATGGGACGAATGGAGGATGATTGATTCAGCAAGCGCCCAATTGTGCTGTGGGAAGCAGCGATTGGGGGCTTCAAGGTCTCCGCGTGTCATGCAGGTACCGGATGGATGAGCGCTGTGATTGGAAGGCAGAAGGAGCGTGGCTTTGAGCTAAAAGGGACGGCGCATTAGCCAAACTGCCCGGATGCTTGTCTGCGCCGCAGGAAACATTTGTGCATTGGCGCTTCTACTGGATGTGTCGTTGTACACGCCAGCGGTGAAGGCGCAACTCCTGATCGAAGCAGCTGTACGGTCCACCGAAGTAGTCGTACGGTCCACCGCAGTAGCGACAGAAGGAACCTTGAATAATGCTGTGAATGCAACGGGAGATGCGATGACAGGCATCACGCGGGCCGCTGCCTGAAGGAGGATGGTGGGCCATCTATCGAGGGCAGATTGCGGTAAGCGAGGGTGAAGGGTCTGACGCACCAACGCCTCGTGCGGATGGCGTGGATGGTGAAGCAGACCGGGACGGCAGCTCAGTGTGTGAGGTGGCGCAGGCGCCGCTTTACTTTATTCTACCACGCGCGGGAGTCCGAGCGCTGCGTCTGGCATTCCGCGAAAGGAGACATCCACCTCCTCCTCACACTCGACTGCTACTAACCTAACTCACCCACACCACACTACCTGTCTCGCTCGTATTCCAGCCCACCTTCCAGGCGCTGGCCCTACATTCCTCACATGGCATCGCCATCGACACTCGTTTGACTCCCTCCCACCCGCACGCCTCCATTGACCGCAGTCACTCATTGTATATACCGCGACGACCATCACCATCACCCATCTCCGCCTACCCCGTAATCAACCTGTCAAACCGCCTGCGAAACCCGGTCCCCTGAGTTCCATCACACGCTCGCCGCGCCGCATCATCTGAAGCAGACAACCAAACACTCTCCTGCCTAGACGTCACTTCCAAGGACACGCTGGCTCATACCCTCCCCTCGACGCGCCGTCACGACCTCGCCCGTCCTCCGCTACCCTTCCGCGCTCCACCGGGCAGTCCGACTGCTCCGCCCACGAAAGCATGAGGTTACCCGTACTACACTCGGGCCTGCAGTCCAGCTCATTACAAGCACAACATGTCAGGCGCTTCGTCGATGGTGCCGCGCAGGGCGTCCACGATATCACACGCACCCTCGTCGACCGCAGCTCCAGTTCGTCAGATGACACCAGCTCGTCATCAAGTTCATGTACCGCCGGCGACACCAGCAGCAAATGCATTACTCCCGCATCAGTAGAGAGCTCGCAGAATCTGGCCATCATTCTGGGCGTCGTGTAAGTACTGCGATGACATTGGTAGGACACAGCACACTGACCGCCTCGAAGCATCCCCTTGACATGTGCCGCCGGAGTCTTGTTCTACCTCCACCGAAGACATCTCAAGAAACAGAAGTTGGAAGACATCAACGACCCGCACAAGTCTCTCGATTTCGGCATGGACGGCGTAGAACCGGTGTCCAAAGGAGGCAAGGGCAAGGGAAACAAGGTCCCGGAGATGAGCTTCACCGACCTGGGCGGCGCAACATCATCGAGAAGAGGTCGTGGGCTGTCACTGGACGTGGGACTGGGCAACAACCCCTATCTGCTCCCAGCTGGCTTGTCAGGTTCGAAGGACTCGCTGCACAGCATGTCTCGCACCATTGACGAGCATGACCCGTACCGACCTGTCACCATGATGAGGGACCAAGACTCCGCCCGATTTGGCCGCCAGAATGATGACAAGGGCTCCTTGTACTCCATGTCGACGGGCCATCACTCTACTATGCACGATCGCGCTGGACTCATGATCAACGCTCGCCCGATGTCACAATCGTATGGCAAGCGTACCGACTCATTCTCTCCCACAGACTCCGTATCGTCGGACAAGTTCTCATTAAGACAAACACGGAGCTCTCCGAACCAAAGCCTCGCAAGTCGGAAGGCTAGCGTCGATCAGCATCTCCCCGACATCATCGAGAAGGAAATGTTCCCTTTGCCGCCGACTCCGCCCGAGCCAGTTGCAACGCAGATGCCGCTGCCACCGAGGCTGGACTCGACAAGAGCATCATCTAACAGCGTGCCGCCACCGCCACCGAGGAAGGACTCGCTGTCAGGCCCGCGCAGACCTGAGTCGAGTAATTACGGCGACGATGAGCCTCCTGCGCCGACAAACCCAGGCGTCACCATCAACGAGCCGGAGCCTTACGACATTGATCCTGCTGTCATATACACAAGGTACTCCATGGACGAGCCAGCTACGCAGCCCATGCCAGCTCTGCATGCGCCGCAGCCCGTCCCTGCTGGGAGCAGATTATCTGTGCTTGGAGGCCCAGGCGGAAACCGCTTGTCGGTGATGGGCATGCGACCTCTACCTCCTGATGTACCCGACGACAATCCTGAAGTACGCGCCAACCGGATTCGCTCGTTCTACAAGGAGTACTTCGACGATAGCAAGCCAACGCCTGCGCATGCGCAGTATGAGGACGATGGATACGATTGCGCGCTTGAGGGTGTCATTTTCGATCCCGACACTGGCGGCTTCTACGCACCTGGTGCAAGGCCATTCGCGCAAGATCCCGGACGGAGAGCAATGACGCCTCCGCCTCGCGCAAGACCTCGTGTTAGTGGCAACTCATCGATCGCTGGACCTCACATGCGGAAGTTCTCAACATACTCGATGGGTGGCCCTCGAGGTAGACCGCCGCCAAAGAAGAATCTGCCGCCTCCGATTCCGCTCGTTAGCTTGAAGACGCCTCATCTGTTGAAGGATGACTCGGCCATCTTCAACGCTGCTGACTTTGCACCACCAAGCACTTTCCGTACCATGCAGAACGGCAGCAGGCCAGACTCTCCAATGGGCACTCCACGTCCCTACAGCCCAAGCGTGCGAGCTTTCACTCCCCTGGCGTCCTCCTTTGAGAACTTGTCCGTGCTGCCATCGCCCCACGATCTTCGCAAGTCCGGTACCTTCACTGCTCTGGACTTTGCACCGCCCTCCCGACTGAGGGATCCAGCAGGCTCGCCAACGGACACTGGCAGTATCCGCAGCAACCGCTCCGGCATCTCTGCCATGCATCAATCGGCCCTCCGGGACGGTGCTTACCGCGTCTCCAAGATTCCAAAGGAGATGGTGACGACCAAGGACGACCTGGCCAACATGCTCAAGCCCAAGATGAACTTGGTATCCAAGGCGTAATTGCGCTTCTCATGAAATGATCAGTGTTTCTCACGACATGGCTTGCATTGCATCCACTCATACAAACCCGGCGCTACTACTACATCGACCACACTCATTTTGACGAACTTTTCAGCGTGGCGCAAACGAGATGACGGACGGCTGGCTCTTCGAAAGAACCCTCTTTGTATTTTACCTTCTCGCGGCATCAACCATCGACTTCTACCAGTACTCGTATCGTCCTCCCGTGATGGCTTTGTACATACACGGCGACATGCAACGAGTCCTTCTCCTTTCCATCCGGACAGTCGGACTTGTTCAATTCTTGTCCCTCATTCTTTCGACAGCAAATTTATAGATCTTCAGCGGGGAGGAGTACTTTTTTGCCGGGGTTTTTGAAACGGCAGCAACATAGCACGGACTCGACAAGGGAAGGGGAGGGGATGTGTGATAAGTCCATGGTCGGGTCACTTTTTGCCTTTCTCTCGTATAAAAGGAAATGGGGACGGGAGGTTTCTAGTATGAGAGGGCATAATGTTTGTGTTGATTGATTTGAGGAAGAGAGAGGGGAGGGGGGAATAGACTTGTGTACTTGTACGTACATGTGGTGTGAAGAAATTTCGGTAAGGATCTCTTGGGGAGAAGGAGAAGAAGATGTATATACACCGTCCCATTGCCTACTATTGGGGTTTTTTGGATGGGTGGGTGGGAAGTTGGGGTCCTTTAAAATCATGAAATGAGAGCAAAAGTTCTTTTTGAAATGGTTCTTGCCCCCTCCTTTTCTTTCGCGGCGGCGTCTTTGCTTTGCTTTGATCGAAATTTTTGCGCTTCCAAGATCTCTTCTTGTCTTCGTGGTGTGTGGGTCGCGATGGAGGAGAAGTATGCTTGGAAGAAATAAAGATAGGGAGGGAGACGCTTGGGACGATGGAGAAAGGGAGAAGAATGAGAACTATATAGCAGGCAGGCAGGCAGGCGCCATGTAGGTATTGCTTCATGCGAAATCTTAACTTGCTGCTACTGCTGCTGGAAAAGTAGTCTTCCGCTATCTATCTCAATTAAGAAGCCAGCTAACCAGCTACATACATGCAGCAACAACGACAACAATTTTCAACTTAGAAAATTCTTGGGGCAAGCCGCTTGTGCTCTGCTTGCTTGTTCACATCTCATCTTATCTTCTCTCCTTCATGGAATGGATGGATGACACGGCTTGCTTTGGGGGTCGATAGCGGCACGACTACTTCCTGTACCGACTTCCGCAATGGTGTGCGTAAGGTGGAGAAAAATTCTATCGAGGTAGTATAGCAGCGTCAGGGGGAGGGAAGGGGAGGGGAGAGGAAGGATATGAGGGACGGACGGGTAAGCGTAACGTATTGAACCAAGAGGAAGAATGGTGTTCCCAGACTGGGGAGTTGTGCTTCGAGACGGCGTGGGATGGAATTGTGTGGGAGGAATTGCTCTTCGAGATTGATTGTTGGCTGATTAACTCTGAGCTGCTATCGCTGGTCTTTTTCTTCGTGGCTGGCTTTGCGGTTTGAGGAGTAGACCTTGCCTTTTTTTTTTGTGCAGAAACATTAAGGTGGGCGTCCATCTGAGCTCATTCTTGCCCATCTGCTTCGGAACCAGGTATGCTCGATTTCTCCTCAAAGTACTCACACACTTAAATCACTCACTCACTCACTCACTCACTCACTTCTTCCTTCTACACAGATCGGTCACGTTGAAGAAAGAAAGGCGAAAAGGAGAAAAGAGAAGGTACTTGATCGTTGTTTGAGGCTATGATACCTTGAAGGTCTCGTGCTAACATCATCGTCGATGTCTTTGGAACTGCTCGAGGTTATGTGGAGATGTCAGAGGTCTAAGGCACACTACTCGGGAGCTGTTTACATACTCAGGAGTTGATTGCCCACTCGGAGGCCTGAGCCGCAACTCAATAGCGCCCACTCAGGAGCTTTTTCAACCACTCAGGAGTTGATCGCCCTCGACCCAATCATGCCTGCTCAGGAGCTACTACGACGACCAAGGTGGTGGCGGAGAAGCCTGTGCAGTTAGTGTTGCAAGAGCGCTATGGACACCGCGCTGCTGCGGTAAGGGCAGCGAGCGACAGTAGACAGTTGTCGAGGCCTGCACGTGCATGTACTCCATTCAGAGTCCGATCGTGGTCTGGCGTGGAAAGATACGTAGTCAATGTCTTAATCGACTCACGGTCTTGTCCGCGGCTTGTGCGGTTACAGATCAGTGGAGACCGCGTGTGCGAGGGATGCAGTGGACGCGAAGGCTTATAGGAAAGAAAGGAAAGTTTGAGTGGAAGGAGCGACCGGATGAAGCGGAAGCATAGTGGAAGGAGCGACCGGGTGAAGCAGAAGCGTACATGTACACGGACCATGTGGGGCCAATCACATGCGAAACTCACTAGCGTCACCCAGCGGTAACGTTAACGTGGGCGATGGAGTCGTGATCAAACACTTTAGACAGCGCAGCCATGAAATAAAGCTTAGAAGCAGTAAATGGGATCGAGCGGTGGAAACTTGACTTGAACTCTGTATTCGATGCAAGGGACATATGCAGCCTACAGTATGTAGAGTGAGAGGTGTTCTCCAAGGGGTTGGAAAATGTCCTGCTTAGATATACGCCATGTTAGCGAGGTACCGACTTCCTCTGCCTAGTTCTGCCATGATCCAATTTCTTTCTGGCATGTCAGCAGACTCAAGACGAGTCAAAAGGTAGTTAACTTACCGACTTCTCCAGCAAACCTGCTTCTTGCGTCCTGATCCCCCAACTCTTGTGACGTCCGAGTGCGAGTACGCCGCCGCCGTCGATACCGATGCCGTGAGGGACTTGAAACTGCTCGAGATCCTGCGAAGATGTAAGGATCTAGACATTAGCGTTGACTTACCACTCAAATCTTCAATTTGCCCAGTCGCGAGCAGAAGTATGGCAGCCCAGTCCAAGCTCAGCCAAATGCTTAGCTACGAGCAGTATCCCACAGTAGCTCCAGCGCAGTCTGAACAGCAAATAAAAGTCCACATACGCCCTGTCACGAGCATGAGATTCCTCTAGCCCTATACTAGTGTGTAGGCTCATGCTGTGATTTGAGTCGACGGTAGAGCGCGGCGGTCTCGAGCAGTTTTCAAATGCATCGGCGGGATCGTCAAATGGCGACGGTTATATAGCGGTCGCGTTCCTTCCTGGCACAGCTGTGTCCGAAGATGTCAGTGACCTGCAGAGGCTGAGAATGTCACCTATCTGTGTCGTGTTTCAAGTTGTCGTTCGTTTTGGAGATGATGGTGTCGAAAAAGTCTGAGATTTACAAGCTGAAAGGGTGGTGCAAGTGAGGTGAAACTGCCGAGAAGACTTTGGAGAATTGTCGTTGAATTCTAAACCGGTGGTCGACGAACAGGCAGACGAGAAGCGCGCACGGACCACAACTTCACATGCTTGGCGTCAAAGGTTCGAATCGGCTTCAAATCCGATTCTTTTGATTTCAGAGATCATGCCAGGGCGTCACAACAAAAGCCCCGGGAAAGCTTTCGCATACCCCGCTCTCACTGGAAACGCTAGTCTATCGCCGGAATAAGCAGGAAGTCCATGTCATTACTCACATATTGTGTGGAGGAGCCAAGTTGGAGTGAAGGAGACGCGTCTCGATGTGCCGTCGAAGAGCGCATTATCGCAAGCGGGCTGGCGATTGAGGATCCACCTATTAGGGCGAACGGTCAAGACCATAACAACACGCTGCATTATCTCAACCAAGAATTCTCCCGTGACGAAATCATTAACCCTAGTATTTATCTATCTATCCAACTACTAACTAAATTGACGTACAGTGTAGTGCAGCGAAATGACCCCTCTCCTCCTAGAAACCGACCGACCCAATTCCAGACTGGGAGCCAGGATAAATAAATGAACGAATGAATACGGTCCCGTCTTTCCTCGAGGCCAAAAATTGTAGGGAAACAGGGCAACAGAATCAATGCCATGATAGATTCCTCTAGCTTGCTGGAAAGATACACGTCCACCCGTCCGTAGACCATGCAAGTATGTATGTAAGCATGTAAGCATGCTGCGATCGTAAAGGAAGTCATTAGCGAGCAAGCAAGCAAGCGAGCGAGGACAAGCAAATCGAATACAACAGTCGACACGAGAACGCCGCGACACGACACTAGACGAGACGAAACTACCTTAAAAGATCTGCGAGTGTTTTCGGTGGCCTTTTCGTTATTTCCATATACCCCAAAACCGCGCGCAGTGGGGGCATCAGATGGACAGATAGATTGATAGAATAGATAGAATAGAATAGATAGAATCAATAAATAGATTCCCAAACCTCGATTTAACCAGCTTAACTAGCTTAACTACGAAAGGACAGACAGACAAATAGACGGCCAGAGCAATCCCCCCCCCCTCCAAAAACCAAAAAAAAAAACCAAAAAAAAAACCCCCAAAAAAAACCCCCCAGAACCTATGCGTTTTTAGTAGATAGCGCAGACAGAACAGAACAGAAGGAAGAAAGGAGTATGATACTCACACACTCCAACTCCCTACCTTAGAGTGGAGGAGGAGGCCGGGGGCTCGAACGACAAACTTGATATCGGCAAAAATTCCAGTTCAGTTCAGTTCAAGTGTGATTTGATGACTTGACTTGACTTTTCTTTTCTTTTCAGCACCGGCCGGAGCCCCCTTCCTTCCTTCTAGAGCCCTCCCGGCAAGCAAGCAAGCAAGCAAGCAATCAAATCAATCATTCAATCATACGCCATCCGCCTTGCCGAAAAAGTCCGCAATATACAAAACGAAAACCCAAAGAAAAGAAAAGAGAAAAATTTTTTTTTTTGCAAGAAAAGCCAACGATAAATGGGAAAAGGATTGGAAACATCATTCTGGTGCAATTCCCGCCAACAACAACAAAAAAGACCATAGTAGGAAGGAGGAAGAAGGAAGGTGGAAGAAATATTACATCATTATTTTCCCCCCTCCTTTCATGCATTCCCAGGCTTCTCGTCGGTATCAATATGCCAGACCACGTAATTCGGAAGCCCAAAAACGCCATAACCCGCCCGTCGCGCCATCTTCGCGAAGCCTTCTGTTTCGGCCTGGTTTTCAAATGCGTAGCAGGGGAAATTGATGCCTTGCGAAAACAGTCAGTCAGTCAGTCTCGGGATGTTGTTCCCAATGAGGTTGGTCGGTCGGCAGGGACACTCACCAGATCTGTGGACATCTGCCTTGACCAGAATATTAACACCACCAATACCGTCCAGCGGAATCTCGATGTCCTTGTTGTCTCGCCAGTCGCCCATTCGTGCCATGTACTTTCGGTCGGTTCGGTATTCTTTATAGCCTGTCATATGACCAAGTCAGCGCGCTTCAATCTCCATCACATGATCTTGAGAGGCTTGTCCTCGTACCCTCTGCCAGCACAACGTTCTTGTCGAGACTATCAGCAAGTTTGCGGCCCGTCTCCGATTCCTGCCAGGAGTTGTAGTCGAATCGACCTTCAATATCGTGTCCGTCTTCATAACGATGGAACCAGATGTCTATTCTCCACGTCAGCTTCTGCGCTTGTCCTCGACCGCTTCTTTCTGCAACTTACTGGGCACCAGAACATCCCGATCATGCGCAACAAAGTCCTCAATGATCTTCTCCGGGCTGTCCACGATATCCACATCCCGCCAATACACCCAGCTATGGTCTGGCTTCAGCGCAGCCGAAAGCAAATAGTTTCTCGCCTTGCCCATGGCTTTTCTCCTGGGCCCTTGAGCGGCGAATCCATGTCTGTCTTCCACATCTTGCCCCAGAGTGACGCCAAAGTCCTTTTCTACCACCATGGCGCCGTGGAAAGCCATATGGTTCGGGCCGTTTTGGATTCTTTCCAGCTCCATTGCCAGGACAGCGAGGGTGTCATCCGTGCTGTCGCCCACCAAGAAAGCCAGGTCGATCAGGTCATGAGGGTATGTGAGCTGCGAGAGCAAGTCGAAATGTTTCTCGATGTAGGGGGCGGCGTTGCGCAGGGGGGTGAGGATGAGGACTCGTTCCTGGTTCTTGACGGCGTCTCGCGTGGATGCGACATCGTTGAGGTTGACACGCTGGATGGAGGAGCTGTTGACCTCGAGGGGGACGTGATGGTTGAAGATGACGGGCGTCTGTAGATGTCCGGCCCACTGGGCCTGCTCGTTCGCAGTCATCTGCATGGGGGACTTTGCTGGCCCGAAGCAGTAAAACCTATACCACATGACCCGCAGTCAGCTCTCGTGCCCATGTCCAGCCGAATCGAAGGTCAGGGAGGGAAGTGTGTCACCTCTGCCAATCTCCCGCCGTGCTTCGCAATCCATTCCATATTAATAGCACCGTGCCGGCCACGGCGATGAAGAGTAAGAAGCGCGTTCGGATGAGAAAGTTCCAGATGGCCCTGCTGGGCGGGAATCTTGCCCGCGCGCTCTTCCACGTGATGCCGCTGCCCTTGGGTAGCAGCATGTTGAAGACTCCCGAAACGACTCGCGAAACCCGGACCAATTATCAAGACGCCAGAGCCAGCGACGCCAGAGCGGCGAGCGCTCTCCCGCGAATGGAGGAAGAGAGGTCACAAGCAGCGAGCAGACGGCAGATTCGGGTTGGCGATGCGGAGGAGAATGGGGCGGTAGCGAGCGAATGCGGTGGTTCGGGCGGTGATACTGCCTTCCACAGTTCCTCGGAGTGGATGGTGGGATGTGCAGCAAGAAGAAGAAGAAGGAATTTGGGTATGGAGATGAGGAAGGTGTCGTGTCGCGTTGCGTTACGTTTTCTCGTGGGCAGTACTAGTCGACAGTTCTGATCTGGGGATGCGATAGTCGAGGCCTGAGAAAGAGAAAGCTGAGAGAGCGTGCACACTGAGCCCTGAAACTCTCTCCCCGTCAGCTCTCAACAGCAGCCAGCTTGCAGCTCGCACTGTGCACGCACCCAACGACAGCCGGCCTTGGCAGTGCTCCTGGTTCTTGCCTTATCTCCTCTCTGCTATATCATCACAGCCACATTCGCCCGCCACAAGAACACGTGACCTTCGCTGACTGATCTCCTCCTCCTCCTCCTCTCTTTCCGCTTTCCGACGCGTAACATTCCCGCTCGCCAATTGAAGCCTTCCGACGGCGTCCGCTAGCTGCATGCAGCCGTTGCACTTTCTTCACCTACCCGCTCACCCCCAAGCGCGCGAGCTCCCCATCCACCACTACCTCTATTACACAATCAATATGTGATCTGTCAATCCCACAAGAATTTCCCATCTGTGCATCCATCAGAAAGACAGCGTGCACGCGCTCGGTATCCATGCCGAACGCCCGCCGTGCATACATCTTCATCTTCCCTGTGCTTTCCATGCCCCCTCTCCCTCCCTCCCGCCCTCCCGCCCTCCCGAGTGGGCCGAGGCCGACAACGTGGACGGGTTCGTAATAACGCACACGGCCGCGTGACGAGTCTACGACGGTGCTATGGGCTGATGATGATGAGGTGTCCAAGTGACCAAGGTACTGACCTCTGCACGCCACCGAATCCGTACAGAATCCAACACTGACAACACAACCGACTACTGCCATGCAAAAGCTCTTGCCCGGCGGCGGCGGTGTGCAAAGACAGCTGGCCGTCGCCGTCCCGAAGCGTCAAGAATCAACGCACAGCAGCTCTCCTACCTACAGCACCCACAATGCGTCTAGAAAGAGCACCTGGCAACCTTGAAAGGCGCACGCTCTCCTCCAAAAAGAAGTGGAGCCCCCGTCCTCTACATCGGACATGATACATCTGTCACCATTCATATGGGAGACCTCCAAGCGATATGCAACTAGACTATTCGGAAGCCCCTCCCCCCTCCCCCAAAAGAAAAGCCGACATGCAGACAGAAGCCGCACACCGGCTTGTTGATGATCACTCTCATCCATCAAGCTCGTCATGCTCGAGCGAACATCTATTCCTTGTTGCACATTACTCTACTACGGATCCAGATTACCGTAGGTACGGCGATCACCTTTTTGAAGAGGGAGGGACCGATCTCCCCGCCCGCCGGAGCGTAGAAGATCAAACCACACCAACAGTGAAGTCGGTAACGTCCATAAGACAAAGGGGAGAGAAAGGTGACCCCTCGCAAGATACCTCGATATTCCATCAACATCATCATTGAAAAAACTTTCCTTCTAGTTGTTTCCCTTTGCAATGCTCAAAAAAGAATATTGTAATAATCTCACATATACATTAACTTTTTCCGTCCGTTTCAATCATGAGCTCATCACAAAATAGCCACCATCTGTAGATAATACACAAAGTTGTTCTCTTTCCCTTCTCTTACCACTAGAGCCAAAAATTTGCCGAAAAAATGTCGCTAGACTGCCAAATGCTTGCTTGCTTGCCACCCATTTTTGTCTTTGGAAAGAGCCTGCCTGTACCATAATAACCACCAACCAGGTTTGTGAAATCCCTTCATCGCTCGCTCGCCTGCCCGCCTGCCTGTCTGTCTGCCTGCATGAACGCTGCGCTGCATGTTCAATTCAACTCAATTCAGAGAAGACTCTTCACCCACCGGTCCTGCTCGACGCGAAAGCGCCGCATCGTGTGCAGATTCCGACACTCGCGCCAATCCGGCGTGTGATGCACCGTGCACTCCTTGCTGCGCGTGTCCGCGTGCTGGCACAGCAGGTCGCGCTCGCCGTACAGCCACGTGCCCTCGAGGGGGTTCTGCTTCTCGCCGGCGCCGTTGAGGATGCGCGTGCAGCGCTCTTCGAACTCGTCCACGCGCCCTTCCCGGATCGCCCGGCAGCGTTCCTGGTGCAGGAAGTGGTAGAGGAGGTCCTCGGCGCCGCGGAGCACGTTGATCTTGTTGGCCTGCAGGCCCGCGCCGTTGCCGTTGCCGCCCGACTGTTCTTTTCGCTCCCAGCTGCAGTAGTTGCGGAAGACGTCTTCGATGCGGTAGAGGACCGCGGCTTGGTTGCCGCGGTTTTGCTTCTCCTTTTCCTGCTTCTTCTTGTTCTTCTCCGTGGTGGAGGACACGCTGTCCTGCGTCGGTGAGCGCCGGGCAGACTTGGCGTATTTGGGTTCGTGTCGGATGGCTCCAGAGTGTCTCCGTTCGGATCCTAGGCTGACAGAGTTGGCCCGGCTGGTGTCGGGCGTGTAGGCGCAGGAAGAGTCGTCGCTGTCGGTGGTGTCTTCCATGGCTGAAGGCGGCGATGGCACCTCGAAGCTGGTCCGGATGGCATGTGGTTGAGGGTACATGGGTGCGAATTGTCCATTTCGGTATCCCGCAAAGTGTGGAAGTTCGCGTGGAGCATTCAGCATGGAGGCATCGCATGACTGTTCATGGTACAACAGTTTTGTTGGGTTGTTGAATGCTTGTTGGCATCCGGGTTGTCGGCATGGGTACATAGTATTGAGAATCGATGAGATGCCTGGTAGTTGTTTGGGGGAACTGTGAATTATTAGCAACAGCTTCAACCACAGGTGACACCAGACGGCTTACCCATCGGTATGGTTGGGACGATCGGCCATGGCGAAGGTGGGTGGGTTGAATGGTCAACCAAGGAGTCCCAGCGGTGTGTTGGGTGTGTGAGACACGAGGCGCGAACGCGGGCTGAGTTGGGGGATGAATAGAGTTTCAAAGCACAAACAACCGCCGCCTGTAAAGAGCAAAATACCGACGAGCACTTGATGTACGAACGAACTCTGAATGATCTGGAGCGAATAACAAGAAGGGCTGTCATGAGTAGGAAAGCCACCACATATTTAAGCACGTCACACACCCATGCTGTTGTTCGCTCACTTGGACAGCGCGGGCCGATCTGTCGAGATCAAGAAGGTGGGTCAACATCTTACGGCCCGAACGCTAAAGTTTGAGCAGCCGTGATTGCAACCGGGATGATGGCGGTAACGAGCGCATGAATCCGGAGGAGAATCGGTAAGGGAGGCGCTCACTCACTGCACTCTGTCCAGATGCAGTCCGGCGTGTGAGGTTCGAATCTGGGTGTGCCGCCCATTGGCGGCGCCTTCCACTGTGGAGCCAACTCCCTTGCGGAATGTGCCCTGACGTTCTGCGAGGCCTTCTGTTCCGGAAGCTCTCCCCCACGGTCCATACAGGTAGATCATCTTTGCGTACCGTGACGATTGGCGTGGTGCCCTTCGGTGCCGACCTCTTGCGGGTCTCTGTGCTGTCTGCCTTCACTGCGGCCCCGGTTCCGAGGCAGACGTCTGCATCTGCGCTCACCGCAAGATTGAAGTGACCACTTGATACTGGCTCTAGCTCTTCGCCCAAAGTTGTGCCAGCCAGTTGTTAAAACTGCAATGCAAGAGGACGTCAACCGTCGTCTCGACGCAAGCAGTCACGACGGTGCCGACGGGCGTCTGTCGATTCTCCGTCGCTGCTGCGTGTACAGCTCACGCACACACGATGTCTTCCCACGCCAGCTTCCGGGTAGGAGGTTGATACAGAAAGGCGCCTAGCATGACATCCGCGATCCTTCCAGCGTATCCTAGCGATCCGGTAGACTTGATTGGCCGTCGATGCACGACAATGAGCTCTGCATTGACTGTGTTTAGGTTCGCGGCAATGCGGAAGAGGGCAGTTGTGTGACCGAGGGAGGTTGGATGATTTCATGATCACCAGGGCCTCTGCATTTTGCTGAAGCGGAGTGGGAAACACAGCGGAGTGCAGTCCTGTCACACATCAATCGCGCAGCTCAGCGAGTCGGTCTGGGAATGCGCAGTCAGGATCGATCGGAGACCGCACCAATCAACCAGGTTGGCGTGTCGAGGTCGTGGTCTGTCTTCGCGGCGAGAGCAGAGGGCATCGTAGTGTACAACGGCTGCTGTGTAACACGAGGCTGTCACTGCCTGCACACAGGATATGCACGCTGGAGCAAGCGACGTCGCAAGCGCTGCAGTAGACCCGCGCGTCAAGCTGCGACTGGCCTTGCTCATATCAGCAGCGGGTCTCGATGGTGCAGCGCGTAATATCGCCTCTCCCAGCAGCAGTGTGAAGCTGAAGGTCGTCGAATGTGATAACTCGCAGAACAAGAGGTGTCGTCCGGGATGATGTGCAGCGAGTTGCGCCATTCCCGCCCGGCATCTCCCTCCGCCCACAGTCTAGTAGTAGTCTAGACGGGGAAGGGTAAGGTGGATGCAAGGGGGGGAGCAACGAGCGCACACTCCATCATGACACCACGCGTGAGCACCTGATCAACGCTCGCCGCCGAGTCAAGCAGCTTTGCCGCTCAGCGGATCCGGGCTTGTTCGGAGGAGATGCATTCTGCAACGAGTCCTGTCTTCCTGTGTTCCTGTGAGGAGGTGCGGTGCGTGTTGTGCGAGAGGTGAGGTCTCCGGACCTCATGCACGCCAGAACCTTCGTGACTCGCCATCGTCACACAGTGTGTTCATGATCGTAGACAGATGCCCTCTGGAGATTCTTGGCCTACATATCTTTACTGTGGCAGCAGTACACTGCTACTGTCATGGTCGGTGGCATGGCACTGATGCTGAACAATTCTCCACCATCACTCATCACTCGACGATCGGACTCTTCCTTGCTTCGAAGAAATCGGTCACGAGACCAGACAAAAGTGGGACACTTCATGTTGTTGGGAACTGTTCAACTGGAAAGGGAAGAAATTGTAACACTGCTCTCATGTACCGTACACACAACCGATACACAAACTGTCCGCCGCAGCTCAGACCGCGATCCGAGCCCCGCCCTCTGCAGCAATTCCACCCAACTGCACTTCTGGTATCTGGTCCGATTATGTCATCTTCTCTCCTCCGCCATTACGATTTATTAAAACACACCGTCTGTATTCGAGTTCCCAGCCCAAGCTGTAAAATGAATGGCCGTCCATGCATCAAAGGTCTTCGCTTTCCTTCCTGCGCGCCCCAGAATCAAATCAATTGCTCGCTTGCATGCGCTTTTGCTTGCCTGCGGGAAATTCTTCATCGTGTCGTGAGAAAGGAGGGAAGTGCGTGCGGGGGTATTGTGTGTCAACTTTCAATGCGCGAGATCGCTACGATTAGTCTATGCAATGCAGTGCCGAATTGTTCAAGTGCCAAAGGAGCCAGAAGTCCACACAACAAACGCCCCCGCAAGCAGAAGATAGACAGTGCTGTGGTCAATGCATGCTCACAACAGACCAAAAATGGCCGCTACAACACCGAGGAAGCCAGTGACACCAGGAATGAGTACTGGTGTGGCCGCGCCCGAGGAAGTGCTTGAGCCACCAGAGTTGGTGCCAGATGGGAGAGTGCCGGTGCCGCCTGGGTTGGTCAAACTTCCCTTACAGGTGAATACGCCCTTTATGGCGTTGTTCGAGCCAGAGAGGCTGGAGAAGTGAGTGCAGGCACTGTCGATATTCTTGGTAGACTGCAGGTTGAAAGCACCGCGGACATCGCTGAGCTTGGGTAGGCTCACACTACAAAATCATTAGCTGTTGCATGACGTTGGAAGGTGCAACCGGAACTTACTCAGTGAAGACACCGTTGAAGTCAAGGGCACCACCGACAGTCTTGAGGGCAGGGAATCCATCAATCTGTCCCAGCTGGGTGTTATTGGCAAGCTGGAAACCACCGCCAATGGTGGTGAGCTCTGGCATGCTGATGTTGGTGACCGCGTTGCAGCTGACGAACGAGAGCTGGCCGCCGACGCTGGTGAGGTTTGGTGCGGTCAGGTTCTCGAAGCCATCGCTGTAGAAGCCGAGAGAGCCGTTGACGGAAGCGAGCGATGGGATAGAGACAGACGAAGCGTTCCTGATCGACATGTTGTATGCCCACATGAGATTGGGGAACTGAACGTCGAGGTCGCGTCCGTTGGCAGCGAGGGTCAGGGCCTTGGTGACGTTGCCGAGTTGCATGTTGACCGAGGTAAGATATGGGTTGTTGGCGACGTACATGGTGTCCACGACCTCCAAGTTGATGCCGTTGAGGTTGTTCAGTTGGGTGTTGTCGATGGTGAGCATGCTGACATCTTGCACACCAGTGGAGAAGGACAAGCCCTGGAGAGCAGGGAGCGCGGTCCACTCAATGGTGTCAACCTTGGTGAGCTGTGGGAAGTTGAGGGTGGAAAGAATGGTGAGCGAGGTCAGGGTGAAGGAGTCGCCAATCTCTTGCAGGCTGTCGGCGGCGAGCGAGGTCATTTGGGTGACATTGCTGGCGGTCAAGCTGCCGGTAATGGTTTGGATGTTGCTCAATTGGATGTTGTCGGTGGTGCCGGTAGCGATGGCGATGCTGCCGGAGTATGTCCTGCAGCTAGCAAGGCCCGTCGCGTCGGCATTGCTCTGGATGGTGGTTGTTCCGCCATTACCGCAAGACTGTGCTGCGCGTGGTATCAGTATGGATGCCATTGAACCAGCTCTTGATGTCCATTGACTCACCAGCTGCACCAGCTGCCACGGCGAGGGCCGGGGCGATGTATCTGAGGACGGCCATTTCGTGTGTTCCGCTGGGCGGATAACTGCAACACGGTAGGTCAGCACGGTGTCTTGCGAGCGTGTTTGTTGATGTGACGCGTGCGAATGATATCGACTTGTCAATGGGATTGGCGATGAAGGGGGCACGCGAGAGGTGTCGTGCTGATGGACGGGGTGATGGCGGGAGCTCACCTTTTGGTATTATTATTAACGCTGCTCTTGCACGGTCTTACAGTCGTGGTGGTTGGATAGACAATGTGATGGAGTCGTCGGGCGGTTGAGGATGATGGGTTTGTGGTGAGGCAAGCGAGCGTGAGAAGAAGAAGAAGGGTGGTGACAGCAAGAAGGCCGGTGCACGCACAGTAGAACGAGTGAGGCTTCCCTGGCACAGAGGTGTTTGCGAAGGAGGCACGACAAGAATCACTGTGGTAAAAGGAGAGAGGCAGAACGCGCTTGGGCCACGCAATCCACGCAAGCCAATTCGAGCCAGTCCTAGAATGGAAAGGCGCAGGAAGCTCGCGAGGTCCCGCGTTTCATGGACTGCGATAGCCGGTTGAGACGCAGCCCTCCCATTGGCCCAGCGTGTTTCTCTCGCAACCCTATTCCGCACGCTATTTGGCCGTCTCGCTGCCGCACCGTGGATATCCTTCCAGGTGGTTGTGGGAAGAAAGTCAGCAATGGTGGGAGAGGAGGTTATAAGTTGGCGTGCATGGGATCTCGTAGCGATGTGAGAGCCAGCTTCTCGTCGCTCCAGCCAGGAGAACCCCTCGCTGATGTGATGAGGGTGAAAGAGTGAGAGAGTTCCGGCACCAGCAGTGGCGGGTGCATGAACGACTCGACGATTTGGCAGGTGTCGCCCCCCAACAAAGCTCCTGCCGCTGCCACGACAACCTCCCAAATCTCACACTCCGCCGCCACAACGCATTGCCACCGCTCCACGACCACCAGGAACAACTCATCATCAAACCCGTGGCTCGAGCAGCAACAGTCTCAAGTCTGAGACTCTGAGCGACGCAGAGCGTTTCGGCAGAATTGTGAACGCCCCATCCCTGCCCGCCACTAATCTCGCATCCCTCTCCCTCGTCGGATTGAGGTCGCTACTGTGGATATCCTAATACACTCCATCTGCCGCCGTTATTTCTCTTGATCAACACGATTCACAATGTCCACACAATCACTGCTCTCAAATCTCTCTTCCCTCTCCGTCACCTCTGTTGGGACTGCGAAGCATTCTGGAGTACTTCGCGGGCAGCAGTCTCTTCACCAGCCAAATTCCTCCTCACACGGCTCACGGCCGCGCTTCCAGAACTCTCCGCCACCCAACAATGGACCATCACATGTACTCCACCGTCGTCGCGTACAAAACGTCGTCCTCTAGTGGCTGCATCTGGAAGGTCGTTCGCCGCTGGTGTTCAATGTGCGACCCCACTTGCCTTGCTCGGGATCGACGGCTAGACCGCATCCGAGTTGTCGTACGGGGCAGTCCTCACCTCCCGCCAAGGATCTTGTGAAAGCTGCTTGTCGGAGCTTGACGACCTGCATAATCTCCCGAAATTTCTCTCTCTCCGCGCCTCATCATGTTATTTGACGCAGTCACAACGTCGTCTAGAGATGATGCTTCCGCCGCTTGTATCCAAGAACAATCATCATGCAGCCCCCATCGGCTGTGCGGCATGTGCTGCACTACCGCGTGTAACAGCTTGCCACCAAAGGAAGAGCTCTTCACACCAAGATCTCAACCGAAATCCTCAATGCGCAAGAGCGGGTGGAGATGGGGATGCGGATCTTCGGCCAACAACCGACCTGGACTCCAACCCGCTACCTATGAGGATTTCAACACCACTCGGCGCCATGACACGAAAGCTGGGTCACGCGACATGGCATACGTACATGACTGTCTGCTGGCGCACCTCTGTGGATCTACCATGGGCCGCGCAAACCACCTGCTATCACCGAATGTCGTGCGGGAGTCGTCATGCCCGAATATCAAGGGCCACATGGCCTTCTCAATGATGATTGGATGACAGAGCCTCTAACATGGCTCTTCAGAAAGACTTTGATGCCTGCCCATGGCGGACGCTCTGCCTCTGGTATCCTGTCGGCTTATGATGTAGGCCTGCAGCACCGATTTCTAAGAGCCTCATTTGACCCTTCACCCTGTCGCGCTGCTCGTGCCGGACCCAATGATCCATGTACACATCCTTCCACGATCAGCCAAAAGACGTAGGAGAAGGACGGGTCTGCAGCTGGTCGAACTTGACGCAAGTTGCTAACGTTGCCAGTTTCCTCCAGGTCCTCAGACATCCTGTGTCTCTCGATATGAGCATCGATCCCAGACTCGAGGTAAGTCTTCATCCGCCACGCCACGCAGCGAAGACGTGAGGTAAGGTACTCAGCAAGGCCTCGTGTATGGATGGACCCTTCGCCAACCGCTGACCGTTGGATTGACTGATCATGCACATCCGACGCCCTCATGGTATACGCTAGAAAGAAATCGAACGTACACTGCTTGTAGAACAGCGGCGAAGAGAGTTGAATTTGGTGTCGCACGTGACCTTCGGTTCCGGATAAAGAGGTCTTAGTACCTACCTTACTCCACTTCCTTTGCTTTCTTTTAGCACCTACTAGATAGTATCTATCTCGACAATATGTATGCTTACCACGCACTCGTAATCAACTCGAAGTCTCCTTCTCTCGCTATAGCGCTCGATTAGGGTCGTGAATTCTTGTTTGGAAGCCTTGCGGTGGTTGGGGGAATTTCTTGGCTAGGAGGTGCGTAGGAACTGATTTGTTAGGGGTTAGAGGATCAATATGCTATTCACTTCACAACAGCTGCACGTGATCAGGATGGCCTCGTGACTGACGAATAGAGATGTAAGAAGTGGGACTTCTGATATACTCATATGGTATTCTAGATATGAGTGTTGGAACTTGGATAGTGGGGAGATGGATGTGGCTAGTGTGCGCCGCTACGGCTTCGGGGAAATTTCCACCGGTTGTTCCTGCCTTCCATAGAGAAATATCCCACCTCCTGCAACACCTCGGGCTGCCTCTCATCTTCCATCATCCTCTGCTTATTCGCAATCTTTTCGTCTCCGGTGCAGATCCTCTCGCCTCAACCACAGCCCGCTGAAAGAAAGAAAAATGTCGTCCGGTCGCAGCTTCCGCCGCCGGCCCTCACGCTGCATGATCTTCTCGAATACCCCGCGAAGATGAGGCCCGTACAGGAAGGCACGCAGCTATGCACTCCTCGCGCACTTGCTATTCGATGGTGGAAGATCCAGGAACTTTGGGAACGATCGCTCATCGTCCGCCTCTTCAAGGCGATCGACCAAAGCCTTGTGGTCTCGATGCTTGATTTTTGAGACATGATTGTTCATTCCGTCGTCCAAGATGAATTTCCGCTATTGTTCCACGTTACATCTCCTGTATAAAAGTTGCCGCAATCATTCAGAAAGCCATTGTTTTGAGCTCGTGGCTTTGGGTGTTCGACTTGATACGACAGCCAGCGTCTTTCAACTTTCTGACCAGCTCGGCCTTCGTGGTCGACTGCTGGTCGGGAAAAGGTTCGATGCGCAAGCAGCAATCGTGTTTGTGGTGTGCTCCTCTGGCGGCAAGTATGATGGACATGGTTGGTAAGTGGATGATGTTGGACGACTCTTGTTGTACGTGGAGGCTGGCGTTGCGGAGAGACACCTTATGGAGGCGAGCCTCAACAGCAGACGAGGCTGTACATCCTCTCATGTCCATCTACTAACACGAGTACTTCAACCTACAAACATTGAACGCATCTTTGCCCTGCCAATATGAAGGACGGTGTCTCAAAGACTCACAGATGCACACAATGTCTCAAGAAGCCTGGTACAAAGTTTGAGTCTTAGAGTTACGAGCTTGCGTTGCGCGAGGCAAGCCTCTGTATGTCTTTCGAGAGGGGCGACCGAACTTGTCGTAAGCGCGCAGACACGCCGTTTCCATATTGTATCACGAAGCGCCGAAGAAGCCTCGTGAGGTCGCTGTTGTAGCTTGCAACCCACTTTCGACGGCACAGATGGTGAAAAGAGATATCTTGACGTGGTGCCATTGAAGCTGGGGTTGATTTGGGGCTTGCCAGACTTCGGCAAATAATGTTCCCAGCAAACTCCCCTCTTGCGTGGAAGGAGGGGAAAGCTGTTCAAGATGTTCCGCGGAGAGAGTAGGATATGTCGCCACACTCATGCGATGATTCTCGCAGTTGCTGGGAGTGAGATCGAATTGGTGACGGGAGCATTCCGGTATGGAAGGGTTCTGTATCAGGTTATATTGGCCGAAGAGGTTGCTGGTCGCATGCCTCAGGCAGAAGTAGCTTAAGAGTCCTCGTGTTTCAGAGGGCGTTCAACTAGACAAGGATGGCGAACAGAACGCAGGTGGCCAGCGAATACGGGCCTAGACTCGGGCATTGCGGCCCCATCCATGGCATGTGAGAGGCAGCCACGGGTAGCAGCAGGTGGCGAATAAAGGCCGCCGGCGGTGGAGAAATGAAGGGTTGGATGGTGGACTGAGGCGTTGAGGCAGAGCTCAAGCCAAGGCAGAGAGAGAGGCAGAGAGAAAGGCAGAGAGATGTGAGAGGGCGAGACGACGGATTGGAAGTAGTGAAGAGAGGAAAATAAGGTAGTGAGCTCGAGCCAAGACCAACATCGTCCGAGCTTCTGGCAGGCAAAGGCAGGCGTGGCAGGCAGGCGTGGCAGGCTGCACACTGGCCTGCTGTTGCCGCGGCCGACCACTCTCTTCTGACCCTTCGCACCGCACCGCACTGCACCTCGTCACATCACATCCACTCGCCGACGACACTCCTCCACCACCATCTCCAACTCATCGCCCTCCTCACATTCCGCACTCACCAGCGGCATCATCGGCGCGAACGACTGCTCGGCGACGGTGAGCTGATTAGCAAACGGGACACAGCCCAGCAGCGGAGGTAGGTCGATCGGCGGGAAGCCAAACCAAGCCTCAAACTTGCCGCTTCCCTCCTTTAACGCCAGCACATCCACGCAAACACTTCCCACCACCTCAACAACGCTTCATCTCATCACCACCACGCTGCATTTCTCTCGCCACGCCTGCACCGCTCTCGACACCACCCTTGGGGCCCCGTTAACCCGTCGCGCAGATGGCGGAAATCCGTCGCAAGCTGGTCATTGTTGGTGACGGTGCCTGTGGAAAGACCTGTCTTCTCATGTGAGTCTTGCATCCGCCATTCAATCACTCCCGCCGCCTGGCACTGACCGCTCCCACAGCGTCTTCTCCAAGGGTACCTTCCCAGAGGTTCGTCCCACCCACTCTTCGCCCAACCCCTGAAAGCCAGACCGCGTCATCGCCGCCGATAAGGCGCAGCACGCATCAATCACGAATTGGCACCCATCCGCAATGAGCGCACCAACTGACACGCCTGACTGCAGGTCTACGTCCCTACCGTCTTCGAAAACTATGTCGCCGACGTCGAGGTGGACGGCAAACACGTCGAACTAGCGCTATGGGATACGGCTGGTCAGGAAGACTACGATCGCCTCCGACCCCTTTCATACCCCGACTCGCATGTCATCCTCATCTGCTTCGCCATCGACTCGCCGGATTCGCTCGACAACGTACAAGAGAAGGTAGGGAACTGCTCACGTGCCTCATGGACATATACTCGATGCTGATTGGCTGCGCGCACACAGTGGATCTCAGAAGTTCTACATTTCTGCCAGGGCCTCCCCATCATCCTCGTCGGCTGCAAGAAGGATCTGAGATACGACCAGAAGACGATTGAAGAGCTGCACAAGACCTCGCAAAAGCCGGTGACACCAGAGCAGGTACGCCTTCCACCGGTCTTCAAAGCCGAATGTCAGGCGAGGGTATGGAGTTGCTGACAATATCATCTTTCTAGGCCGAGGACGTCCGCAAGAAGATTGGTGCCCAGAAATACCTCGAGTGCTCTGCCAAGACCAACGAAGGCGTCAGGGAGGTGTTCGAGCACGCCACGCGCGCCGCACTGCTCACGCGGAAGAAGAAGGAGAAGAAGTGCTCGATCCTGTAAACTACCCAGATTACCCGCATCATGTCATAACCATCAGCCATACCACCATCCGATGAGAACACTGCTTCGACCAAACGGGCTTCTACAACCACTTCAGGACAGCTAATTACCTTTTTCTGCTTTTTGCAACGGACGGACATCACACCAACACAAGCGGGGTAAAGGAAGGGAGGATGGCGGGCACTGCGAGGATGTGCGATGGAAGGGGTTACGTCTGGCATAGATGTTGCTTGGAAGACCAACAGAAGAAATGGACCGATGATGTGAGCTTCAAGCGAGCTTCTGCTACGTGAGCGTGTATGTGTGGGAGAGCGTTCGCGTTTTGTGAGTGGGAGGGGGAACCATCCAGCTGGCTGAACCTTCTTTTACAGGCCGGCAGGCGATGTTCTTGTTTTGATGGTCTCCTTCCCCTTGCCTTGTTCTTTGTCCGTTAGAGAGTCATATCATGGCAATACCTGCTGGCGTTAATTGGGGTTCGTCCTGAGCAATGTAGCTTTCATCACTCGCCGCGGCACTTTCCTTTTTGCTCTCCACGGCCTTGCGACGACCACCAATGTAGGAAAACGTAAGGAGGTATTTGGCTGTTTGAGGTGGGTTCTGTCACTGCGGTCCACCGATGCAGAGCTACATGTCGTCAACATGAAGCCCATCTCGCTCGAGTGATGTTATGCACCGCTGCTGGTGACGAAGCGAAACATTGCTGAGCACGCACGACATAAGCGTGCAGGAATGACTTGCAGCTGAACAATCACTTATGACGCTCGTTAGACTCAGTCCACCGCATGGCGATGGTAGGCAGCAAAACGTAACAACGTGTATCGGTTTATGTCTCTCTCCCGCGGGAAGCGCGAGTGCCTTGGGACCCCGAGTCAGTCAGCGTGGCATGTCTAGGTGACGGTTGGCACTCTTACACGAATTGGAAGCGGGGAGAGAAGGCACGTTGTTTGTATTCTTGGGGGAACGAGAGCTGATGAGGCCTGGCTTCCATTGTGTTACCCATCTTTGGTGGCACAGGTGGCGACGACTGGAGATGTTGGTTTCTGGTCGTGTGCATGCATGTGGTTGGAATCTATCTCACGTGCTTCTTCCTTTCGTGGGGAATCGCTCATGATCATGGGAACAAAAAGCAATCAGAACTTGGCTTTCTGTTGTTTCGGAGGGACAATCAATCAAATATCACGTCTAAGTCGGCTAGCTTGGCGAGAATCTATCATACATCGTCGCTTACGCATGACAGAGTACCTGACCTGACCACGAGCACACCCACCCGCCGTAAGGCTGAGGGACACGACCAACGGGGCAGTCAAGTGGCGTGGCTGTCTCCCGACATCCGCGAGCGCTTCCTGCATTTGGCGTCGCACAGCATCAAGCGGCCAGGCGAGGCAAATCCGAAGGCGACTTGAACTACCCAATCCTCACTTGCTGGCGCTGCGTAGCGCCAGGTGGGACGTTGCCGCTGTGGTTGTTGAAAGAGAAGTCAGAGGGGTCGCGAGAATATTAATCCGCAACGGCCAACAACGAGATTTTTTGGGTTTCTTACTTGCTGGACGCCCACGCGGCAAGTGCCAGGACCGGGTCATCCTTCTTCTTTCGCACCGAAACCTTACTCTACTCACACGACACACACGACAATCCCACGTCTCAAACTATAGGATCATTAAAAAGTAGCGCCACACGCTCGTTCATCCACGACCCTCGACGATTATATCATTTCCCCAGTAGCGCATCAAGACTCGGACGGCGCGCGCTCAACAGGGTCTCTGGCCAGACTACCGCGTACCGAACCATCCCACTAATCCACATTACCACCTCGCCCAAGCCCTTCCGCGGGGTCCGCACCGTCCTTTTCAACCTTTCCTAAGCATCAGAACCAGACAAAGTACTGTCCACACACTCACCCACCGCCGCGAGAGTTTGCAATAAATTCACCAACTTCAACACCTCCCCTCACCTTCGTTCCCTCCTTCAACAACCACACCCGCGCCTTTTCCCTCAGAAGACGAAGAAGAACAACACACTATGATCCCGTGTTCCAATCAACAACGGAATCAGACAACATGTATCTGCCCGTGATCTGAGAGTCCGCGCTGCAAGAGTGGTAAGTAGGGTCGATTTCCCAACTCCCATTGCATTTCCCGCTGCTGCGGGGTGATTTTGTTCTTTTGACACGTGCGCGCCGGTTCTAGGCAGGTGCGCACGAGGTGAGCCAAGAGCAAGGGAGGGAGGAGTGGGTGGGAAAGAGCGAAGTTAGGAGGTAGCGGGTGAGGACAAGCACGTACCGAGGAATAAGTGAGGACACTGTGATTGAGGCAGCAGCCAGGGATAAAAGAGGACAGAGCGCGGAGACGATAAGTGAGGAAGGGACAGTCCAAGAAGTTACTGACTTGGATTTCACAGAGCTGCTACTTTCTTCTTACAACTTGATTTACACCTTCCACCGACACACCACCAACGCAACGCATCGCATCGCATCGCACCGCACCGCATCGCATCAACGGTAGGTCTTGTACAGGAACAGCAGGGGCAACAGCAGCAGCAGCAGCAGCAGCAGCAGGAGCGAGCAGGGAGCAGAAGGAGCGGGAGCAGGAGCAGAAGATGGAAGTCGCCGCCGAGGCGAGCAAGCCGGCATCTCGACCGGCCACGCCGCCCACTGAGGGAGTATGAGTGCCTTCAATGGCTCGAGTTGCACCGTCTTCTTCGAGACTAACATTTCTACAGCCACCAAAGAACTTCGGCACGGTCGCCGACGACGAAAACTACCGCATCTACCGCAGCGCATTCCCCGGAAACGTGAATGTCGATTTCCTCAAGACCAAGAACATCAACACGGTTATGTGCGCATTGAGTAGACGTTCCTATATTTGGCGGCGCTGATTTTCCGCTAGCACCCTCGTGAACTTTGAATCCTTCGCCATCGACGAGGGCCGCCGCGGCGTTGCGCAATTCATCGAGGAAAACAGTATCCAGCACGTCTCCATCCCAATCACGCCAAACAAGGAGAAGGACGGGACCTCCACGTCGGTCGAAAGCATCTGCGAAGCCTTGATCCACGTGATCAACCCGGCCAACTATCCACTCTACATCCACTGCAACCAGGGCAAGCATCGTAAGTACCACGAGCACAGCACATATGACCGAAAGAAGACACTGACACTCCTCTAGGCACCGGATGTGTCGTGGCGTGCTTCCGCAAGTGCCAGGGCTGGGCAATCGACAAGATCATCGAAGAGTACGATGTCTACGCCCTAGGCAAGTCGCGCAAGGAGGATGTCGCCTTCATCGAGGCCTTCGACACGGCGGCAGTCTACAAGTACGCGAAGGAGCGGGAAAAACTGCACCTCTTCCCCAAGGAGCGCAAGGATTCTGCCGTCAGCATTTGGGACCTGGCACCAGTCCAGGATCTCTCTCCGTCGGCCGATAACAGCTCGGAGTACGGCGTCAGCTCGGAGTACGGTATCGCAAGTTCCGATGACGGTTTGTGACATTGCATAGCGGTTTTTCCTTTTGGGTGACATTAGCGTTGGCGCTGGTGGAAAAGCGTGCGTGGCATTTTGAAGCAGTCCTCTATCATTGGAGAGGTGACTTGAGCGTATAGCACAGCTTTCGGACAGGCAGTATAGCCCTGGATATCACGGCACGAAGCTGCGATTGAGAACATCCAATCTGTGTCCATCCATCTCCACGGATTCTTACTGAAAATGTGCTACTGACACGCCCTTCGACAGCTTTGTCCGTGTAGTAACTCTCGAGAAAGGAACAGGTCTCTCTCTGTCCACGCAAGACTTGCACGACGTCGTGCTTTCGGACCTCTCGACTTGCGGATGGTATCTCCCCAACTATCAGCAGAAAGTGCGCGACAAACAGACCCAGTACATTGATCTACTTCTACCTAACAGTACTGGACTTCACGCTCGAGATGTACACCTTCCAGAGCTGTGACCCGGACACATGCTTTCCGCGGAAACCTACAAAGTGTCCACCAGAGGAATGCCAAAAATCCAACAAGGCACAGTAGTATCTGTTGTTCTGTTCCAAAATTTTGCTCCGACAAATGGTAACATACATACATCAAAGGGGCTGGCTGGAAGACCTGGCTCTTTGCCCCGGGCGCTGCATATTTGATTCGCACTCACTGCGAAAGGAGGCTTGCGCCAACCGGGAACTTCGTCCACCACGGTGACAATCCTGATTTCTGGTGTAGATTCTCAAGGTCTGAATCCCTCCTCCTTGTCGATCGTTATTAACCTCACTGTACATGTTTTCCATCGATACGAAGGAAATTATCAGACCTTTACGACATTGACATGACGGCCTGGATCGCCGGTATTGGGCGGTAAGGTAGCTGGATTTGAGAAACGGCGTTCTGTGCTGGCGGACGTCGAACGACAGGAGAGGAGGACCACGGAAGCTGAAAGTATCTATGTTATCGTGGTGACTTCCTTGTACCTGTGTTGACACGCCCTACTGAGTTCTGATGTTCGTCGCTTCCAGAATGGAGAAAGCAAACTCGTTCTTGTCAAACGGAGACCACCTGCCACGAATCTGGTAAAAAGCTAACAGAACCAGGCTCGTCCTGGCACTTTTGCACAAACCCGCTCGTCTCCTACCTATCTTGCCGTCCTCTTTGCTCTAGTAAGTAATAACTAACAAACAATCTATCCTACATAACACTACTATCTCTATTATTATAACTCCGGTATAGGAGAAGACATCTTAAGGAGATCTATTCCTACTTCGACGACCCGTTAATATAGCTTCTTCCAGCCTTTAAAATGTAGGCTTTAGCTCTCTCTAAGTAACGGACTATAAAACGTTTACTCTATAAACCTATCGTTCCGTAAGTGAGATCTGTGTGGATGTATTCGTATTATACTAAAGATTGTAAGGAGCTTTTAAGGGCCTACCTATTAGAGTGTCTTAGATTTGTACGCGCGAGTACTAAGGGTCGTGTAGTTATGTAGCCGGTAGGATAAGTATAGGTACCGCCAGTCTACTAGTATAAAAAGAGAATCGGAGAGAGCAAGCATGTACGAGTAGCTTATGAAATCTTTAGAATAGGCTGTAGGTCTTGTATTGTACAGTGTGTGTGTGTGTGTGTGTGTGTGTGTGTGTGTGTGTGTGTGTGTGTGGTAGCGACGCTTCTCTGCTGCACACGAGAATTGAGGAGGAGTACAGTAGAACTGTAAGAAGATGAAAAGCTGCTTCTTCCTCCCGAGTGCTGCACCTCTCGCAGCTTTCCCAATATAGAAAGCTTCGGGATTGCCGCATTGGTGTACGCTTCCAGCAGTAGCAAAAGCAATAATACTAAGGTAGCTGTGGGTGTCGTGCCTGCAGCAGCCCACCACCTCGACGTCTTGGTATTCATGCCGGGTTCCGATTTGCTTCATCCAGGCCTTCACAAGGTTCTGCGGACCTGCATCGCTCCCCAGGCATCCACTTGCCGGGCGATTGCGATTTTCTAGTGGCGGTGCGGTGCGGTGCGGGAGCAGCTACTAGCAGATGATCTTACAGTTAGTCAGTTGTGGTGTTACCTTTTCATGTGACCGTTCTCGTCGTTTAGCTGCAGCAATGAAGTGTGGAGAGGAGGAGGAGGAGGTGGAGGAGGTGAAGTCGTCCGCGGCATCGGTGGTGTCCTTTCCCGCAGCCCTACGAGGGTGCACACGCCATACACCCTGTAGCGCGTTATCCGATGTCCGATGCTGTTCCGTACAAGCATCTCCTCCATCGGACCAGTGTCCGCACGCGAGATCTTACCCCGGTTCAGTGTGGATGCTATGGCTGATGCATTGCTCAATTGGCGGGCTCGTGCAACGATGCTTCTTGTGGTTGGAAGTGGAACAATAAGATAATATCATTCGAGCTTTCCATTCGGTAGTTACGCCTATGGCACCTCGACTTTTGCGTACTGGAACAGGAACCGGTGGATGGCTGGGCTATCATCTCGGCCCGTGGTTGCGAGCAGGGTACTTCTTCCGGAGCCGGAGGCTTGGAAATGGCGGTATCTGCTGCAGGTTTGTTGGACATGCGGAAACTATGCTGCCAGCGCTGCAGCTTCACGGAGTGAGGAGTTTTCGGATAGTCGAGCTGAACAGTGTGCCTTTGGACCTGGTCGCACTGGAAAGGCGGCTAATGTCGCTACAGCATCTTTCCACAGCGGGCCTTTCATTGTCTTCCCGAGAATTCCATCGAAGACTGGGGCAACAGAGAGTCGGCAAGCATCGAATCGGCGGCAGCAGCCGTCGAGATAATAGTCCGCTGTGGAAAGACACTGTAGCAGTGACTAGACAAAGACGTTCGGCAGAAGTGGACGATGGCGTCCAGTAGTTTGGCGAGCAATCAGTCGAACGCCATTGCAACAGACCGTCGAAGTTGAAGTGTTGTCTGCCCCTTCTCCGAAGATGAGGTGAATGGTTGGTTCATGCCGATGGGCATTTCTTTCGTCGCTAGCCTAGTACAGGGATAAGTGGTGAGATTGATCCGTCAGTGTCTTGCGATACTGCGAGGGTGTGCGTATTTGGAAAGCTCAGTTAAGTGGAGGACCTTGGATGCATCGATGCTGGCCGAGGCGAGGTATCTAGGTATGGCGCTCTGCAGGTCGCACAGTCTTACTACGATTTTGCGTGAGGGGTTGTGGGGTGAGGTGCCACCATATCCGTGTCGGCGAATGGAGTCTCTATCTATGGGTCAGTAAGATGGAGTGTCGTAGCCAATCTTGTGGACAGGTAATCGTACGCATGCATGCTGTGTGGCACTGTACGTCACACAAGCACAGCATCTTTTCGCATTGAAGGGTCATTTGCTTCCCGAGTATCTTAGCGAAAACAGCGGCAACGGCCAGTCAGACAGCATGCGAACCAGCCATGGCGGCTGTAGTGATTCCTCCGTAGCTGTTAAGGAGTCACAGGTGCTCATCCTGCCCACACGCAAGACGTGACGGGAGCACCATCTTGGCCGTGCCGACGGGAGGCCTGATCACAGATTCTGATCCGACTTCCTGCTGATTGCTGACGGCGGCATGCGGATGCCGAAGCTCGCGCCGCCGGAGGTCCTCGACTTCACCTCATCAATACGACCTTTCGCCAAACTGATCCCTGGTACAATCCAGTCTCCGCAACTACACTGCATGCCTTGCCATGCATACTTTCCCACGTTGGTCTTGCATTTCGGACACTCGAGCCGGCCGTCGAGCTTGCCCTGCTCGAGCTCCGCTCTCATCCATGAAAGTGGGTCGAGGAAGTAGTGCGCGCATGTTGGTGACGGGTGCTTCGACTGCATGGTTCCAGAGTCGTCCGTGTCGTGTCGTGGCTCGTGGCTCACGAGGTACTGTGAGGTGGCCAACGTACGTCTGTGATCATTAGGTCTTGCACAGTGCGTTGGCTGCACTGGGGCCTCATACCTGCATTTTCGACACCTCATTTCAAAGTCTGCAGACGCAGAGCCTTGGTCATGCTCATCTTCGAATCTAATCTTGTCTGCTTCAGGTGCTTGGCCGCATGCGCGGCTCAAAGCCACTTCCTGGAGGTAGAGCCATCTTTGGTATGCCGGTACCTGTTCGATGTTGTTGGGCGCGCCCATCTCATGATACAACTCTAATTGCTTCATGAAGCCGTCGTTCGGCTCCGCGAGCGGTCGGCTCTCCCGTATTCTTGCCAGTGCTTCTACTGGGCTTATGCCGTATCGTCGTACCAAATAAGCACAGACGCATGTCGCGGAGCGTGACTTCCCCATGGCACTGCATTGTGAACTCTTGGTCAATGCGGCTGGTCGTGCAAACGAGCGAGATTCCTGCCGAGGCAGCGTGCCCAGAATGGTCACGCGGTGTGGCCTCTTGCCGGTGTACGAACTTGCAGAGAAGAATGCAAACACTGGAGAAGGGAAGCATGCACTTCGAAAGATACTTACCAATGGACAAGAACTCCGCCTCCCTTCTCAAGGCCATCCTGGATGAACTCGCAGGCCTCTTGAAAATGCTCGAGCAAATTCTCGTCGTCGACGTCATCTTTCTCTATGACTTTGTGGGCGAAGCTTTCGAAGAGTGTCTGGTCAAGAGGCAGCCTTAGGACAGACAGAACATGCGTTATTCCAGCAGCCTGCAATGCTTCCTTGCGGCGGAGGGTGAACAAACTAGCAGCCCATCAGAGTCTAGACGTGGCTAGAAAGCGGGAGAGGTGTGCTTCTTCTGCAGCACAGGGATGTTGGGACGAACCCGCCAATGTACAATTCATCGTCGCCCGGAACTCTGTCGAGCAACTGCATCGCAATGTCCGGTGTCTTTCTCGGTACCGAGCGCGATGGCGTTGTGGTCTGGTAGTAGTTTGCTGTCTTCGAGAGAAAGTGTGGTTGACAGTGTGAGGTTTGAAATCTGCATGACTCGGATATCGTCACGTGCGGGGATCTTAGAGTTTGCGACTAACTTTTGGCCCCAATTCAATGCCAACGTCAAATTATTCTGGTCGAGCACATATCAGATAGCGACTCCTGATTGGAATCGTAATCTATCATGTGATCCGACACGCACGTTCGTTCACAAGAAGCTGAATTCCGGCGGTTGTCTTCCTCGACGACCACCACTTCTGGCTGCTTGGCAAGTGTAGACGAATTCGCTTTAGGACCTTCCAGAAGAGCTTAGCGGAGATCCGCTAGCGCACGGCAGGTCGCCCTGAAGCGCCCCGGATTCTGTAGGGCTGAACTTACATCCGCCTTCTCTTTTCTTGGCTGCCGTGCATGCTCCATCCTCCTGCATGCGGGCGTGTGGTCAGCCAAACTGTTGCAGGAGGCGGCGACTGCAATTGAGATCAGATCAAACGCGCTCTTGTTATGCCAACGAATTCGCCCCTGATCAAGCTCCGCGGCGTTGTAGCAGGAGCTGAGATGCCAAATGCAGGGTGCTGCGACGGCGCTCAGGCCCAGCATGAAATTGTCTCGGATGTCATGCAGCTGCACGACGATACGAGGACATGCCTACTTGTCCCGCGAGATACCCGCAAATTGCCCGTCTTGGTGCCTCTTCGCTGGCCAGTTTGACCCCCATCCCCGAGCATGCTCCACACCTGTATAACCGTATGTGCCGTAGTGTAAGCTCACACTGGCATCGCTGAAAGTCACAGTGCAACGGGATCAATGCTGTCTCCAACCAGTAACCATTTGTGACCACGCACATCCGAGGAGCCTCGTTATCCAGCCTGGTTTGTGTGAAGTAAGGCCTATTGTCAGTCACTTGCTGCGTTTGACTCTTCCGGGCAGTATCCAGCTGACTGGCTGACGGCAAGGATAGACACAGCGACATGTGGGCCATCGGAACGCCACGAGCCGTTCTTGTTATCTAGAAGTTTGACCCAGCCGCAAGGTGATGCTCTCAACAAGCGCAGGCGACCAGCTAATAGGCAACGAGGTACGCTTGTCTTACCGCTGTGCGTGCGGCTTATAATCGTTGCGGTGTGCTGTAGGCAAGGAGCTTGTCATCGGCCTGTGTCGCACAAAACGAGTGGTTGCGGGCAGAGAGTGGTGGAGTGGTGTCCGGCGGGCTGCAGAAGCGAGGCGCGATCTGCGAGGCCGAGTGGGATGATGATGAGCTGTCGCACAGCGCAGCGGGCGCAGTGTAGTTTGTAGAGGATCGAGAGGTGCATTCCACGTATGCCCCATCCTTGCCTTCTAGGTTGCCTTGTAGCGGGCCGGCGATGGGGTGGCGGGCGGTAGCACGATCAGCGGGACCCTCTCAGCACATCTCGTCGTTCTGCAGACAGTGCAGAGTGGTGTGAGCCTGGTGCGTCGAGAGCCAGGTCCGGTCCGGTGCAGTGCGGTGCGGTGCGGTGCGGTGCGATGCGGTGCGGTGCGGTGCGTCTCATCGTCTGCTGGCTCTCTGCTTGTGTGCATCTCTCGTGGCTGTGCAGAGGAGCTGTGCAATACCCGCCGGGTGGGAGTTGTAGGGCTGGCTGCTGCGGGAGGCTATCACAGCTACCTTATCACATCAACGCTCGCATGACATGCCCTCAACTCCTACCACCACCACTGTGACCACCACCACCACCACTGTCCGGTCCGGCACAGTCCAGCTCCTGTCCTTACCTCGATAGTGGTGCGCCGGTCCCGTAGCGCTGCGCTCATCACAGCTCGAACGCGCTGCTCCCGTCGTTGCTCTCATGACAGGCGCCCTCTCACACTGCACCCTCCACCCGCAAGCAGCACCCTACCATTGACTGCCTCGTACACGAGCTGCACTGCACACTGCGCTGTGCCGAGACGCCCTGACCGCTGTACGCCGCTCGCCGCCCGCCACTCCGGGGTGCTGTGCTGTGCTGGTGGCAACTGGCGACGGCAATTATTCTGCTGACTGCTCTCCGCCTTCGTCCTTCTAATTCGCACTGCCGCTCTGCCTTACCCGCGGCTCTACCCTGCGCTGCCCCATTCGCCTTACCTTACCTTACCTTACCTTACCTTACCTTGCCTGGACTGGACTGGCCTGTCCCGCGTCGCCCTCTTGTACCACGGAGGCAAGCAGTGGAGAGCACTCGCTGATGACGGCGGAAGCTAGGGTTTAGCAGCAGCAGCAGCGGCGGCGAGCCACCAAGGCCGTACAGCACCGCACCGCACCGCACGCTTGATCATGCCGGCCATGAGCACTCCCTCAATCAGGATATCTCAGCATCAGCGCTTCGCCAGCCCACCCCGCTATCCCTCCTCTGCACACGCACCAGCTGCCCCAATGGCCATACGAGGAGCCCAGGAGCCCGTACCACCTCCACTGCCACCGCCCAGTTACATACCACAGATTGGCGCTGGCCACGATCCGGGCTGGCAGTGGGGCAATGATCCAAATAAGTCCGATTTCGGCAAACTCGCCTCTGTGAAACCGGGTAGCAGCCTCTTGGGAGGGGGCGCTGGGCCCACGAAGAGCGCCAGACAGGAGAAAGAGCATGAGCACCCGCTATACTACAACGCAGACCATGTGCGGAGAGGCAGCTCTGTGTCAACCCTCACAATCACTCGCGATCACGACATGGGTGAAGGCAGCTTAACGTCTAGCGACGAGGACGGCGGTCTCTCAAGACCTCCTTCAAACAACTACAGGTACGTTGCTTTGCATTTCATCTCTGTTTTTGCTGTATGTGTAACCTACCTGTGACGACAAGCCAACACCATCGATTGACAACATATCAATGGAACAACGCTTTTGCCGGATCCTTCGAACTTGGAGTCCTCTATTTGAAGAGCAGCGTCGAATCCAAGCGTCACTCACCTCAAGGTATCGCTCTCGACACCCAGATAGTGCATATGTCAAGTGCATTGCTCGAATGACCTCGACCCTTTTTCTTTCGCATTTCCAACGCTTGAAAGCAGCACGGATCGCTGAAAAGAACCTTGGCGTCTACCTGGCCTCGGCTCTTGACTTGGTGGACCGTTGGTAGCGCCAAGTGGCATAGCCGGGAGCCTCGCCATCCTGTGATGAGTGATTTAAAACATGGCTACCTGATTCTGTGCGATCTTATCGTCTTGGTACAGCAAACAGAACTTCTGGCCTTCTATCGGCGTGGAAACACAAATGCTTTTTTCCTTCATTCCGATTTGACGTGATGGAGCTGATCTCGAACGACAGGCTCCAAGGCGAGAAACAGCTCGAACAGAAGACTCTTGAGGCCTCATCGAATACATACGACAAGCAGCTGCTCAGCAGAATTGGCGGGCCGAATGGAGGTCCTCCCACGCCCAAGCGCACATCGATTTCATACGGCATGCAAGAGACCGCACAGCTTGCACACGCAGAAGCTGAGCGACGCAATTCTCAGCTGCGACCACTTTCGATGCCGGAGCGACGACAACAGAGTTCGCTGGACTCTCCTTCTAGCTCACGGTGGCCCTCCTCGGGCGCCATTTCCCCAGGGTTCAATGCGAAATTCTGGCCGGAGCACGGACCATCTGATCACAGCACGACCACTATTAACACCGCACCGACGAGGCACGGCAGCCTCACCTTCGACGACAGTGTTTCTCAGCGTGGTAGCTATGACCAGTCCATGTTCATGAGCGAGGACTTAAACGAGGACGGACCGATGAGCAATCTCAACATCCACGACCGCAGCCCGGGCTCCTCGGAGGAGTTTCAGCCGGCTGCACGTGCCGGCACCAAGCGCCGAGCATCCTCACCCCCGCGAGAAGGATTACGAGAGGAGCGTTCGTCAGTCAGCAGCGCTCCAGGACACAGTGACCTCTACCACCGCCGTTCCATCCAGCAGCTGCCGAACAGAGGCTCGCCGGTGTCCAGATTCCACCCAAACCACTCTTCGCTCTCGTCAGCCTCCTCATTCGGTCCACGACAGAACTCCTTGAGCTCCTCCCTTGGTATCGCTAGCATTCCCAGCAGTGCAACCAGCTACGGCTCCGGTCGTCTATCGCCAAGCGCCCTCTCGCCAGCGCTTGAGCCAAATAATGCCGAGGCGTTGAACGCAAATTCCCTTCCGATCAATCCGGCGCATCAAAGAACCTTATCCGAAAGTGTTCAAGGCGGCTTACAGAAGCCTCCGGTGGAGGGTGCAGCCCGTAACGGCAGCATTTCTCACTTGCAAGGTATCTACGTTTGCGAATGCTGTCCAAAGAAGCCGAAGAAGTTTGACACGGAAGAAGAGCTCAGGTAAGCATCACCGCGTGGCACTACCCATCCTACCCCCGTTGGATGACCTCACATCAGCCTCCACCGGTCGAGCGTCCTCGGAAACTGTGCTTGAAGCTTGCTGGATGCTTATGGTATACTGACTGACTTCAGATTACACGAATCCGAGAAACAGTACACTTGCGCCTACTGCCCGAACCGGTTCAAGAACAAGAACGAGGCTGAACGACATCAAAATTCCCTGCACCTGCGGCGGCACTCCTGGAGCTGCGCGGCATTGGCTAGCGTGCAAGCGGCGTTCCATGCGTCTTTGACGGGCAACGGCACAGACATATGCGGCTATTGTGGCGAAGAATTCCCCAATCCGCCACAGTGGGACGTTCGTGCCGAGCACTTGAATCACGTACACAAGTTTGGAGAGTGCAATCACGCGAAGAAATTTTTCAGAGCCGACCACTTCCGCCAACATCTCAAACATTCACATGCCGGAACGAGTGGAAAGTGGACGAACATGCTGGAGATTGCGTGTATGAAGGACGAGCCGCTCCCAGAAAAGCGGGTAAGCCCGAGTGCTGCCCAACAAGATCTCCAGGCTGGTGCACCATCCGGAATACCTCCAGAGCACGGTCGGAGGCCGCAGTGGCCAACGCTGAACGAAGGCGCTCAATGAAGGTTGATATTGCCCTAGACGCTCTTCAACAGCTAAGTTCACGGAGGCGCAAAGAGGCTGCCGTTGCTGTAATTAGACGTGCAGTCGCATCACCGCGCTCGTGCTTGACATGTGCGTATTGATGTATTGCTGGTTGCCAGACAGACGAGCCAGCGAGCACGTGACATCCAACTCGGAACTTGCCGCTCTCAGCAGGCATGGACAGGGATGTTTGGGACGACTAGCACACTAGTAATGTTTTACGTGCGATTAGCAAGGGACTCGATCCTGAATAGCACATCTGCAGCATGGACACAGCGTGGGGCTCGTGTTCAGCATTACTCATCGCAGATGGAGTCTCGCCTGTATCTCCACAGCAGGTGGAGTCCAGGCTGACCATCGCTACGACTTAATGACAGCATCTGCTTGCGGGACACTTCGTAAAAAAGCATCTTGCTTCGATACGCTGCATCTTGACGGCGTTGTGCGCGCCCTCATGCACACAGTTGGCGCAGCATGTTTTGGAACTAGAACTACTAGGAGCATGTAAGGTGACCTTACACACCAAAGATTCCAGATCTTATATAAGGCGCTGGAGAGAGTTCTACAATTTCGCGAATGTTGTGGACAGGTGGAAAATCAATCACACAGCAGCAGCGCTTTTTCCAGTATTTTACTGCATCTTTAGCTACCTACCTAGTGACTGGAGTTCTTCAGCAGTCAACAGTCGAGCGTAGCTAATGTAGCCTACTCTCGAGCAAGCGCAGCTCATGCAGCAGCTCTGCGAGTTCCATCTTTCTTTCCCTCAGGGCTCTTTCTCGCCTTGCCACGCACAGCGGAGGCATCTCTTCCAAGCCCATGGTATGGATTGTAATCCTGATCGGAGGATCACGTGCGTTTTGTATGAGCGAGATTCGTGAAAAGGGGGACGGGATACAGGTCCATCTTCCGACCCGACGGGGGCCCATGGACCTCGAGCCCAACTTCCGAGGAAGGCATCACGAAGATGAACACTGACAACTCCGCAGGCCCCATGGACCTTGAGCCCGACACCGAAGGAGGCATGACGAAGATGAACATTGACAACGCCGCAGGAGTATCGTCTCGTCGAATATGTGAAAGTACTACAAATAGTTCCCAATGCAGAGAGCGTGGATGTGTTCGTCTTGTTTAGTCTCGTGCCTCTGCGTGCTTCTGTTCTCCGCCTGCCTTTGTAATTCCAGACACAAACTGTCGCTGATCCGCTGAGGACGACCAACATGCCGCTGATCAGGTGCTTGGATTGTTCTCATACAATCTTCTCACCGGTCCAGTGCAAACTGAATGTGACCCGAATGACAATACCGCGTGTTGAGGTGGTGGGCTAAGGACAAACCAACTGTCGCTGATCCGCCGAGGACGACCAATATGCCGCTGATCAGGTGCTTGGATTGTTCTCATACAATCTTCTTGCCGGTCCGACGCAAGCTGAATGTGACTCGAATGACAACACCGCGTGTTGAGATGGTTTTAGTACAGATGTGGACCTTTTCGTAGATGCCGATCTGCTTAACGCACTTTCGCCCGCCTGTGGTGTATCATGAGTTTCGGCAACAGCTCCACACATGAGTTGGACGGTGTCCTCGCGGAGCAGCTCGTAGAGTGTCGAGAGAAGGTTGTCTTTGCCTTTGAAAGCACCTTCATCGAGATTTTCCCTCCACAAAGCCATGGTCGGAAGAGGACAAGCTGTTCTGCTAGTGCACCTTCGGCGCGGCGCGTCCATGTCACTCTGAGGCTGACGTTGCTATTGCTTGAGAATCGGAGAAAGGAGAGCTATTAATGTCGGTATCGAGCAATTCGGCGGAAGTCAGAATCTCTAGGCGTGCAAGCCAATGGCTGCCTTCTGCTAGTGGAATTTAGCTGGGGCGCGTCCATGTCACTTTGAGGTTGACGTGGCCATCGCTTGAGAATCGGAGAAGGGAGAGCTATTAATGTCGGTATCGAGCATTTCGACAGAAGGAATCTCTAGGCATGTAAGCCAATGGCTGCCTTCGGCTGGTGGAACTTTGGCTGGGACGCGTCCATGTTACATTGAGGCTGGCGTGACTATTGCTTAAGGATGTGGACGTTCTCATCGGTCTCTTGTTTGTTGTTTCCGAACAGCGAAGTTATACCTCTTTCAGGCTGCTCGAGGACGTACTTCAGTGCAGCGATCTCGCGCTTGATATCTCTCTTGATCTAGCATTCCGCTGTGGAAAGACGCTGTACGCAGATGTGCAAAAGCCGAGCACACGCACTCCTCGTACCAAGTCGCCAGATCCCGCCACCCTCTTATCCTCCTCGTCTCTCGAGGAGCACCTGCAAGCCTGCCTTGACCGCATTCGGTCCGCACATGAAGGACTGATGTCCCAGAACGTAGTGCTCGTACTTCTTGATCTCCGGATCGCGCATCCATTTCACCAGTCGTCGACGGCCTGACTCGAACACCGGAGAATCCCACATATCTCGATAAGCGGGTACAAAGTCCAGCTTCTCGATCTCCATGTGGTCCCGCATGAATTCCAACAGATCGAACCAGTTGCCTTCCCGTGCGCAGAGACAATGAATACTCAGGTGCGCGATAGGACCCTTGCACGTGTCGAAGAAATGTTGAAGCAGCTGGAGGTCGAGTGTGCTTCCATGAAAGCCAATTCGTGAGATTCGAGAAAGCGGCGTCTCGATGAGGGCGTGGAGGAGCGTGTCAATGTGAGCGTCGAAGTATTTGTGAGAGATCGAGTTGATGTGCACGGCGGTAGCGGTCTGGATCTTAGGCAGAAGCTGCTGCAAGAGTCGAAGCATCTGCTGCACCTCCTGATCTCGCAGAGGCTTCCAATGGCGGTAACAGACGAAGAAATGGACGGTGTGAACCCGAGAGGCAATGTCCTTGTATTCCAACAGCGACAGCAGCACCTCGAGGGCATGAGCTTGAAGTCGGACCCGGAGGACCTTGCAGTACCGCTCGCCGAAGTCGTACATGGTGCCCGCCAGAAGAGTCTTGTTTGCTCGGCGTAAGGCCATGAACTCCTTGCGCGCCAGGAGAGGGGAGATGCGGCCGATGAGCTCCCACGGCAGGGTGTCGATGTTTGCTGTAGTCGCCATGTTCGCGGGTTGGATCGTTGGACGTGCTATTGGTGTGTGTTGTTGGTAGTCTGAGGTCAAGTAGGCGGAAAGTCGAATATGGTGGAATCGGGCGAATTTCTGAAGTGAAGTGAAGTGAGGTGAGTAAAAGAGCAGCCGCTGCGGAAGGAAATATTCCTCACTTCCTGGACTTGTCTTGGGCCAAAGTCTACAACGCCTCTGTTGTGCAGAACATCGCACTCAGGCAAAACGCTCCGCCTCAAGCAGAAGCTTCTAGCATTTCAAGCACTCTACTCGCGCCGACTCGGACAGCATCCTCCCCATAGAAGCGAATCACGTCCGGTTGCAAGACATAATGCTCGATTTTCCGCGTTTTCGAATTCCGCAGCGGACAATTCCTGCGGCCAGGTACAAGCTCTTCGGGCAGAATGCTATCAAGGAGGCAGCTCAGGTGAGCTTCTTTCAGTCTTGAGGTGTCACGCAAACAACGGAGTACGTCCCTCCAGAAAGACGTCATCCCCGAAGCGAACAGAATATCAAGGTATTGGAGAGTGTCCTTGTAGCTCTCGAGACAGCGCAAGATGCTGGGAATTGCTGATTCTTCTCCTCCTTCCAGATTGAGAGCCTTCAACATGGGCAATCTCGCCTCGGCCACTTTCCCACGAATAACGTTGGCCAGCACCGTATCAGCTTCTTCGCAGCGAGAGTGAGCCGCATTAATCACGACATGTGATACTTTCGTAACCCGTTGGAAAATTCTCCCGAATAAGATGCCAAGCATCAGAATGCGAATTGGATCATTACCGTCTTTCAAGCATCTGTAGCGAACCGTTCGAACCCGCAGTGCGAACTCGTCTTTCTCTGAGAGTTTCAGTAGTGTCTGGAGGTAAGCATCGCTCGTCTTTAAATCTAGAGTGGTGAGATATCTCTTCCCAAAGAGCTAGTTAGTCTGTGCTTGTGCGGTCTTGCTGATCTGCCGGAATGCCAGCAAGGTCTTCTCGTCCATGTGGGCAGCGATTTTCTGAACAAGCTCGACGGATAAGAGTGGCAAAACCATCATGGACTACGCCGGTGCAGCGTTGTAGACAGGCTGATTCAGGTACAGCCGGGTATTTTCCTTGTCTTTATTCAGAGCTGTCCACTGTCCACTGATCTGCGATCTTGCAGTTCGTGGTACTGTCGAGATCGGAGCGCGATACAGCGTGGATGTTGTTGATGGCCAGTCGAAGTTATCGTGATAAGATCCGAGGAGAGATTGTTCAACGTGATGATGGCTTCAGTCGCAAAATCGGAGCCTGGTCGATCCTTCCAGTGAGTGAAAGGTCCAGGGCAGGAGCAGTGCAAGTCGGCGTGAAAGGCAGGAACGAGAAGCAGAAGGAGACGGACAAGACGTATTTAAATCTCGGATCTTGCGCCGTGAGGACACAGAAAGTGATCGAAATAGACATCAAAGAAAAGGAGCAATGAACTTGGTGAGGACACAGAGAAACATTCGACGAATGAGAACATGCTGCTTTGTCAATGGACCATCCGGACGTATTCTGATCCCCTGTATCGTTCGTCCCATGGAAAGAAAACCTTTATTCGGTGTTTGGCTATGAGCTCACGATGGTGGCCTCTCTATCCGCGTTCTTAAGAGCCAGGAATATCTCGAGACTCATTCTCCAATTTCAGGCATCCATAGAGTCCCATTTGCGCTCCAGCAGAATCATGTTCATATCCATCTTGGGAACGCCTCTCTGCCGCGCTCGCAAATCGAGAAAGTGCACGGGGAATCGGTAATGAAATACCATGCCGCCTTCTTGTGTTGTCCAGTAGCTCCACCTCAGCTACCCCGGCAGATGCTCTCCGTGCACGGCATTGGATATCACTCTGCAGATGCGACTCCATGAAGCTCGAGCAGCTTCTGCATACCGGCCTTGACGGCCACCTCGCCTATCATGTCCGCAGCCTCAGGGCGCAAGACATAATGATCGTACGTGAGCCTCGACGTGTTAGGGTTTCTCACCGCGCGTACAGTGCGAACACTCGATAGGACCAGATATGGGTAAATTGACCAAGATCGCGTTGGATCCTGATGTGGATATAGGCGATAGATGCTGAATCGCCGGAGCGTCAGGTCGGTTTGTAAAGTGCAGAAGAGATCAGTCCAGACGCAAGCCCCGGCGTGTTGGCGACAATGCCCCATACGGAAGTCCTGGATTCCCTTGTGTGCACTGCAGAATGCTTGGAGCTCACGCACACAGTACATTCCGCCATCGAGGTCGACTTCAGCCAGCTTAGGCAGAGGCTTGACTACCAGGGCCCGAAATAGCTTTGAAGAAGCAGCAGCAGCGGCAGCAGCATCAGAGACACGCCATCCAAAGACACTCAGTCTCATCACATTGCCCAGCTTGCTGATCAGCTTCAACAGCAGGTCGTCAATATTTTCATCCATTCGAGCCTCTCGAGGTTGGCGAGCACTCCAAATTCCGGAAGCGTTAAAACAGAAAGTAATGCTCTTGACTCGGAAACCTTGGTCTTCGCCTTTGGATGTCCGCAATCTCCCAAGTACTGTACGCAGTCCATCTATGTCTAGAGGGATATGAAGGTGCTCGAATTTTCGGTCGGCGAAAGTAGCGAAAGTCTTCTTCTCGACCGCCCTGCTGACCAGGCGCAAGCTGTAAAGTGATGAATTGTCCATGTATCTGGTGAAACCTGGGTAGAGTTCTGCGGGAATAGACTCCATAGTGGCCATTCCGGACGTCAGCCGACAGGCTCTGTCGGGCAGAAGTCTCTCGGGCCTCTCGAGCAATATGACAGTCGAGCGCCGTGGAGTTGTTCTCCGAGCTTGATGGAGAGGTCGGCGCGAATTCTTGTGGCCGGAGGTATTCCGGGTGTTCGGTACTCGGTAATAAGGCTGTAGCGATCAAGAGGTCTTTCGGCGTCCCTTCGAGACGACTGTCGCCGGAATGGAAGTGTGTGTTTCGCGCAATTGCGGCTGTGGTGGAGGCAATGAGGATTTTGTGAGGCTAAGTGTTTATGTCCAGCGTGAGCAAAACGGCAAAGCTCTCACTTTTGTAATGCACGTGATGGCAGGCACCAATAAAACACACATCACATGTGGAACATTTGGCAAACACGTGAAATTCTGCATCAACAGGGCAGACTTGGCGCAGCATCGGCTACATGCTTTGCGGCTGTTTCGCTTAGCTATGTTCTTCGAGTAGCTCCATTCGGAGATATTGTCGTGCCATACCGATCAGTCCCAAAAGGTGGCCATCATGAGTCCCGAAGCGCGTCCAGGGCATTACGACACTGATGTAGTGTGCCAGCCGCCCATGAGATAGATGTACAGGATTCCTCACGACAAATCTCCAGATGGTGCACTTGGGAACGAAGTCGGGTTCCGCAATCGTTCGCGATTCCGTTTCGCCTGCTCCTGATCACGCTTCTTCTGCAAGCGCATTTGAAAGAAGTGCTTCTGGAGCTCAAAGATCCGCGGCCCTTCAATCTTCGTCTTCTCAGGTTCCTTCTTCTTCTCCAACTCCTTGAGCTTCTCCTCCTTCTCCTTCTTATCCTTGGCATCATCGTTCTCTTCCTCCTTCTTGTCCTCTTTTGGCTTCTCCCCGTCTTTCTCATACTCCTTCTGACGCCTTCGATCGAGCTTCTTGCGCATCTTCTCCTCGAACTCTTTCTTCACTGCCTCGATTTCCTTCTCGATTTCCTCATCGCGCTGCTTCTTTGCGAGATCTTCCGCATCTTTGGCTATGGCGAATTTGGCATCGGTCAGGTGCCCTGGACAAACGTAGAAGTAATCGTCTCCTTCCGGGGTGGTCAACACACAGGTGCTGGGCTTGTAGCAGATCCAGCATGCTTTTGCGTTGGATCCAGCCACCGCACGTCGCCAGTACAGGTTCTTAGTCGCCATTCGGACCAACAGCCGTCATAGATGCGGCCTCGTCAATGCGCCTCTGAGGCAGCGTTAGTGTAGTCAAGACGGAAGATGGAGTAACATAGCCCTGTGCGATTTCCAAGCTTGTCCCAAATTAGTTAGCCTGCTCGAGCCGAACCGTCGTCGATCGCTGTGGATACGCAACTTTTTTTGTGACTGCTATCGATTGAAACCTCAAGTTTACCTGTAAAACTCAGAGTTTTGTGAACTAAATTTTGATACCTCCTGCTTGCTATCTTGCAATCATGGCCACTGACCACGAAGCACCAGCCGCTGGCAAGCTCTGGGGCGGCCGCTTCACGGGCGGGACGGATCCTATCATGGTGCAGTACAACGAATCAATCTACTTCGACAGAGCCTTCTACTCTCAGGATATCCGTGGCAGCATAGCGTACGCTCGTGCGAACACCACAACCGGACTTCTCACTCAACACGAGTTCTCAGAGATCGAGCGAGGTTTCAAGCAAGTCCTCCAGGAATGGCAAGAGGGCAACTTCGAAATCCATCCTGGTGTCGACGAGGACATTCACACGGCCAATGAGCGACGACTAGGCGAGATCATTGGGAAAGATATTGCCGGCAAGCTCCATACTGGACGCAGTAGGAACGACCAAGTCGCTACTGATATGAGACTCTGGCTTCGAGACCAACTGGAGACTCTTGAGGGCTATCTCGTTGCATTCCTGAAGGTCATTGCCGCCCGTGCTGAGAAGGAGATTGAACATGTCATGCCTGGCTACACTCACTTGCAACGAGCGCAGCCAATTCGCTGGAGCCACTGGATGCTGCTCTACGGCTCTCTCTTCGCTTCTGATCTACAAAGGCTGCGAGAAGTGAGAGCACGCATCAACAGGTCACCGCTAGGTTGTGGTGCTCTTGCTGGAAACCCCTTCAATGTTGACCGTGAAGCCATCGCGAAGGAGCTTGGGTTCGACGGCATCATCATGAACTCCATGGCTGGTGTGGGCGACCGCGACTTTGTTGTAGAGACCATGCAATGGGGAACGATGCTCATGACACATCTGTCTCGCTGGGCAGAAGATTTGATCATCTACTCGACTGGCGAATTCGCTTTCGTCAAGCTGGCTGACACGTACTCCACTGGCTCTTCACTCATGCCGCAGAAGAAGAACCCAGACTCTCTTGAGCTTATCCGTGGGAAGTCGGGACGTGCATTTGGCCACATGACAGGCCTCATGATGAGCATCAAGGGCATCCCATCCACGTATAACAAAGATCTCCAGGAGTCCGTCGAGCCAATGCTGGACCATATCAAGACCGTTGGCGACAGTGTCCAGATTGCAACTGGTGTTTTGTCAACTCTGAACATTTACCCAGAGAACATGCTCAAGTCGCTCTCGCCAGATATGCTGGCAACTGACCTGGCGGATTACCTAGTACGTAAGGGCGTGCCATTCCGAGAGACGCATCACATCTCGGGTCGTGTAGTACAGCTGGCAGAGAACGAGGGCAAGCCCATGGATACTCTGTCCTTTGAGCAGCTCCAGAGCGTCGACCAGCGATTTGAGAAGGATGTTCTGAGCGTGTTTGACTACCAAAAGAGTGTGGAGATGCGCTCTGCCAAGGGAGGTACTAGCCGCAGTGCTGTCATGGAGCAGATTGAGGCTATCAAAAAGACTCTAGCTGGCCAGCAATGAACGGCTGATTGGCGAGAAAAGGTGTCCGGCGAAATGCAGTATAGACCCAGTCGGGACCATGTACTCCTATGCAGATTGATATAGAGGCGCGACTTTTGCTCGCGCGCATCCTTCGGCTCTTCGTCATGTTGGTAGGACGTGAGTGGTCAGTTTGGTACAACGCTAGCATCCAGGACCTGAACCTCACGTCTTGGGGTCATTCTCCTCCAAACACTATCAGTTCTTACTGATCCAGCTTTCGAACATCTGCTCAAGACTCCCAACGCGTAGTGCGAAGGCATCCGAGGCGAGGATGAAGTCTTCGCCGCCGCCACATCGCTTCCGCCTGGCCGCCTTGCCCTTTCGCATCTCGCCGGCTCCAAGTGGCAAAAGCTCTGCTGCACGACATGAACTGCACATCGCCGTGGCCTAGCCCGAGAGTTTCTCCATGCCCTTCCCAATACGGATCCACCTTTTTTGTGCTCTCGGGGGCCAGGATACATTCTGCAAGGGCCCCTTGTAGCAAAGTACGAGGATGGACGCCCGACGAGATCGACTGTTGCGCTTCCCGCAATCTCTCGCGTTGCTAATTTCCACTGCCAACCGTTTGATGATGAAAATCTCGGTCCACTCCAGGCGCCTCCAAAGTTTCTTGGTGAGACGCGTGAAGATTCATGATTGCAACAAGACCGAAAAGCAAACGCTGCTGTTCTCACGATGAGGGGTTGCTTGGTGTGTTCGATGCACTCCCCCTTGTCCCTGTCCGTGCCAACCACTGCGATGTTCCGACTCTGCCCGAAACACATCTCATCCAATCAACACGTCCAGATCCCAGTCATCTTGTATTGAATGAGCTACAGCTTTCCCCAGAGAAGACTAACTAGTTCCGAGCTCAGAAGTCTATTCCTGATAGTAAACACGGGGTCAATGCTTTCTGACCTTATTATTGCTTGATACCGACCTTCTTTCCCCCTTCTCTCCTGCTTCTGCTGTACACATCGCATTTTCGTCGTCACTCGCTCAGAAAGAATTGAATTTCATTGCACATTACATTCTCCTTGTTAACAATCAACACACGACAAGAGATACCCCCAACCCTTCCCCATCGAACGAAGCTCACGATCTTACCTTCAAACATTTCCATATCATCAACTCCTATACCATCCCAAAAAATGCACGCCTCTGCCGTCCTCCTCGTCGCCGCAGCCGGCCTCGCCGCCGCACAATCGAGCTCTACCACCGCTGCTAGTACCACTGCCAGCTCAACGTCCACCTCCGGCTGCGGCACCCAAATCGACACGTGAGAATCACCCCGAACCCGAAAAAAAAATAAAAAGAAAAGATGCGACAAAGGGAGAGGGAACAAAAACCAACTGACATGGGATCGTTTGCTTTCTTCTCGCAGGATCATCGCCAGCTGTCTGGGAACCACCAAAGCCCAACTCTCCGCCTGCGCCACAAACGACTGGGATTGCATGTGCACGCAGACCACCAACGTCCTCACCTGCTACAACAACTGCCCGTCCTCGCCGGATCGCAACGGCGTCCTGCAGCAGCAGACTTCGTATTGTAATGCTGCGAAGGCGTATGTCTTTTCTTTCTCTTTCCCCCTTCCTCCTCCTCCAAATCCCCCCATCCCCATCTCCATCTCCATCTCCATCTTCCACCCATTGTTACTTCTTGGATTTGTGGTTTTTTTTAACTTTTTGTTCGGGTGATGCAGTTATAGCTCGTCCTCTTCCTCTGCCACCCACACCGGTACCGCCACCGGCACGGCGACCGCGACCGCGGGTTCCGCGACGGCTTCCTCTTCCGCGACGGGTAGCGTGGCTTCCTCTTCGGGAACCGGGACCGGCACTGCCACGGCTTCGGGTGCTTCTGCCACCAGCTCCGGCAGTGGCGCCGAGAAGATGGCATATCCGGGTGCTTTCGCTGCTCTCTTCGGGCTCGTCGCTCTCCTCTAGACCCGAATCTCGCGTACTCTTTTTGGATATCTTGGACAACGGATGGAAAATTTGTAGCGTGGAGAATGGGAGATCTGGGGGAAAATGGCACCGTTTGGTGGGGGAAAAGAGATGTAGTTAATGTCTTGCTGACTTGTATTCGTTGCAGATATTTCATGCAGCAAGAAAGAGTGAGAACAACAAAAAGACAATGTTCGATTTCCACTTACTGCTGAGGAATGATCTGTGCATGAGGTACTCAGGTTTCAGCTGATTTTCTACACTAGTGGCATCTCAAGCCCGTGCTTGTGCAACACCTCTACCAATCGGCATTGCACCCCTCTCTACTGGAGAGGGGGAGTGTCCGCAAAGCAAGCCTTCGCGAATCCCTCTGGGTATCGATCGCCCTTGACCTCCGCCGCTTCACACGCCGCGCGAATGTCCTTCTCTTCCTCGCTGCTGAGCTTGATCTTCAGCGAGCCCAGATTCTCCTCCAAGCGTTGCAAGTTGGTCGTGCCGGGGATGGGGATGATGTCCTCTCCTTGAGCCATCAACCAGGCGAGGGTGAGTTGAGACGGCGTGACGTCCTTCTTCTTCGCAATGGCGTTGATCTTGTCGACGAGTTCGAGGTTCTTGGGGAAGTTCTGCGAGTAGAGACGGAATTAGTGCGTTTGCATCAACGGAGCCAAGGGACAGATGATGATGTACCTCTTCAGAGAAGCGTGGAGCGAAGCTGCGGAAATCGCCCTTCTCGAAGTCCTTGGGGCTGCGGATCTGACCACCGAGCATGCCACGGCCGATGGGGGAGTAAGCGACGACAGCGACGCCGAGCTCGCGGCAAGTCTTGAGAAGGCCGATTTCTGGGCGTTCGATATCGAGAGTGAAAGGACTTCGGCCGTCAGTAGAGAAAGGACAAGAAAGCAGCAATCACTTTCGACTCACGAATATTCAATCTGAACAGCATCAATGTGCTCGACCTTGCACGCACGACGAAGAGACTCGCTGGAGCATTCGGACAGACCAAGATACTTGATCTTACCCTCGTGCTTGAGCTTCTTCATCTCCTCAACGGTCTTCTCCACCGGCGTCTTGCCATCGAGACGATGAGCGTAGTCTGGTGTCGCAGCCTGTCAGCAAGCCCCCGGCAACTCGCACAGGGAATAGTCACGAAACATACAGAGATCAATATGATCCACACCGAGTCTCGACAAAGACTTCTCGCAAGCCTTACGACAATACTCCGGCGTGGAATCCACCCATCGATTCCCATCCGCATCCGAGCAATTCGCAAACTTGGTCGCGAGGAAAATCTGCTCTCGCTTGCCGGGGTTTTGCTTGAACCATTTGCCTACGCACAACAGACACACATACATATCAGCCATCAATCCTGCTAATTCTCGCATTCCCTCTGTAGGCTCTCATCTCACCTAGCAAATCCTCGCTGTCCTGATACATGTCCGCCGAATCCCAGTGCAACTCTCCCAGCTCGAAACACTTATCGAGCACCGCAAACCGCTCGTTGTCAGGCTTCGGGGTGCCGTAGAAAGCGCTCAGTCCCATGGTTCCGTATCCGAGAGCTGTGACGGGAGGACCATTCTTTCCCAGTTTGCGGGTGGGGAGTTTGTTGCCGACGAGGCCGCCGGTGACGGAGCCGAGGACGTCTTGGACTTTATGTGCCATTGTTGATTTCGTTTGGTCGTTGGTGTGATTGTTGTAGATGGAGAAAGCACGTTGTGGGTGCGGAAAATCAAATACATGTAGAGTTCGTTCGTACTTGCTCGATGACGTTACACGTCCCTCCCGGAGTTAAGCATCGGAGATCCACAGGTGGTTGCACAGTGGTTGGAATTCTTTCCCTGCATACACATACATATCGCGATGAGGGGCAAGTCTGATCTCCATTCAACCGTCTTTTCGTGGAGAAGTGCACTATCTCCGGCCCGATATCACACGCTCAGCTGACAGCAGAAGCCTACGGCATCGGATATAGAGGCCTTTAGGGGCGTGGTGGAGAGAGCGACTACATGATATTCACCGCTATTCGCCAAGTGCTACTCTGGTACCAGCCGTGGTTTCCAAGGCAGCAATGTCCAGATCCCAACCATTCGCTACGAGTTGGTCCTGGTGCCTCTCAAGAAGCTGTCGGACTGCGTCCTTGGCACCGCGCAAGGCCTCCAAACGTGCTTCCATACTCAACAGGTTTCCTGATTGCACGAATAGCAGCGCCTGCCACCATGCCTGTAGGATATCCTTTGCGGCTACGCCTTGCTTGAGAACAATGAACATTCTCTCGGGCGAGCCAGTGTCGTGCCAAATGATATATGGAGTGTCCTTGTACAGGTCAAGAATACTCTGCAGCAGGCTGTCATCCTTGATCTTGAGGGACTTGGTGCTTGTGTGTTGGTCTGTGGTAGAAATGGCGCTGAGCAAGCGCTTCATCGACACACCCACTGCACAGTAGCCCAGCACGCGGTCATCTTTGGATCGCAGGACGCCATCTCGCTCGAAAATTCTTTCTTGAAGGGAGATCTCTTGCGGCGTAGGAACGTGCCCCTTCTGAAGATGATGGAAGACGAGAGTCGCACGTTGGCGATTCAAGCTGCGCATGCTGACCGCGCGCACTGCCCTGCGATTCGTCTCCAAATGTATGGAAAGGAGAAGTATGAGTGCAGTCCAGGTTGCGAAGGGCGACGTCACCCGAGACACAACCAGACTTCCCGCCCACATGCCCATGAGAGAAATGACAGTCTCCTGGCTGGAGTCTTTCGCATTGAGCTCTCCCAAATTGCCCCAGCAGGCAAAATGGGCACTCAGACTGGCTTTCGCACTCCCGGCAGCGACTCCACAAAGAGAGCGAAGGACGCTGCTGAAGGTCAGAACGCCCACCTGGATCGGTTTGGGAAAGATGGGAGAGAGACAGTCCAGTATAAAGCCGCTGTCGTTGAGGATATCCGCGAGCAGCCGGTACATCTTGCACTCTGGCTCGAAAGACATTCCGAGTCGGTGAGCGAAGAGGATTGTAGCGAGGCGGCCGACTGATTCTTGGAAGATGGAGAGCAATAGAGCTGCTGTAGCAGTGGCATCGGCATCGCCGACTCCCACGCTTTTGAGGACTGCTCGGGAAGACAAGAGGGCAGCTATACTGCTTGAAAAGGCTTGAAGGGAATCCTGCGGTTGTTAGCTAGGCTCAGAAAGCATACCGGTGCATAACGTCAGCACTTACATAGATCTGATACTCCATGTAATCACTCGTGACGCTGTGAGGATATCCCACCGGGAGGAAGACGTCGAGCCCTTGCTGCCATAACGACTTGGCATCTGATGGAGGCTATGGTGTTGGTCAGTCGCACCATCTATCATGCAGCTTGTCAAGCATAGTGACGACTTACGATCACGTCTATCCTGCTCCCTCCGGAAGAGCCCGAGCTGGTCTGGACGTAAGTCGCGGCGACATTCTCCGCCTCATCGAACTCGGTGATGCGCAGCGCTGACGAGGCCATTGTTGTCCGGTCGCATTGCAGCAAGAGTGCTTCTCAAGCCAGATGTCATCAACACGAGACTTTTCCCTCGCGTTCGTTACAGGGAGTCGCGGTGCGAGCTTGTTTCCACAACCCCGTCACACGTGACAGCGTGAACGGGATCGAGGAACAAGGTTCGGGATGGATGGACCGAGATGGTCCCGAGATCTCAATCGTCAGAGAGTTGTCACACCGGCACACCTCACTTCATGTTGCCCACTTCTTCCCTTCCACCGCACACTTCATCTCAATCCATAGAGTCGATCGACTTCTCCTCCTCAGCTGGCGACGGCTTACTTGAGCAAGAATCATCCAAACATGCCCATCCTCCCGCACCTCATCCCGGGCATCCTCCCGCCCTCACGCGAGAATTGGGAACTCATCGCGTACGCATGGCAATTCTTCCCAATCGTACGCATAACAAGCCATCAATGAACCCATCGTACACTGACCGAAACAACCAGTTTACCGCAGTCCAATGGCTCACAGACTTCTACCCGCAAGGCAAAACCTCCATCGAAAGCGCCTACAACCTCCCCGGGAAATACGCCTGGCTCATAATGGAATGCCCCGGTTTCCTCGTCGTCCTATACTGCATGTTCACCATCGTCCCGCAGGAAGACGGCCCTCTACCCTGGGCGAACTGGACCATGGCGGGCATCTATACCATCCATTACATCTACCGTGCCATCCTCTCCCCGCTGCTCCTGAACCCTTCCATGTCGCCGATCCACCCCGTCGTCTTCTTCTCCGCCTTCGCATGGCAAGTCATCAACGGCCTGAGCCTGGGAGGCTGGCTAGGCGGCTACGGTCCCACCACCGTCTGGGACTGGGCCGGGCGATTATACAGCATAGAAATCGGCATGGTCCTCTGGGGCTGGTCCTTCCTGCTCAATATCTTCCACGACGACGATCTCCGCGAGATCCGCCGCAGCGCTTCCCGTCGCCAGAAAGCGCAAGCCGAAAAGGACGGCCTGCCCATCGAAGGCGTCGAGAAAATTTATATGATCCCGAAGAATGGCTTGTTTCATTATATTCTCTTCCCGCATTACTTGACGGAGTGGTGCGAGTGGGCGGCTTTCTGGTTGATCGGGGGAAAGGATTGCATACCGGCGAGGAGTTTCTTGTTGAATGAGATTTCGACCATGTTGCCTCGAGCGTTGGCGGGGAAGAAGTGGTATATTGAGAAATTCGGAAAGGAAAAAGTCGGGAACAGGAAGGCGATTATTCCGGGGTTGTTGTGACCGGAGTACTACTGTCTAGTCTGATGTAATAACGAAGAGTATGGGCAAGAAGTCAGTATGGGTATTCAATAATGAAAACTTTTTTCCAAATCACACAAATCTTTTGATTTGCCGAAATCGTCCTGGACCCTTCCTTTCCATCCCAATCCATCTGTTCACTGTCCACCACTCCTCCAAAACGTCCCCAAACCTCGATTCCAAATCCACCTCCTTCGGAACCCTCATCCTCGGCCAACTGTTCCAATAGCCTCGACAACGCATCACTCTCACTCCCCGCCGGATTCTCAAACACCTGATGATGATGATGATTCAAACCAGAGAATCCCTCGGACTCGACCCTGCGTCAATTGGAAAGACCATCAAGTTATCATCGTTATGGTCCGAAAAACAGAGGATGTTTCCTGTTCCCTCTTCGCGAACTACGCGTCACTTGGAAGTGAGAGATCGTTGCGCGGCCGTGGCCGAGGCTATGAGGAGGCAAACAAGCCATTCTGTTCGCCGACTGAGTGACTGACTGATTGATTGATTGATTGTAAGGTAAAGACCGTCTTATGGTGATAACAAGCTCAGGTAACGTGTGTTTGAGGATGCGACGTACCGGGTGTGCTCGTGACAGTCCAAAACACACAGACATTGCTACCTTTGGAACTAGCAACAGGCTGCTCCTCCTCCTCCTCCTCCTCCTCCTCCTCCACCTCCATAGGGGACATCAAGACAGCAAAAATAGCAACAGCAACAGCAACAACCAACAACCCCCAGACAGGAAGATGTTATCAGATGCGAGTGTCTCAGTGTAAAGAAGAATGCGACCTAGTTGGCGTTGAGACGGGAAACCATCATCGCACCTGCCTTCCTTCCTTCCTTCCCTTGCTATCGGAACTTCTTCTTCTTCTTCTTCTTCATTATCATCATAGTAGTGTCCCGCGGATACCTTTCCATCGACTCACTCTAACTGAGGTGGTCCGGAGAATCATACTTTCACGCTGCTGGTCTTGATGAATTGGCAAGCTGCGCAGGTTGATGAAAGGGCATGTGTGTGTGTGTGTGTGTGTGTGTGTAGAATGACTTCCCAAGTAAGAAAAAAAGGACATAAACATTTGATACATTTCCCAACCCCGAGCGCCGACGACATCTACAGTCAGTGTAGGTAGGTATGTATGTATCTAGAGAAAAAGCCACGATCAAAAAAAGCGTAGCATGAAAACAACAGCACGAAAAGAGAAAAAAGAAATAATTAAAGCACAAGTCTTCATAAAGAATAACAATAATAGATAATGATAATAATAATAATAACATCTCATTCCATACGATAAACACGCTTTCCTTCCTTCCTTCCATCCATTCATACATAAAAATAAGATAAGGACAAGGTATGTCCCTGCCCTGCCTGCCTGCCTGACTGTGAGACTGGCAAGGACTGGTGATCATGTATTTCTCCCAGCCCCAGGGCTCCCAGGTCCAAAACCTCTCAAAAGGCCATGGTTCACATCATGAAAGCAAAAATAATGAGGTGCTGCTAGCGATGAATTCATACAAACAAGATCAAAAAAGAATTTGCATTTTTTCCTCTCACTCTCCTGACACATTTGTCCACCAGATCCAACGAAAAACAACAGTTTGCACACTACACACACACACAAGAGAAGTAACCACATAGTCAAAAAAGGACAACACTATGAGTTAGACAAACGCAACTCAAAAAGGGGATATGTGCATCTTTCTTTTCTGCTCTTGCAACATCTCTAGGTTCGGCAGCACTTGCTGGTGTGCATTGCTTGCGTCGTCGTCAAAGTCGTGAGGGTCTAAAAAGCTGCAACTTTCTTCATCGTTCTCGAGACGGAGACTTGTCTCAGGCGGAGTCAGAGGAACTTCCCACTACCTTTTCAAAGATCTAGTAGGTGGGTGCCTCGGATCCGTAGCCTGAAGCTGCGGGAGCCGACGAAGTCGAGACGGGTGCTGCTGATGTAGAGCTGCTGGAAGAGGCACCGTAGCCGGCCGGCGTGCTTGGGATGGGAGTCACGTAAACGGTGCTAGGGCCGGCCGAGGAGGTGGAGCTCGATGATGACGCGTAGCTGTAAGCCGGGTAGGTGGCTGGGCCGCTTGGGGCAGCGCTGGTGCTGGTGCTGGTGCTGCTGCTGCTGCTGCTAGTCGAAACTGGCGCCGCTGGGGTGGAGCTTGACGAGCTTGGAGCAGAGGAGGCTGGAGCAGCTGGGCTGGTCGAGGAAGAGGTCGAGACTGGAGCAGCTGGGGAGCTGGAGGAGCTGCTTGGTGCCGAGTAGGCTGGAGCGACGGGCTGGCTGCTGCTGCTGGAGCTGACTGGAGAGACCGGCTTGGTGGTTGGCCTGTACGAGGTAGCGAAGCCGGAGCTGGCACCAGCGACGCCCGAGGAGGATGGGTAGACGCTGGTGGTTGGGTACCAGACAGCGGTGGTAGACTGCTTTGGTCCGACGCTGTTGCCAGTGGAAGAGGCGGCAGCGGGAACCGTAACGTAGACAGTCTCCTTCTCGGTCACAGTGACGGTGGTGGGGACACAGCTGGAGCCAGCAGAGCCAGATGGAGCAGAGCCGGATGGGGAAGAGCCGTAGACTGGAGCGGAAGTAGAAGGCAGGCCAGCGGCAGACACGGGGCTGGAGCTAGATGGGGAAGAGCCGTATACTGGAGCGGACGCGGAAGGCAGGCCAGCGGCAGATACGGGAGTGGAGGCGCTGCCAGATTCAGCTGGGGCGGACGAGCTCTTCACTGGCTGTTGAGTTGTTAGCAATGTAGCGGAAAGGCGATGAAGAATGCACTTACGTAGACAGTGATGTAGTTGGTGGAGACGGAGGTGGATTGGACAGTGGTGTACTTGGTGGTCGTGCTGCCGGTGCCGGAGGAGCTACCGTAGCCAGCTGGGCCGGACGGAGCTGCAGAGGAACTGCCATAGCCAGCTGGGCTGGACGGAGCTGCAGAGGAAGAGCCGTAGCCACCCGCTGCTGGTGCAGAGCTGGTTGGCTTGTTGACGTAGACGGTCTGGGTGATGTAAGCGGTGCTGGTGGACTGGATGGTGGTGGTAATGACAGTGGCGGAAGTACCAGTACCCTGAGTGTAGGTCAGGGTCTTGCTGACGATCGTGGTAGATGGGCTTCCAGATGGCACGCCGGTTTCAACGGGTCCGACCGGCTTGCTGGAGACACCAGTGCTAAGAGGAACGGATGGGTAAGGGGCGGAGGAGCTTGGGATGCCGTAACCTGGAACAGATGGAGCAGAGCTGGTGCTCTCTGGCGAGACCGGAACGGACGCGGAGGCGCTGGAGGACAGGGACGAGGCCTCCTCGACTGGGCAGACGGTGGTGTACACATCAACGGTGGAGGTAACGTAGACCTCGGTGGCGCTCCTTGCAGGGCAGTCGGTGACAGTTGCGGCGCAGCTGGTGATGGTGACGACCTTGGTAGAAGAGATGGTGGCGGTGGTCAATGGCTTGGAGCTGCTTGGGTAGACACCAGTGCTCAATGGGACAGACGGCTTGGAGCTGGATGGGTAGACTCCAGTGCTCAATGGGACGGATGGCTTCGAGCTTGGGCCGGTCGATAGAGGAGCAACCGGGCTGGAAGAGCTGGAGCTGGACGAGCTGGACGAGCTAGACGAGCTAGACGAGCTGGTAGAGACTGCCGCAACTGGCGAAGAGCTTGAAGAGCTGCTGGAAGAAGAGCTGGCAGACGAGGACGAGCTGCTGGAGCTGGTCTCACCACCGTAGCCTGGAGCAGCTGGGACGCTCGAGGTTGTGGAAACTGGAGAAACAGGCGTAGAGCTGCTGCTGGAGGAGCTGCTGGACGTGCTGCTGGAGCTGCTCGAGGTGCTAGAGGAGCTGCTGCTGCTGCTGCTGCTGCTGCTGGAGCTGGAGCTGGAGCTGGAGGTCTCGCCGCCATAGCCTGGGGCAGCTGGAGCGGTGGATGTAGACGAGGAGACTGGCGCCACTGGCGTAGAGCTGGAGACAGAGGTGCTGCTGGTTAGGCCGCCATATCCTGGGGCTGCTGGAGCGGAAGTCGATGTCGAAACCGGGGCAGCTGGTGTGGAGCTGGAGGAAGAGCTGCTAGAAGAGGACTCGCCGCCGTAGCCTGGGGCAACTGGCACAGAAGAAGTCGAAACTGGAGCAGCTGGAGTGCTGCTGGTCTCAGCACCGTAGCCAGGCGCAGCTGGAGCAGAGGAAGTAGAGACGGGCGCAGCCGGGGTGGTGCTGCTGCTGGTGCTGGAGCTCACGCTGCTCTCACCACCGTATCCTGCTGGGCTGTCGCCATATCCTGCTGCAGATTCACTGCCGTACGAGGGAGGCGCACCGGGGAGGGCATTGACGCCCACCGCAACGGCGGCCAAGAAGGCAAGCTTGTTGAACATATTGGGTTGGGATGGATCGTTGGAAAGGGTTCGGCACTCGACGTTTCAAGAGCGTTCTTGTTCGGGAGTAGTGAATGCGAAGCGGAGAGGTCGGATCTCAAATCCGCCTTGGAAGCGAAGCAACACGCCAAAATGAGTGACAAAGGTGCTAAAGAGCGTAACCGTCTGCGAGAGACGAAGAGAGTGCGTTTGCGAACAAGAGGGCTTCGTGGTGAAGAGAAGGAAGGAAGGAAGGTCGATGAAGACAAGACGGGCGAGTGAAACGGGGGGTCAAAAGAGAGTCAGCGTTGTGGGCGCCTCAGTCGTTGCCTGTGCCCCTGTCTGGCTCCATCCTGCAGCAATTTGAGCCATCCGCGCGCTACGATATCCGTTGTGGAGCTTCGGTGATGTGATTGGGCGTATACGGGCGCATCACAGCGACGCTTAGCCTCATGGTTCCGTAGCGTCGGCGCGCCAGCGCAGGAACGAGGAACGCTGCACCAGCGACAGAGCCGCCTCCCGACGTCGATTGCATTGCTTGCGCGTATCGCTCTCATTCGTCGGGCCCACGGCATGCAGCATTTCGTTTGTCGGCGCATACGGGCGTGCTCATCATTGTTGTTGTATTATGGCAATCTGGTGTCAGATATGATATCGTCAAGACACGGCCACTTGTCCACCTGTTGAATGCCATCATCCATCATCTCGCGTAGACGGCCGCCGAGTTGCGTTCGTTGGCCCTCATTTGCACCCCATGTCGTAGATCGAGACGGCCAAGCGGCTGCGCCTCGCCTCGCAGAGCATGGGATGCTGCCATGCTGGACCCACGAGGGTGCCGTGCAACCCGCAAGGCTCGGAAGACGCAGTGCAAGGCGATGAGCATCCTTGCAGCATCCGTGCCAGACATTCATTATTCTGCGCCGTGAGTCGCACACTGTAGCTGTGGTGGAAGGCAGTTGGTGACGGTGAAGACTGCGACTGGCAACAGCGGGGAAAGGAAAGCTCGCGTTGGCCTCCAGCCGCTGTGCGAGTTTCATCTAAAATTATCGGCTTTTCTCCTAGCGTGCGTGTGTGCTGCATCCTCCCGTCCCGGTCCGGGGGAAAGTCGTCGATTTCGCACGGTGGTCGGCTACCAGGGGGCGGTGTTGATGCGGCGGCCAGAACATCTGCTTTGGCCAGGTGGAGAGATTCATGCCGGACGCCTGAGGCAGCGGTTCCTGATAGTTCGGGTGAAGCTCGCCTTCGTCCCTGGCTGGAGCACGAGCGCATCTCACAGGCGAACAGCGAAGCGGTCTTCCGGTCCACAATTGGGGTGGTGCCCAGTGCGAGCTGCAGGTCCCCGTGCAGATCGTAACGTAATAAGGTTGCTCGGGAGAGGGCGAGATGTTGTTTCGCGATGAGATGAGCACGTGAGGGACGGGATGGGTGGTCATCGTCTTTGCCAGGCTGTGAAGCCAGGCCAGGCCAGGATGCGACAACATGTTCCTCGTAAACCCAGCAGTCTGCCGAGAGCCTTTTGACGGCCATCCAATCCAATCCCGTCCTGAACCTTGTCATGCCCTCACACGGCCGCGAGACTCGTGAGGCTGGTTTCATCGCAATCCGTCTGGATTTGAGTCAAGCTTGTGTCCATTGATCATTGATGAATCTCTCACAGGGTGGAGATGATGATAAGCAGCGGGAAGAGTAGAAGATGCGCGGTGCATCGTTGTTCTTCAAGAGAAGAGACTTTTTATTGGAAAGAGGAGGACGGGAAGGTGGGAAGTTGCTCCGTGGCATGAAGCACACATTCCCGTCTCATCATTACTAGAATTCCTCGGCCTACAACACCAGTTCCATCACCATCTGAAGAGCCTGGAGCATTCTTGATTCGGAAACCATCGTGTCTCAGGTCGCGCCACAAGGAGACACCCCTCTGTCGGAGCACCCCCAATCGAGCAGAGGCAATCGCAGTCTTAAGACGCAGGAGAAGGTCAGATCCTTGGACAAACCTACCAAACCTCGGCTGAACCGGGTGTTCTCATCAAGAGGAGGAGCTTGCGCCCTGGGGAACTACGGGAGAAACGATAGCAGTCTGTGGTGTCCAGTGTTACAAGGATCGACTTCACCTCCACTCCCACCCAATCTGCCGTGCCTTGGTTCCATCACCACATAATCTCGCAGCGCATACCAATACCTGCTGGCGCGCGAATCTGACAAGAGTTCCAAGGTGCGAGGTCGACTTTCCGCCCGAATCCGCACATCAAGGCCCCTTTCAACAAGGCCTTCTACGAGGCTGAAGCGCAGCCCCATGTTCAAGATGCTCGAAGTGATATGCTCGTGCTCAGAGCACTTGGACTTGAGTTCTTGTGAAATACCTATGCCCCGCTGCCAGCCCTACGTGGCGCTCCAGTGTAGCATCACAAGGAATCGAATCGAACGAGCTCATCTCTCTAGGTACGTGGATTCAGCCCCAGAGGTACATGGGATAAGCATACACGTTCCTCCAACAGCATCCGTTCTCTTCTTTTCTTTTCCTGTATTGGCATGTCCTCTTCAAGGAAGAGTATCCTTGTGAACGGACTGGGATAGCTTCGTATGGCTGCGCCAACAAGATGGACTCAATCTCTCTTCTTGAAAGCTCCAATATCACACCATGCTGTCCCACAACCCCGCAGGAGCCCAAATCTCCTCCAGCCGTCTATATCGAATCTCTCGGCGTGCACATCGCCAACCTTCTGTCCGCCAGGCTCTGGGACCATCCTGACCGAGAACTTCACGTTGCCCCAGGCATGACAAGCACGAATGGCCTGTCGCCTAGACGAACCCGACATCAAGTCCCGCGAAGCCTTGATCGGCTTGTTCCGACGCATGGCACGGAAATATTCGAGTTGTGAGTTGGATTGTCGAGATATCGAGGCTACGGTCAATGAGAAGAAGGGCGGTGCTGTTGGTGTTCATACCTTGAGCATTAGCGGACAACCCGAGGTATGATTGCTGGCAGATCTCGAGGTGTTGGCTGGCTTGTGGTAGGGAGTTGTTCTGCAGACGACATATAGGAATGGGTGGGAGATGACAGTGTGCGAGGCAGGAGGGATTCAGAGGACTGACTTGAATTCGTGGCGCTGAAATTTGAGGGCATAGGTGGGTCATGTCGAACCGTGCAAAGGCTCTCTGCACAGGTCTCACTGACGACGATAGCCAGAAGGGGCCCTTCTACTTTGTCGCCATCTCGAACTGCCCGTTTCCATTTCGTTCGAGTTCCTAAAGTTGTACATCAGGACGGGTGTAAAGAAAGCGACGATACGAGAGCTTGAGCGATTCTGCACGCCCACGTTTGATACCTCACTGCTGAAGTACCTGAGATGCCATGGTCCATATATCTCCTGCCTCTGGAGGTATTCGTAGCAAACGCAGTCGCGAGGCTGCGTATCCAAGTGCATGACGCGCAAGACGTGGTTGATCGACAACCCTGAAACGCTGCTGGAGGCACTGCCCTTTCTGGTTCTTTGCCCTCAAGAGATGATATCCACTGAGCGTTCTCGAATGTCTGCTGTGTTTGTTTTCTGACATGTTGTACGTTGGACTGTCATTCCTGCCTCTTTGTGTGTGATCCCTGCTGCAGCTTCTCCCCTCGGCGACAGACCCATCTCAATCAATCAGGCCGCACAACTGCAGACACTGCTGATTGCACTCGCTCGCGACTTTCTTCGAGCACCAATGCGGCCTTGCCGGATGGAGAAGCGCGATCATGGCGATGAGTACGATGCTCTTCTATGAGCACTTCCCAGACGAGGTGAGCAACAAGCGATGTTGGGACCCCGCTGCAACCTGAGGGACCAATCGGGAGATCCTCTTGGTCACGTGGAAACCCCCGGGGATTCGCCGAAGAAAACGTTACGGAGCTGTTGTTTCTCCCAGCTAATAGCTCCTCCGCCAGCCCAAAACAACATCTTCCACCAATCCATTTACCTCCACCAGCTCTTGGAGACGTCTGCTCTTATCTCCATTCTCCGTCACTTCCAGCCGCGCCAACACCGCCGACATGTCTTTCCTCGAGAAGACCGCAGAGAAGACCGACGTAGTGTCCCTGCCGATCCCGGCGTTCTCTGACTTCGGAAAATCCGCCAACGACGTACGCGATATCGAGTAGAAGAATCTGGGAGCGAATGCGCTAATGATGTGAGAGTAGCTCATCAACAAGGACTTCTACCACACCAGCCAGGGCAAGTTGGACGAGATGGACGCATACGGCGCAAAGGCTAACAAGCTGCGATAGCTACACTCGATGTGAAGCTTAAGGCTCCCAACGGTACCAACCTCACCGTCAAGGGCAAGCAGGGCTTCGACGGCGTGACCAGCGGCTCCGTACGTCCCTTGTACGCTGGAAACCCACCCGCTCTATCACATGTTAATGCGCGCAACAGATCGAGGGCAAGCACACTCTCAAGCCTCAAGGTACGGAGAGCCCATCTTCTTCTCCCGCTCACACCTCATCACGCACCGCGAGAAATTCGAAGAAAAAGAAGGAATCAGGCTTCGTCAGCTCATTATACATTGCTGCGGTTTTGAAGCTTCCCCCAGAGCTCCGTACAAGAGCAATCGCCTATGCCTCGGGCAGTCCCAATGGCGTTGGTGGAATCAGGTTACTAGGGCTGACGTTTACTCCCGGTAATAAAGGTGTCACCATCACTCAGTCGTGGTCCACTGCCTCTCTGCTTGACAGCAAGGTCGAGCTCGCAGACGTTGTCGCGCCAGGCGCAAAGATCGACCTCCAGAACCTCTGGAACCCAGCCAAGCCAGACTCGGCCGCCCAGAAGCTCAACTTCGCCTTCAAGAACCCCAACGTCCACTCCCGCGCTTTCATCAACTACGCGACCGCTAAGGGCGCCATCGACGCTGTTGTGGATGTGACCGCCGGCCACGAGGGTTTCCTCGTCGGTGGTGAGGCAGGTTACGATGTGCAGAAGGCCGCCGTCACCAAGTACAGCCTTGGTGTTGGCTACCAGACCCTCACCTACAACGCGAGCATTGTTGGAACTCAGAACTTGAGCGTCATCGCCGCAAGCTTCTACCAGAAGGTCAACGGCGCCGTCGAGGTCGGTGCCAAGGCTGGCTACGACGTGCAGGCCCAGAAGGCCAGCGGTCTCGAGCTTGCATCCAAGTACAAGCTTGACCCTCTGTCATTCGCCAAGGTAAGGACACAGCACACTACTGAGACGTCAAGCTCTAACAAGCATTGCAGGCCAAGATCAACGACCGCGGTATCGCCGCTCTCGCCTACAGCACCAAGCTCAACTCTGGCACCACTCTCGGTCTCGGTCTCTCCCTCGACACCAACAAGCTCAACGAGGCTGGCCACAAGATCGGTACCTCGCTCACTTTTGAGGGTTAGATGTGTTGATGAATGTACGAGTGAAAGGAGATGCAGCATGCGGTCGAGACACTAGAAGCAAGATAGAAGGGCGAGGATACAACACCACATTTGCCCCCTGTACTGTGCGGCGCTGAGTGCTTGCACGCGTGACGACTCGTGCTTGTATGAAATCTGCTGTTTCTGAGCGCACTCTTTCTGCTTTTCCTTCCCTGTTCCAGCACCCTTGTTTCTGTTACTCTGAAAGCTTTATGGACACTTGCTAGTCGTCAGACCTCTGCCGGGTGGCGCGAGGGGCTTCTTTGGACCATCAACAGAGCCATCCTACGAGCAATCGGCTCTAATCTGGTTCGTGTCCGGAGGCGTGCAGCCGTTTCTGTGGACTTTGCCCGGCGTTTCCCGGTGCCCTCATACCCATGCAGAGGCCTTTTACTCCGCCGCTCGATGGATACGAAGCGCTCGGTCTCCATCTCCACCACAGAACATCTGATGTTTGTCGGGTTGTCTGCAGCAACCAATTCTGGAGGTGGAAAAGTTCTTAGCGGCGAAGTTTAGGGGTTTCCGATGCTTGGATTTGTATTTTTCGGGATGCCGATAGATCTCCGAAGAGGGTTAGGAAGGCGGTGAGGAGGAGGAGGGGGAGTTGGACGAGGGGTTTTTTTTTTGTTTGTTTAATGGAGTAGGTTCATGGATGGGTGGATTGGTTTTTTGTCAAGGGAGATGGCATGATTTTATGTTGTTGGTGCTTGGCGTTTTTATGTTAGACGTGTATATAGGGTTGTACGGTACATCGCCTCCGAAGTCGGGTTCCCTCGGCTTACAGCTCCGGTCTTGGTGTGACCTCTCTCGTTGTTCTCTCTTTTTGTTGACAGCCTCATCAACATGGTTTGCCTTCAAAAGCATCACACAAATCTCAAACCAAGCATCGTGATCTCTTGTCAGGGAGATGCATACGGAGAGCTCCGCGGGCACTCCAATGGCGTCAACGAAGGAAAGAGTCGCACATGCCGGCGCAGCGGGCAAGTAGAGCACGCCTCATCTTCGCCGGAATCCTATCTTACAAATAGGCCACCGGTATTGTCGCTCTGTGAGATACAAGAGACATTCGGGGTAAGCGACTGCCAAGGTTCTGACATACACCCTCCCCAAGCGGCCCCCCCAAGGCTGAGCGGCTCAGCTGGGCATTGCTGAGAGACACGGGCTGATACAGCCTCCTCTCCTGCTCTTTCTCTTCTTCCCTTCTTCTCTCTTGCATGCCGGGTTCTTAGGAAACATAGACAGTAACCATGCGTGTCCTCAATATCCTATCCTCCCTGGTCTCAGGCGTGGCGGCCGTTTCTCCTCTGGTCAAACTCGACTATGCTTCATACCAAGGGACCGCGCTGCCGAATAACGTATCGCAGTGGCTAGGAATCAGGTACGCCTCGCCCCCTACAGGCGACTTGAGATTCGCTGCTCCCGTGGACCCAAAAAACCAGACTGGAATTCAGCAGGCGAACAAACATGGACCTATCTGTATAGGCACGAACCAAGGGCCGCCGACTGCCTCGATGAACGAGGATTGTCTCTTCCTGGATGTGTATGCGCCGAGCAACGCTACGGCCGCTTCGAAATTGCCGGTGTACTTTGTAAGTCTTGCTTCCTGCTCAGAAGGACTCATAGTAACGGGATACCAGTTCATCCAAGGCGGCGGGTTCGCCACCAACGGAAACCCAAACTACAATGGCTCCGGATTGATTAACGCAAGCGAATATGACATGATTGTCGTGACCCATAATTATCGCGTCGGTCCTTGGGGTTTCTTAGCCAGTGGAGAAGTCCAGAGAGGCGGCAGCGCTAACAATGGCCTTCGAGACCAGAGGAAAGCCATGCAATGGGTGAAGCAGTACATCTCCCACTTCGGAGGAGATCCTGATCATGTGACGATGGGAGGCGACAGCGCTGGGGGACAAAGTGTCTGCATGCAGTTGACGGCATACGGAGGGCGAGACGACGGTCTCTTCCAGGGTGCCGCTGCCGAGTCGCAGTCGTTCCCTCCTCTCCGGACTGTCGCCGAGAGCCAATACAACTACAACGGCCTCGTCATCCGAGCTGGATGTGCTTCGGCCTCGGACACTCTCGCTTGTCTCCGGGGGCTCAATGCTACCGCTCTCCAAGCCGTGAACGTCATCACACCCTTCCCGGGAGCACAAGGCAATCCTCTGTATCCATACGGTCCGACTCTAGATTACGACTTCGTCAGCGACTATACTTTCCGTGCGTACGCCCAAGGCAAATTCGTCAAAGTGCCCGCCATCTACGGCGACGACACCAACGAAGGGACGATTTTCGCTCCCAAGAACACGAGCACCATCGCCCAGAGCAATACCTTCTTACAGAACAATTTCCCAGATCTGACGCTCGCTCAGATCAAGCGATTCAACGAGCTCTATCCCGTAGAGGGAACGCCATCTTTCCCCGATTCTGGGAGATACTGGAGACAAGCATCCAACGCGTATGGCGAATTGAGATATATCTGCCCGGGCATCTATCTCAGCCAGGTCTCCGCGAACCAGAGCGTGCCGAACTGGAACTATCGCTGGAACGTCATCGATCCCACAGCGAACGCCAGCGGTAAGTAAACGACACACACCCTCTCATCAATCCCTCCTGTCCCCACAACTGACTGACCCCCTCTCCCTCGCCTGCAGGTTACGGAGTCTCCCACACCGTCGAAACCAACGCCCTCTGGGGCCCCAACGTCACCCACGGCGCCGCTCCTACCTCTTACTACCCCGGCCAACTTAACCATCCCATCGTCTCCGTCGTCCAGGGCTACTGGACCAGTTTCATCCGCACTTTCGACCCGAACACGTATCGAAAAGCTGGGACTCCGACTTGGGAGGTTTTCGACACAAAGAATTTCAATCGGAGGTTGATGTATCAGACTAACCACACGCTGATGGAGAGTATTGATCCGGGGCAGTTGCTGCGGTGCGAGTATTTGTGGAGTCTTGCGCTGGAGTTGAAACAGTAGGGAGAGAAGGATTGAAGGGACGAACGACCGAAGGGGCTATGGGTTTGGAGCGATGCCCATGTTCATGTTTTTTTCCTTTCTTTCCGGACAGTTTGTTTAGCACTGCACTGCTTCTTTGGCATCCGGATAAACTCAAACGGCTCATGGTTTTTTCTCCACCCACCAATGGCCAAGGGCTGATGCAAGACACGATTCATCACCAACTCACGACATCGTTCCATGTACTACAGCATGGGCTTTTTCAAAGATCTAACATTATCCACGCACCTCTTCTTTACTCTTACCACCACCACCACCACGATTCATCTCGCGTCTTCTTCTAGAGGTGAAGAATAAGATCCCCGTGAGTAATGTGAAGTGGTCATTACGCCAAGATTCAACATGTAATATTATACGGTATTCTATTCATATCCATATTCATAGGAAAGGAGGAGGAGCCTATAAGGAGAAGAAGGAGAAGAAGGAGAAGAAGGAGAAGAAGGAGAAGAAGGAGAAGAAGGAGAAGAAGGAGAAGAAGGAGAAGAAGCAGAAAAAGTCTTATACAACATATCATATCATTGAACATATCATATCATATCATTTCATTTCATTTCATTGTATCATAATGATTGATTGATAGATACAATCTGAGGCTGATGTATCATATAATATGCAACAAAGCACAAACTTCTCATCCACATATGAAGAAAGATTTTTTTGAGGGGGTATCCTTAACCAAAAGAAAGTCCAATCTTCGCCCCAATGCTCTCTCCAAGGATCGTTCAATCGCTCGGAGACCATGCCAAAAATTAAAAAAGATTTCCTGTCGATATTGATATATCCAATCATCCACACACACACGGGAATTCTTTCCATGCAGCTTTCCTCCTCCCACCGCATCGACTAAAGAGCATAATCATCACTCATACACATACTCAAATGTCACATCACATCACATCAATCAATCAATCATGTCAAGCCAGCCGCTCCACTCGCAGGAGGAGGCACGGCGACCGCAGAATCCCGGTGTTCCCCGAGTCCCGGCCCCGGAGAGAGCGTCTTCTCCCTCCATTCCACCTCCTCGCCGCTCTCCTGCCTTCTCCTGTCCTTCTTGCCCGTGAATTTGACATTCAGAAAGCTCAACGCCCGGCTGGCAGCGCTACTCGTCGAGCTCGGTCGACTGCCTCCATGCCCGCCAGAATCCGTCACATCCCCCAAGGGCTCCACGACCAGCCGGAATCCGCGCCAGGTATTCAGCGCGATCGGAAAGACCGTGCAGCCGGCGAAAGCAGCAATGGCTACCACGAGGCTATACGGCGCTCCCTGTCCATTGTCCGCGACCAAGACCGTAGTAGCGATAGGGGAGAAGACCGCTCCGCCGGAGATGGAAGTCGTAATGAGGACGCTGGCGAATTTGGTGTTCCTTCCTTGACCGCGCAGGGCTTGGGCGAAGATGAGGGAGAAGAGTGGTCCTTCGAAGAAAAAGACGAGAATCATCACTGCCACGCCTGTAGCCCCGGTGAAGTGCGTACAGAGAGCAGTAAATAGGATGGTGCCAAGACTGAAGAAGAGGAGGAGGATGCGAGGTCTGATCCAGAGGCCGAGCCCAGCAGCGAGGAAGCGGGAGACGGCGAAAGCAGTATGGGCAATGGCCAAGAAGTTCGTGTGGTTGTAAGTGGGAGCGATAGCGTCGAGATAGGCGCCGAAACTGGAGCTAACAACTTCTTGGCCTCCAACGTAGCAGAAGAGGCCGAGAACGCCCATGGCTAGGACAATCCAAGTCACGTTGATGCTGCCTAGCTTGGCTTTGTTTGCGCCATCCATGCGTTCTGCAGCATCTTCCAGTTCGTCATCTGTCGCTTCGGGCAGAGGCAGGTAGTAGTATACCAGTGCCAACACAACAGTGGCAAGTGCGATTCCCAAATAAGCCCATTGCGTAGAGACTAGGTTTGGCGCAATCATCGTCTTGTGGAAGAATGCCTTATTCGCAATCAGAGGTGCCACAATGCTGCCGATGGCCTGTACGCCTTGACTGAGATTGAGCCGGACCTCTGCGTACTCGGCAGGTCCACAGAGGACGATGAAAGGGTTTGCAGAGACTTCTAAATTCGACAAGCCAAAGCCGACGATGAAGTTGGTGACGATAAAAGTCGGCCAGGAGGTGAGCACAGCAGCAGGCCAGAAGATCAGACAGCCGGCCGCGTAGATGCTGAGTCCTATGGGATAACAAGCTCGAAATCCCCAGTGCTTCAGCACAAGCCGTCCGGTAGTGAATGGGCCGAAAAAGTAGCCAACGTAGTATGCGCTTCGAATGCCGAGTGCTTGACCTTGAGTGACACTCGCGACAGTCTGGAATTGTCGATTCAGCGTATCCAGCAATCCATATTCGAAGCCCCAGATGAAGAACAGCACCGTGACCATGGCAATGGGATAAATCGACTCCCGGTTCGTCATGTACACCAGACTCTTCTTCTGCCTGAGATCGACGAAGTCGAAGAAAGTCGGAGATTCGGGCTTGGTATGCCGCGTCGAGTTTGTCAGCGCGGTTTGCGAGCGCTCCATCGGCGGTAATCTCGACAAGTCGGTCCTTTCTGGGGTCGTGAGGAAATCGATACCCGCAGGCTCTTCGAAGGATGTATTGATAGGCGCATGAGCAAAGTCGCGCCGCCCTGTGAGAAACTCCATCATGCCCATTGGATTCTGGTCCTCGTCGTGCGGTCCTCGGCCCAGGTCCTCATGATGTACTTCATCTGGGACAGGAGGCGCGATCGCTGTCACTTCAGGATTCGGCAGGGAGAAGGAGCCAAACTGTGAGGGTGGATCGCCGGGATCTCTCAGCAGATGCGGCATGAATCTGGCGACCAACGGTTTGAGACCCGGTACGCAGCCACACATGATACCAACCGAGACTTCTATCGCGCTCCACATCAAGGAGAAGGCGAGGAAATAAGAAGCATCCGTCTGTTCCGCCATATCGTTCTCATCCGCGGCTGCAGTGGCGATCTCCTGCAGTCGTGTCATCGAAGCGGATTGTAGGTACGAGATGCGCACCACATCGACGACGACGACAAAGATACCGAAGCTGAAGGTGACGAGGACGATGATCTTCTGCTTCCGCGGTAAACGCATGCCGGTCAAGATGGGCATGGGTAGGAAGAGCAGCGTGAGGTCGGTGATGATGTTGAGCGGGATCGATGAGAGGTAAATCGTGAGGATGTCTGTACATTTCGCACTCGCTGGGATGGGCGATTTGAAGACGGCACTGACGGGTACACACTGGAAGACCGTGACCAGCGTGAGAGACAGTCCACCAGCATTGACGATGAAGAAGGTGACATAGCAAGCCCATCTGAACGTCCGATTGGCCTTGGAAAGGGTGAGGTAGAAGGCCAAGATGGAAGTCTTGGTGGCCATCAGAGCGGGTTGGTACAGGATGCTGAAGGCATAGATTGCCTTTCTGAGCCCCGATTGCCAACTATGAGGCACGTCGACCTCATGTCTCCCAAGGCCGTACGCAGTCCCATAGCAAATGGCAGAGCCGAGACCGACGAGCAACGACCAAGCCAGGACCATAAAGTAGTCGTCCCACGAGACCTTCTTGACGATGGCAGCTCGCGACAGCATGCGGAAGAAGACGAAGACGGAGCCGAGGCTCATCATGGTGATGGTGACGGCCAGCACGGCCTCGCTGCGGCCTCTGAAATCGCCATGGTGCTGGGTTGTCGCCATCTTGTCCTCTCACTTCTTCTTTCTTCTTTCTTCTTTCTTCTTTCTTCTTTCTTCGTCGTCGTCACCCTCCGGCACTCCACCAGCCCATCCTCCACCCCCGTGTCTTCCCTATAGCTTCGCACGGAGCTCGGGTTACCATTCACTGTCAATATCGTTCGAGGTCCAGGTGGTGTCTGTGGGCCGAGATCTCATCATTGCGCCAGAGGGGAGTCGGGACGTGATGGTGTACCAGCTCCAGCTACTTCTCCCACCGAATCATCCGCCGTCTCGCAAGTGGTATGGATCCTGGTAGAGCCAGCGGCCATGCGACAGAGCCGTGACAAGGATCGAGCAGAGAGCAGAGGGCAGAGAGCAGAGAGCCAAGACCGGTGCGGTGGATGGTGGTAAAGCAAAAAAGAAAATCATGGACAGAGTTTGAAGGGCCGGCGTTGGCCACGAGGTAAAGGAAGTAGTAGCTTTAGCATCCATTCTCGCTTGTCTCGGGGTGTGGTGTGGGTGGGTGTAGTGGCATTTTAGCGGGCGGGTCCGACTAAACCTCATCGCGAATGGTCTAAGTGTTGCCCGCCGCATCATCATCATCATCATCCTCCTCCTCCACCTCCACTTTCACTTCCACTCCACCTCCACCTCGCTTCGACCCCTCATCATCTCTCCTCTGCCCGAAAAAAGTGCCTCACACAAAAGAAAAAAAAAAACCCTCGTCTTCCCCAATTCCCTTCCCCTCGTACAGCGACAACAACAAACGTCGAAGAAGTATGATTATTATTCCCCGGGATTCCCAAATCTGTTGTTCCCTGTCCCCGCCCCCTTCCCCCGGACTCCCGTCACGACAACCAACAACCCGGCAAATCCGAGATCTTTAGATCGTAAACTTCGCATGGATGGACATGCCTTGTGCCTCCTCCCAGCCCAGCCCAGCCCATTTCGTAGGAAGCCGATGTAGCACCGACGGCTGCATTGGATTGGCATCTGCAGCAGCTGCATATATACTTCCGCAATCCCCATGGGGTGGCCACGAGGTCCTTTAGGAAAAGGCCTCGGGTCCGGAGATATTCGCACTGCACTGCGAGGCATCACGGCAACCCACTTCGGCGTGAGACGCGCAGCAGGGCAAGCGAGCAAGGAAGGACATGGTCCGACTTGTCTCATCTCATCCATCGGAAACCCGGGTATATAAGATCCCCATCAATTTCGAGAAAACAGTCGGTCACAGTCTGGGCCGGAAGTCGTATAACGCCAGGATGTTTCCAAGCCGTCATCATCCTGTGTGCTGTGTCCGTCAGAGTAGTGACCGAGTCACCGAGTAAAACAATATCACGTTCATTCGTTCAAGTGGCAGTGATAGTCCTACGCCAGCCTCGCCTGTCCAGTCTCTCACTACCTTGACTATTTACACGATTCGACCCCGAGCGCCACCTTACCATCCATCCATCCTCTCTGTCCTCTCCATTCCCATATCCCTGCCTGCCACAATACCCCTTGGAGAGAGACGACGACGACGTTGACCGACTGCTTCGTTCGTTCCTTCGCTCGAATCAACGAACGACAGAAGAGATAGTACCAAATATACAACAACAACACGTCTGCTTCTGCTTTTGCCTCTGCTTTCTGCTGCTGCCCTTTCGCCTCTCCAGCATCTCTGCACTTCCGGAAGAGCAAAACGAGTCGACTCTCACTTCCCTTTCTTCTCGGCATCGTGCATTGCATCTCTACTCCTGTCCAAATCCCACAGTCTCCTCCACAGCCCACGTGAGCTTCTGTGTCAGCGCATCAAAGCTCTTGTACGGCGGCAGATCCAACCGGTTAAAGCACGTGTGCGATTTCGGCAGCTGCGTCTCCTCCCCAGACTTCTCAATCGTAAACCGTCGGGGCCCGTCGGATCCTTGCAGGTCCTTGAACCCATTCACGGGGATACGCGATGTTCCCGTCGCGAACTGCAGCAGCCGGGACTTCTGTTCTGCGTCCCAACTCCTAATACACTATTCAACCTGTCAGCCTCGCCTTTCCGCCCCCGCATCGCCATGGCTGTACATACCTTCCAGAAGTTCTGAATCACAACGTCGTTCTCCGTGTACCCACGGTAGTCCGTGTGCTTCTTCCAGTCATCCACGTCGATGTCGGCAATACCTCCTATGAGCAACTCCAATTCGCGCTCGTCGAAGACGTTGATCAGATCCGCCGGAATCAACTCATGGAACCCAGCCACAAACGCATTGAATTGCTCTTCAACCCGCTTCTGGATCCTCCACTCGGTGATGAGCTCGACATACTCCCTCTTGTTCTCATTCGTCACCTCGATGTCCCGACCACCAGGCTTCAGATCGACAGTGACCTTCTCTCCGAATCGCTCATCTTCCACGGAGAAGGTGCTGTAGATGACATCGGTGACATCGTTGTCCATCGCCCAGCTGAGCGTTCGGTGAAACTCGGCATCCACTCCTTCCATGTCCGACAGCGTGACCTTCTTCTTGAGTATCATCTTGTAAAAGGCTCCGATGAAAAAGGCGTCCAAGAACCGTCGGTGGAAGATGGCGAGGCCGACCACGCGACCAATAAACTTAAAGTAGCCCAGATGTTCGGGGTTGATGCCAGAGTGCGGGTTGATCTGAAGAGTGTAGTTGTCGTGCGCCGAGTATTCGAAAAGACAGTAGAATGGGTTAAACATCTCATGAGACAAAAGGAAGAAGAATTCTCTGTCGTTTGTTAGCGTCCGCGAAAGATCTGACCTCCTTCCTTTCCACGTACCTGCTGAGACCGCCATAATCCAATCCGTCTTCACCATCAAACTTGATCATCAGTCGTTTCTTCAGGTCGTTCGGGCTTTGACGCATAATCTCCGCATATGAATCCTCGAAGATATGTGTACGTCGAACCTTGACATGGCACTGTCCAGAAAGAATACGCAGTGCGGGTTGCGATCTGAAGTAAATCAACTTCCTCCTGAAGTCACGCTTGTACTGCGGTACGTTCTGATCCAGCGAGGATGGTAGTCTCGGATCATCCCACGTAGTCGTCTTGGTATTATGATCAACAAAGTAGACGCGAGCCGTATTGGTAAGACGCATCTCCCACCCACTTGGTAGAGGGCCCAGCTGTGACACAGGTTGCTGTTGGATCGTCGTGTTTCCCGCGGCATTTTGACCATACATGCGGATATACTGCTGCCGCCTGGGGTCAACCCACGTGGTGGTACGAGTGTTGTGGTCGACAAAGTACGCTCGTCCCTCTGGTGTATGACGCTGCTCCCAGCCAGCTGGAAGTTCGCCAGTCCCGGCGGTCGTGGCGCCTGTATGCACCATCTGAGCTGCGTTTGCGTTGTTGGCAGCATTTGCGGCAGCACTTGGTGTTTGCGAGGGCGAGCCTTGTCTGTCCGACAGAGTCGGCGAGTTGGTGCCAGTCCTATCTTCCGGCAGCATACGGGCCTGATGCCGGGATCGCTCCACGGACTGTTGCTGTTCCATCTGAGCCCTTTGTTCCCCAGCATTGTAGTTCGCAGTCGGTCGAATCCATGTGGTTTGCCGAGAATTGTGGTCGACGTAGTATGTTCTGCCGAGATTGTCTTCTCTTCTTTCCCAGCCCGGAGGCAATCTTCCCTGTGCATCCTCGAAAGCGCTGAATCCAGACTGTTCTCGTCTGGCTGAGCCGTTCGTACCGTTCATGGCCGTGGAAGATGAGGCGGTATTGACGTTCTGGCGGGAAGCGGCGGATGAACCAGGATTGCTGGTCGGCCGATCACCTGCGAGAGAAGTGGTTGACTGGGCACCGCCTGCGCTAGAAGGAGTTTGCGCGCCGTTCGTAGTAGCACCAGCCGAGGATCCAGTGGGACGAGAGCTGCTGCTATTGCCGTTTGCGATGGGCGTGCGCAGGTTCGTGGAGAGATTCAGAATCAGCTTGCCATTGACTACCAGGTTGTCATTCGACTTGCGAAGGTCGCGCGTGATCATTTCTGGTGTGTGTTAGCATGCAGGCGTGAAACGTCATTCGTGAGGACATACCATCGCCGCCAGCGTCAGGGTCGATAACGCTGCCTATCCTTACGTTGACCACGCCCAGGAAGCCCTGGTCCTTCTTCTTGAACTTCTTCTGGTCAAAGATCTGGATGGCAAGTATACTCTCCTCGGTCACTCGCCTATCGCGATGTTAGCCAAGCTCCCAGTGAAAGCTGGAGGATGAAGGCCCCACGTACATATCGAAGCTCTCATTCCAGTATGGATTCAGCGTCTTCTTGATGACGCCTGTGGTCCTGGTCTGCTCGCCACTAATCGTCGCAACCGCGAACGGGTCGGGAAATCCTGCCGACCAGTATCAGTATACACCCATCTCGGAGCCCAGCCCAAGCGGCACTCACTGAAGACATCTCTCTTGTACAGTCCGTCTGCCGCAATGACTATGTCCAATAATTAGCCCCTATGTCCCTCTCCCAATGCGCGCGTGACCAAGCTCTTCAGGAGGACATGAGACATACTCGTGACCCGGAGGTTAGGCTGCGAGGGAAGGTCCATGTTGGCGGCGATATGGATGATGCCTTGTGCTTCTCAGGCGCCGGACAGCGCCGGTGCGAGCGGTGTAGTCGTGGTCGGGCGCGGGTGGAAAATCATGCACCCCTAGACGGGGACGTGGAATGGGGGGATAAGCTGCAGAGAGAAGACGTCAGGTAGGTTGGAGTCGGGCCGGAGCAGTCGATGCGTCGTGAAAGAATGATGCGTTGGTTCGCAGTCGGTGTGGCGCAGCTCTGCGTTGAATCCTGGCCGGCGCTCGAGGAGGTCTGTGGGAGGGTCGGTAACGTATTGCACACACGACGGCGATGGCGTGCGGTGGTGTGTAGTGCGTAGTATGTGGAAGCAGGCACAGGGAGATGTAAGGTATCGGATACCTCTGCGGCACGGGCAGGTGGGAGTGGCATTCACCCAAGACTGCAGGCGATTCCAGTTTCCCTGATTGAGGTTCTACGTATAGAGGCGGGGCTTCCCGTCAAACAGGCCCCACTTCTCATGTGACCACCCGGGTACTGTAGTGTGAGGGCTTTGACTAACAAAGAAGGTTCATGGCCCGGCTATCTACATAAGGTTTTGAGGTGTTTTTATATCCCCTCTACTTGGCTGCCAAGACTAGAGTTTTTTACACTTAGGTATAACACTACTTTAGTAAGTGTAGTGTAATTCCTTAGTATATAGGCTAAGGATCTTACATCCTCCCCTACTTGGACTTTAGC